ACCTGTCTTATTCCGTCTTGAGCAGTTTAAAATAAAAAGAATGTTCCAAATATTTTATCGGCGTCTTTCGCTTTTACCAAATAAAAATAAAACACAAAATTGTTGATTTTGTTGTTGTAAAAATAAATAGAATGATTTAAGGCGCCTCTTTGTGTGTTTGCTTAATTGCGGTTAGTTAGAAAATTGTTTACAGTAAATAAAATTTAAAAAAAAATAAAAAATAAATTAGTTTCAATTTATTTTATAAAAATTTATTTAAATTTTAACAATTTAAATTTAATTTTGTAAATACTAGAGAGTTTTTACAAAATTAATCTATTGTTGATCTGTATTAATTCAAATATATTGACGGAGATTCAAGATGTATTTATTGAAACATGGAGGGAGATTAAGGAATTATTCTGTTAATAACCAAATTGATATTGTTATTTAATAGGCAGTGGATTCATAAATATATCTTTTTATTTTGTATCTCGATCGAGATTTGATAATATGTATGACCGTTAATTTACAGAAAATTATGTCCAAAAACAAGTATGAGTTCTGATTAGAGCCTCACAAAACATGTAAATTAAATACATTTTTTGTTTGTGAATATTAGTATATTCTCGCAATAATACATATCTATAGGAGGATCTAATATACAAAATTTATTTTTCCACTTATAAACATAGAATTCCTAAAAACCTACAACGTATTAAAAGAATTTTAAAAATTATTTACACAGCCAGCTAGTCAATACTTTCCAACAAAAATCATAAAAAATATTTTCTCTAAAAATTATTTTCTCATAATTACCTAGTTGTATTTTTTGATCATTCTAGCATCGCCATCCTTCATGCAAAATATATATTAATTACGTTCTAATAAAAATCATAAAAAATATTTGATCAATATTTTTGTTTATATAAAACATTAATTTTTAATTCTTGCGCAGTTTATATTTACTGATTTACTGCGCAATGATTAAAAAAATATTTTTTTGAACAATATCATTAAATTTTTTCTTTTAATTTTTGGTTTTTTGTTATTAACAAAAACCTAATGCATCAAAAAATTACTCCCCATTATTTACACACTCATTAATTAAACCCATTCAATGAGGGATTGAAACAATAATTATTAGGCCCCGTCCCCATTCATCTTATTATTCATTAAAAATTCTACTACATAATTCTTAACAAATTTGTTAACTTTCTGATTCTATACTGAAATTCAAATTTAAAAAACTGAAAGTTTGTGTCAATTAAATTAATTTCAACACTTTTTTTCTTGCAATACCGTTTTAGAAAAAATTATTTTATATTTTTTAAATATTTCTTTCTATTAATCAAGAAATTTTCTGGAGATAAAAATATTTTTAAAAAATTTATTTTCTCTTTTAATTTTCTAAGAGCTAACACAACGATTGTGTTGACCTGCTTAACCAAAACCGCATTTTCGTTCGCTTTCTTGAGCACGAAAACCATTATAAATATATTTATAGGCAGTCAACCACAATCAACGTCACAATTCTCAATCCATCAAAAATCCTTTTAATTCTTTTCACTCCCTTCTATTTCTTTCAGGATTTATTTATTTCATACAAAAATTCACCAAAATCCGTCCGATTCACATCCTTTCATTTCTCTATTTTTATTTAAAATCTTTATTTTAATTCAAAAATAAATTTGTTTTTAAATTATATTTATTTAAATATAGGTAATTAAAATATATGCATTTTAAAAATTATAAAAATAATTTAAATAAATTTATATGGAAAACATAATTCAATTGTAGAACTATAAATATTTTCCAATATAGTATATGGATTTAGTATACCCATTTGGAAAAATTTCTTTATTCCTTCGTTATTTTTTAAATTATGGAACTGTTTAGAAAAAACAAAATAAGTAAAGAACGTTAAATATTCACTGTTAGAATCCGCATTGAATAGAGCTATCCAAAACCAAAAATTTTCAGGAATTCGAGACCAAGACTTGAATCTCAGGACCTAAAAAAGCCACAGAAAATCGAGTATTTATTTTGTTGGAGAATTGTCTTTATAAACTTTTCTTCTAATTCTAGCAAAAATAAATTCCAATCTTGTCTCAAAATTATATCTCAGGAAAATTCCATTATACATCTTTTACTTCAATTTAAAAATATTCAACACAGCATTTTTGTTGCATTTTGCGTGATAATTTCCTTTTTTTACTTGCATTAGTTAATCTCTCATGCAATTTTACCCGCATAATTCCGTAATTTATATTTTACTTTATTTATCCAATGCGGTTATTCTGGATTTTTCGGTTAAATTTATTCTCTCGTTAATAATCCCAAAAGAAATCCTGTTTTTCTCTCATAGCTTTATTGTTAATTTTCTTTAATGTTTTAAATATGTTATTATTTGTTTCCGAATTTATTTTATAAATTTCAATATCATTTTAGTAATAAAATATTAAATACTAAAAATACCTCCTCTTATTAATTTAATGGCTGTAACTATTATTTCCAAAAATGTTCTTCCAATGCCAATACCTGCACAATCTCCATATCCAGTTCAATCAATCCCTCGAAGTACCTCTGCTAAAATTCAAGATCAACAGGGTCTTAAAATAAAAGTTGTTATAAGCAAACTAAAAATAAATTAAAGGTAAATTGGTAGCTGTTGCCGCTCTTGTCCGTTATACAAATAATCAGGCATACTTTATTCTTCAACATTTGGACACATCTTTGGCAGAAAAAGCTGTGACTGTTTCTGCACCAGATAATGAAAATCCGCTTGACATGCGAATTGATGCTATTTTTGTAAGAATTACATTTAAATAAACAAGATCAATTCTAAAAAATCACTCGGATTGGAAAATTTGAGAAGGCCAAGGTCTTTAATTTTTAAAATTCTTTTTTAGGACCAGCATCCAGATCGAACATTTATGCCTATGTTCATTCAAGTAATTTTATGATAAATACATAAGAATTTTTAATAATTTATGCAATTTTCATAGGTCCATTACAATCCTGAAGAACGCCTAGTTCTAGAGCATTTGGTTGACCAACTAGCCGAACGAACTTTGGGCCGATACAATTTAGAACTACGTAAAAACATGACTATAGATGTGTTCGATTCTGATTGCGATAATTTTCTTCGTGATAATGCTGGATTTATTATAGCAGACAAATTACGTCTGCAACAGATTACAATAAACACTGTTGAGGCGTTGAATAAATTGAATTTGTCAAAAGGTGAAGATTAAAAAATTGTATAGGATTTAAGAAATGAACGACTGTTGTTTTAAAGGTATTGACCGAAAAAATTAACTCAAAGAATTCTAATCAGCCATAATCCGCAATTTTATAAATATTGCGGACAGTCCCACTTAATTAGTAGAGACGTGCGAGAATCTTGGTCTTGCAAACCTCTTGGGTTTTTTTCAGCTTGGGGTGAAGTCATGGTCTTGGACGCCTTAAAAATACACCCTAAGGACAAGTGAAACAAAAGAGTAGAGCGGTGAATGGTCTATTAATTAGTGTAAAATACTAAGAAGAGGAATGATCAAAATAAATTGAATACAGATATTAAATTATATTTGATCACGGAGAGTAAAGAAATAGTGTATACAAAACTATTAGAAATTTATAATTAAAATATTTTAAAATAAATTTATTTTTATTTTAAGAAATAAAAGTAACAAAAGTAAATAAAGAAGATTATGAATTGTTGTTGGAATATGATGCAACTTTAAGTACTCATAATAGAGCAGAATTTTTGGAATTTCTTTTTGCTAAAAATCGAGTTTATGCCGCGAAATTGGACAATAAAGAAACAGAAAAAGTAAAAAATATTGAAGGAGAAAATGAATTTATTGAACAAAAAGGGCCAATACTTGCGGGATATTTGGTGATTAAATAAATAATTTTTAATCGGTTATCTTTTTATTATTAAAAAGGTTGCATCTAACGAGACAGTTATGTGTATTTATGCTAATGATCAAAATATTGCAGAATCTTTATTGTTTAAATACATGCAGGACAGCAAATTTAGTTTTGTATGTCATTAAAAAGATTTAAAAAAATAAAATCAGAATAATAAATAATTATTATAGTAAATGGATTAAATTTATAAATGAAAAACATTCTTGCACAAAATACATTTTATAAAAAATTGAAGATACTTCAGAATTTATGCTCTAAATTTATTATTGTTTTTTAATTAGTTGGGTACTGGCTGGGAGCAGAGCTGGGTCAGATTCTGATTTCCGACGTTTCTTCCTTCCGATTTCCGAAAAAATTTTGATTTCCGATTTCCGAGTTCCGACTTTTGAGCCATTTCCAATAGAAAGAGTTTTTGCAAAAGTTTAGCCACCGGGCAGGATTCGAACCTGCGACCACCTGCTAGTTGTTGCTAGGCGCTTTCGCTCACTATATGCAGGAGCTCTACCGTTGAGCTACCGGGGCATCGACTAATGCTTTCTCTTTTTCCTTTTTAGATCGTTTATCCCCCGCCTAAGCGTTTTAAATGCTGCTAGGTGAATCATCCTTACATCTCCATCCCTACATCAGACCGGTCCCTCGGTCAAGCGCCATGACCGTGGATCGGCTGGTTCACCCAGCAGCAAGTGGGGATCCCTGTTAGCGGCACCAGAAAGAGTTTTTGCAAAAGTTTAGCCACCGGGCAGGATTCGAACCTGCGACCACCTGCTAGTTGTTGCTAGGCGCTTTCGCTCACTATATGCAGGAGCTCTACCGTTGAGCTACCGGGGCATCGACTAATGCTTTCTCTTTTTCCTTTTTAGATCGTTTATCCCCCGCCTAAGCGTTTTAAATGCTGCTAGGTGAATCATCCTTACACAATTTCCTGCTGTTCCGAGTTCCGACAACTCTGACTGTTCAGACCCATCTCTGGCTGGGAGGGAAGGTAGGGGGCTGTCTAAACAATACCTCAAAAATAACCTCATTAAAACAAAAAATAACCTCATCCAAAAGCAAGTTGATTTTATTCACTTTTATTTGTTTTCAAGGTTAAAATGTGTTGTACATCAAATCAATGGCAAAATCTTCGCTCACTCAAAACACTAAAAACTCGGCCAATATATCGCAGGCACACACGTACAATCCCAACAAATTTAAAATATGACCGAATTTTTGCTTTGAATGTTGGAATGAATATTTTCTGAATTTTGAGAAAGAAGAATCATTTTTAGAAATGGGAAGAGTTTGAATATCAAACAACGATTTGGGGAGAGTTAATTTTAAATTTTTTCGGAATATAACAAATAATTATATATATTTTATTGTAATTATTTTAATGATTATATACACGTTTAATTTTAAATTAAACTTTTTTATCTTGCAATAATTATTTTTTAAAAATATTTACTATATGTTTTGAGATTCCTAGAATAATATTTATTTTATTTTTATTTAAAAAATTTTTTTTATAATTAGTAAGGATTCCAAAGAATTTGAAATATGAGGATTTAATTAAAATTCTGAAAAAACAAAAATGTTTTTTTTTCATATTATTTTAAAGTGAACTTTAACGGGGGGGGGGTATAATGAGGTTATCTTAAATAAGAAGTTTCATTCAATCTGCTCTCCATCAACTTCTAATTATCTTACATGGACTAAGGTGTTTGATGTAAGCAGCAACAATTGACCCGACTGTATTAATTTATTTGTTTTAATATGTAGAAGGAGAAGATTCACACTTTTCCCATTTAATATCTTTCATTAGAGGAATCGGCAGGCCTCCAGGGACCGGCTACTCTTATATAAAAGTTATAAATCCCCATAAATTTTTTTCGAATAGTCAAATCCTTATATTAAATCAATTTTTCACTCAATAATTAAAAAAGGGAGAGATTCTAAAATCGCTAGGCGACTATGGAGAGTCTTTATTGGGGAGGTTAGTCTACGTGTAATTTTAAGACTGCCTTGAGAAATTATATGAATTTTAAAAATGCCTTTTTACCTCTTCTTTTCATTATTCTATTCAATAATTCTTAAATTAAATTAAATAAAAATTTTAAATGTTTAGCTATGTTTATAGAAAATGTTTTTTATTTTAATTTTTATTTTCAGGAGAGAAAGTTTCTCTAAGGAGAATGACTTCTCCTTTTTCTGGTAAAAATAAAAAATTTTTATATTTTATTTTATTTAAAATTTGTATATTTTTTACAATTTTAAATGCTTTTGATGAAGATTTTGATTATAAAATCGGTAATGATTCTAGAGGATATTTTGTTGAAAAGAAAGTTTTTGGAAGAAAAGCACCTCTTCGTTATGACATTTATAAATTTGACGATTCAAATAAAAAGAGATTTATTTTTGTCCAATGGATAAAAATAAATGAAAAAACAGAAAAACCTGTTATTATGTTACTCAATGAAAAATTAATGTGTTTTTCAACACATAGTATAACGGAAATTAGGAAGAAAGAACATACAACAAAAAATGACAGTTTTATTGAGCAGAAAAATGAACAGAAAGGTTGGCCATGTTTAGTTTATTCGTCCAATGAACCCTTACGAGTTCAATGAAGCTTTTTGTACACCACCGACAGTTAGGTAGTTTTTGGGCTAATTTGTGAAACATGCCTTAGGCAGAAAACTGGACAAAGAGGGAAGGAAAAAAGCTAAAAATGGTCAGGTAATTAGGAAAGGTGAACCTCGTCTGAGTGCCGATAAAGACACAAACTTCCATTGGACCGGAAAGTTTTTATTTTCTCATAAATTTTCATTGGACTTGTAATTTCATTGGACTCATAAAGGTGCAGCGGATGCATAGACAAGACCAGCGCCGTAAGATTTTCCAGAAAGTTTTTAATAACGTTTATATATTTTGTTTCGCAGTAAAGTCTTAAAACATAAATTTACTTCTTTTGGAAAGTTATCATACTACCTTATTTTTAAAATTAATTATATTTTAAGTTAATACTCTTGCTTATCCCCTAATTTTTCACTTCAAATGTCCTCATTTAAAAGAAAATTTACAAAATGGATGTGGGCAAGAACATCGTTTCGAGTTGTTTTGTAATAATACTAAAGTTGAAGAAAAATGTTCTGACAATTATTATATTAGGGAAGTTGCTGTTACTTTTAGTGATATTAAGTCGTTTGAATATATTTATGAAACTGGTTAGTTTTTAATAAATAAAATATATTTATTTTTCTTGATTAATTCTTCCATAGAATTAATTTTTAAACCCATCCGCAAGATAGGGAATTATTTAAAAGTAGTAAATAATTCGAGTTTTCACATTTAAACGTGCAGTAGGGCACATATTTGGTGTGGAGAATTATTGTTTTAACCTGGCCCTGGCATGGGGAATTAATCGAGAATGGGAAATTAATGGGGAATTAAAATATGGTGAATTAATTTAGAATGCCCCTGCGGTTATAAACGTATTCTTGACGGTAAAGGCTTGGATGTATATAAAAATCATAAATCATTTGAAACTGAACATTTTGACACAAAAATAGTTTTTGATTTTGTTGGAGCAAAACGTTCTCTCACATCGGGAGTAAGTTAACATAAATTACAAAAATATTCTCTACTTTTAGCCAACAAAAATTACACATTTATTTTCATTAACTAACGGTAAATGTAAATTAGAAGTTGAATATTATTTTAAAAAATCAGAAAATATTTCTGAACATGAAAATAGTGATAAACAAATGTCGAAACTTTTTGAAAAATTTGTAAAAGTTGCTCTCTTGAATAAAAATGCTTTATATGTAGCAAAACTTACTGACAGCAGATTATTGCGTGATAGGTAATGTCTTGATAAATAGTAAGCATAACTAATTAACATTTAAAATCCTGGAAAGCTTAGAAAATTTTAACTTATGTACATATTTACCGGAAATCATACAAAATTAACCGAAAAGTTCCTAACATTTAATAAAAAATAATTTAAAGCACCGGAAAGGTTGATTCAGCCTTTAAACCAAACAAACTACTTTTTGATGAAGCAAAAATGATAGCTCCGTTAGAAGAATTTTTACGTTATAGAATTCGTTATATATTTTTTAACGAAAAAAGACAAGGTAAAAAATGGGAAAGTGATTTAGGTATGGATGTTATTTCAACAGAAATAATGAAAGGAATGAAGGAAATTTCTGATGTTACAGGTAAATATTCAAATAATTTAAATTAAAATTAAGGATTTGTAGGTTTTAAGAAATTTGAAGAAATTAATTTAAATGATTTTATTGTTGTAAAAAATAGCCAAGGCTATTTGAGTGTCAAGTTTATTTATATACATGATGAGGGGACTAAAAAATCAGAAAAAATATTTACAAAAGAGCAAATTAAAAAAAGTTTAAAATTAAATAAACTTGTAAATAATGAAGCATTTAAATTTTACAAGTTGATATTAAAAGAAAAGGAAAGTTTTATTGAGACAAAGAAAAGAGTAATTAAGGGTTATGGCAAACTATTTTGGTTAAAATTATTTATGCAAATGTTTGCTAAATTGCATAAGGACAGAAATAAAGAAAAATCATTGATATCGAGGTTATTAAAATATTTTAAGATTAAAGTGAATTGTATACATACCTTAAACTTTTGTGATTTAATTTTTTATTCTTTTTAAATTTTTAAAATGGGCAGTTAACTAATAAGTATAGTATTAAAGCATTTTAATTTTTAAAGTTATTTTGTCCCCCCATTGAGATTAAAAAATAAACCAGTTTCTAAATAGAAGCTCATATTTAATATAAGCCCACCTAAAAGTTTTCCATTGAAAAATATCAGCTTTGGCTTCAATTAGAGCATTTATGGCTCTTCAGGCTTCCGTTTTTATTAATATATTCGGTTTCCTTCCGCTTTGCATATTTTACTTTTATAATCCGGCTTAGAATTACTATATCATTAAATTCATTCTAATGGATAATGAAGAAGAGAAGAGTAATAGTTAAGAAAGTGAAGCGAGGAAAAGATTCCTTCCTAAAATAAATGTAAAGAATATTAAAAATAATTTTAATTTTTAAAGTTATTTAATTCCGAGAACTTGTTTATATGCTTTGTCAGGTAATTTGAAGAAATTCGAAATAAGAAATGATGATGATGATTTTCTTTTCAAAACATGGCAAGAATTTGTGAAAGGAGAAAAGAAAACTAAAACAAAAAGTTTTAAAAATTTTGACGAATTATTGGGCAATATGTTTGATTATGATTGGTTAAATAATTGTAGTATGGGAAATGAGGAGAAACATGGAAATAATTTAGATATGATTGATCAAGAAGATGGTGTGAATGATAAAGAAAATGAAGAGATAAATGAAGATTATTTAATAAAAGATGAAGTAAATAAGGATAACAGTATGATTGGTAAAGAAAATGACGGGAAGGACAAAGACAATGACAAGAATGATAAAGTGGATGACGAAAAAGATAAAAAGGATGAAGATAAAGTTACTAAATGCGTAAATAAGATAAAAGAAAGATTAAAAAAAGAAAAAGAGAATTGTAAGTCGCCGACGGAGGGACCTGATGGGGAAGGGGAGTTCAAATCACTCCCATTCATGAACGTGTTACAACCATAATTGAATGAATAAAAATAAACGTTCCGCCTCGGATATAGGCCCATAAGATTGAAATTTAGTGGATATGTAAATTTTGGATATAAGTGTTAACTGTAAGCCCTAAAGAATGATATTTCATATTTTAACTTATGTGATTAATAATAATAAATTTACAAATTAAATAATATATTTAATTAATAGCCATAAACAATGAAGAAGAAGATCGTATTTTGAATATATTATTAAAATTATTGGATGAATTTTTAAAAGCTTCAAGTGGGAAAGAATTCAATATTATTTTTCCCGATATTTTTGAAAATAAATTTCCGAAGGAAGCTATTACTAAAGATGAGGTTTCTTAAATTTCAATTAAAAAAATATTTTTTTAGTCTTCAATATTTAAAAGTTTGGAAATTATCTCAAAAGAAAGCAAAAAAATTTTTGTTGGAAAAAGTCCATACGATGAAATTTTAAATTTTAACAAAAACATGAAAGAGGGAAAGTCAAAGTATGTTTAAAAACTTTACAAATTTTATTCTTCTATATTTAGATTAAAAGCTTATCATCTTTTCAATAATTGTTGGATAAATATAACAATATCTGAATGGTACGGAAATTATGCTTTAGAAAGAATTTCTGATAAAATGCAAGTTTGGGTTGATGATTTTACACAGGAACATAATTTTGATGACAATGCTGATTTTTATGATGAAAATTGAATTTTTTACTAAAAGGTGAAGAAAGTTTATAATTGAAAGTTATTTTTAAAAAATTACACATCCTTATTTATCAAACACCCCTTTGTACATACATATATGTAATGTAAATATTTAAAACAATGTTTTATTAAAACACCCCCCTTATTCGTAAAATTATTTTTTAACATTTAACTATTATTTTTTTGTCTCCATTTGGGCTGCACACAATTAAAAAAAAGATTCCGAACTCGCAATCCACAACTCGCAAAATTAAAAAAAATCCGCAAAATTTAAAAAAAATCCGCAAAATTGCGTGCAGCCCTGGTCTCCATAAGTAATCCGGGTGGATTCATGAGTTTATTTTATTGCTTCGCATTTATTTTTTTTGATAAAAAAATTTTTGTCCTTAAAGGATTTTCTTTATAATTATTTACAACGTTTATGAAGGTATTGTGTATCCACTTATTTTTAAATAATATTCTCGCCTCCTCTCAAAAATTTCCGCATTCGTTGATTCTGTTGGAAAATATTTTTCCAGAAAAAAAGAAAAACATCATATTTCTTTTAAAATTATAAGATATTTTTTACATCAAAAATATTTATTTCCTTATTTTTTTAATTTTACACATTTAACCAAATTATATAAAACATATTAAATAAATGCCACGAACTAAACAAAAAACATCTTGTAAGACGTGGCTTTGTTACATTTAAGAATATTAACATTTATTCTTAAACATCTTTAAACATTCTAAATAATTTTTACAATTCTAATAAAACAATTTTTAAAAAGCTAAAATGAATTTAAAATATTTAAATTTTGTTTAAAAAATTCAATATTACTAACTTTTTTAAAATTTATTTTTAAGCATAACTTTAAAATTTTTTTCACAAATACTTTTTTTATTTTATTAAATAATTGTTTAATATTAACAATAAAAAATTTAAAAGTACACCCGAACAGATTACATTTTTAATTTTATTTATTTATTAAACTAACACGTAATACATTATTTAAATAAAATCGATTTTTGTTTGTTATTTTCACGTTTTCTTCTAATGTTTTATTTTTTTAAATGTTAATTATTTTAATTTAAAACAAAAAAATTAAATTAATCTAAAAATTTAGTCAAAAATTAATTTTTTTATTAATTTTATACTTGAAAGTCATTATCAAACGATATATGTATAATTCAAATTTTTATTTAAATTTTCATTGAATTAAGGAATCTTAAGTAGAGCAACCTCAAATTCATGCTTCTCCTCTCCTTCTCTTATAAAAAATTAATTTAAGTTAAAGTTAAACTTTTACAGAAATGTCACTAGACGAACAAGAATATAGTAGTCTAGAATCTTCTGAAAGTTCTCCTAAAAATTCGTATGAGATTGAGGACTATATTAATGTTGAAAGAAAAGATAAAGCTGTCTGTACGGTTTGCGGGGATATTGCAACTGGAGTACATTATGGAGTAATTTACATTTAAATTTTAAAAATAAACAAAAATATTTTCTTAGGTCGTCTCTTGTAATGGTTGTAAAACCTTTTTCCGGTTAGCTATAAAAATTAATTTTATATTGTAAAATAAAATAAATTAAAGTCGAACTGTGATGACTGGAAGAAAATTTGTTTGTAGAAAAGATGGAAATTGTAGTTTTGATAAAAGTAAGTTTTAATTATTTTTTAGATTGAATGAGTTTATTTCTCTGTAACTTTTTTTAATTCCTCGGGATAATGAAATGGTTTTTTATATGGTTCAGTCTCTAAATTCTGATCCCTTTTTTCTTCTTCTCACTTAATTATACATATATTAATATTTTTAAAATTTTTAGAGAATAGATGTGCTTGCCGAGCATGTCGTTTTCGAATTTGTGTAGAGGCTGGAATGGACGAAAAAGGCATACAAAATTGGCTCTACTCCAGTTTATGCGTCCAATCGACTTTTATGCGTCCAATGAAAGTTTATGCGTCCAATAAAAAGAAAATTGGATTTTTCTTGGTATTGCAAAGTTGGGGTATGGCTCCAAACCATTTCTTCATGTTCGGGACCTACGTTCACTGGGTATGGGACCGTTCCATACCCGACTCCTCGAAATTTCTCAAAGTTATAATCGTTTTTCTGAAATTTTTAAAAATTGGCTGTAACTTTAAAAAATTTCAAGGGATAGGGCAAGGAATGGTCCCAGACCCAGTGGGCGTAGGTCCCGAACATGAAGAAATGTTGTGGAACCATACACCAACTGTGCAATACCAAGAAAAATCCAATTTTCTTTTTATTGGACGCATAAACTTTCATTGGACGCATAAAAGTCGATTGGACGCATAAACTGGAGTAGAGCCACAAAATTTTATGAAAAATTTTCAAAAAAAATATTTTTTAAGCAATTCAACGAATTCCTTCTTCTAATCTAAGTTTTTCTATTGCCCGTAGACGTATTCAAAAAAATAAAAATGAGAATACTCAAGAAGAAGAAGTTAATTCAAAAACATTAAATGTTTGGGATTTTAAATTGTTTGGGATTTTAAAACAAAGTAAATAAGTACCAAAATGGTATTTATTTAAAGATTACAAATACTTTAATTACAAATCGTGAAAGCGAAGTCCTTTCTTTAATTAGAGAAACACTTTGTTTGGAAGAAAAATTGGAAAAATTACGTTTTTCTTATTTTAATCCAAAAGATAAAAATTTAAAAATTATCGAGGCTATTGAAGGTATTTTTTGAAAATTTATTTTTGAATTTGAAATTTATTTAGAACCAACCATTTTCTCCAACATTAGCAAATATCCAGTAAATTTTTTAATTAAAGACAAATTAATTTTTAAATTAACTAAAGCCAGTTGAAAAATGGCCTCCAACTTCTTTGCCCTGTTCTGAACGTAAAAAGTTTGGAGTGGCTAAATTTTGGGTTTATACAGATCTCTACCTTGGAATGTATTTTAAAAAAATAAAAATTTTTAATAAAATAAAAATTTTTTTAGGTCTTATGTTAAAACACTTCCAATATTTAAAAGTTTTTCTCTTGAAGAAAAAATATCGTTAATTAAGGTGGAATTTAAAAATAAATTATTTAGATTTAAGAATAATTTATTTAGAGTATTGTTGTACCTAATCAACTACTTACAACTGCAAGTTTTTCATCTCAAATTAATTCGAATGTTGTACAGGTAATATAAAAATATATTTAAATAAGATTTTAAAATAATTTTAAATTAATCTTTAAAGTATCCGGACGGTTCTAGCCCATTCAAAAACAAAGCTAATATAATGCCTTTGGAAAGAGAACTTTCCAAAGTTAAGTTTATATTTAGTTAAACTAAATTGTGAATAAAGAATATATTTTTAGGTGCAGTTGTACCCTTTCAAAAATTAAAACCTGATAGAGTACAAACATCGTTAATTAGAGCTATTCTTGTTTTAAATGAATGTAAATAAATTAATAATTTTAATAATATTATTTTAATTCTTGAAATATATATCTTGTCTTTTCCCAATTTGAAATTAATTCGGAAAAACTTATTTTCTAAAGAGACATAAAATTGTAACATGGAAATTGGATAAAATGACTTTGAAATTAAAAAAATCTGGGATGATTGGAAAATTACTTTTTTCCAAATTCCAATTTCTTTTTCCAATTTCCAGGTTGTGAAAAATAAATTTAAGGAAAAGCTTTTTCTTTGATTTAAAAATAATTTTCTGTTTAATTTAAATTATTCAAAATTTATTAAAGATTGTGAAGGCCTTTCCCCGCATTCTCGTCAACTTATCTCTGACCTCCGCTCCAAAATTTGCCATGCTTTACTAATTTATCTACAAAATAGACATGGACAAGCTAAAAGCGTTAAATATTTTGCTGATTCCCTTCTATTTATCACAACACTTTTTAAAAGACAACAAGTGAGAGAATAATTTTATTTTAATATAAATTATAATTACTTTTTAGATCCAAAAAAATTATTTTACTTATCGCCGTTATGTTCTCAATAATGCTTCAGAAATAAATTTATTTAGAGAATTTATGGAATAATTTTAGATATTTAATTAAAATATTTTAATAATTTTTTAAATTTTATTATAAAAAGTATTTTTGTTAATTGATTACAGAATAAACTGTTTTGTAATTTGTGCTTTGTTTCAAGTATTCTATGATAATTTTTATATTTTTAATTTACAAATAAAATATAAAAATCTTTAAAAAAATAAAATTCGAAGTTTAAAATAATTTATTTTTAGAAAAAAATCCAAATAACAAAATTGGCTCTTGCCCAAAAAAATATTAAAATAATATGTATTTGCTAAATAAACACACTATCTATAATAATAAATATTTTTTTCAAAGCAGCAAGTTTAGCAGTTTATTCATTTAAAATTTATTATTTACAAATTCTCTTAATAAAAATACTCTAAATATTTAAAAATCAAATAAAAATGTTTTTAAAATATTTTTTAATAATTATGATTATATTTTCTTTACAATTAAATAATAATGCGGTAAAGCATTTAAATTTTTAGTTTAAATATATTTTAAAATTTGTAATTTAAAAATAAAAAAATCTTTTTTAAGCTAATATATTTACTTAATAAACAAATAAATTCTACAAGCCCAACAAAAACAACTAATAATCCAAAAGATGAATTTTCAGGAGAAATACATGTTTCTAAGCATTTATTAATTCCAAGTGAACCATAAATAAAGAAAAAAAATGAGAAAATTATTTGAATAAAAAATGCTAGAATTGATTAATTTTATTTTTTGGGAAAGTTTTTAAAATTAAATAATATTTATTTATTGGTATAAATGATAAAAATTGGATTTATCAAAAAATGTAATTTTAGAGTAAATTGATTTATATAATTTCCATTGTTGTAGATAATATAAGGACTGAAAAATTCTGAAGTTTTGTTTAAAAAATACACCAGGGGCCGTATTCAGAGAACGAGATAAGGTTAATTGGTAAGTTTACAAGATTAATAGAACCCCGAGCTGAGGGTTAACCCTTATTCAAATAAAATCAACCCAGAACTCGATGTTTATCCGCAGCTGCGGGTAAACTAACCCACAACCCTCTTCTATGAATACCACCTAAATTAGACAATTTAAAATTAAAAACATTTTTAATGTTTGGATATTGTTCCTCGGTAAATCTGAGCCGATTTTCAAAATTTAAAAGTATCATGAAAGTTAAAGTTTTTCGCTTTTGATCAGATAAATTTTATAATTTTAAAGTCTCATTTTATAGGTTAAAGTTAACTTAAAAATGTTATCATCTTCGATTAAAACGTGGAGAATTTTTAGCAAAGATTTCAAAATATTTTAGCATCAAGATAAAATTATGTAATTAAAGATTTTAAAATATTTAATTAAAATATTTTAATAATTATTTTTAAATTTATTATAGTTAGTGTTTTTGTTGATTGATTCCAAAATAAACTGTTTTGTAATTTGTGCTTTGTTTCAAGTATTCTGGGAATTTTTAATTTACAAATAAAATATAAAAATCTTTAAAAACCCCAAAATTCAAGGTTTAAAATAATTTATTTTTAGAAAAAGATCCACCAAAATTGGCTTTTGCCCAATAATATTGAGATAATATGTATTAGCTAAATAAATATACTATTTATAATAATAAATATTTTTTCAAAGCTGCAAGTTTAGCATTTATTAAATTTAATTTATTATTTATGTATTAACTTTAAATAAAGACTCTAAATATAATAAATATCTCTAATTTTTAAATAAAAATGTTTCTAAATTATTTTTTAATAATTCTGAGTACCGTAAACACTGAAATAATTACTCTGGATAATTATTGTTTCAATCTCTCCCTGGAGGGGGTAATTATTAGGGAGGATGTGTTGGGTTTAGTGTATGTCTCAATCCTATTGAGGCGATAACACCGGTTTCGTGACTTTTGCGCCGTGAACATTTGCGCCGCGACTTATGCGCCGCGACTTTTGCGCCGCGACTTATGCGCCGAGCGACTTTTGCGCCGAGGGACTTTTGCGCCGCGACTTTTGCGCCGGAAAGTCGTGATACCATAACACCCACAACAGAATTATAAATTCTCCCTATAAATTCTCCCTTTTTTATCCGCGAAATCCTTTTTACTAATTTTTTAGTTTTATTGGAAGGATAAAACTATGCAAAAATATAAATTTTTATCCAAAAAAATCCAAATTTGGCTTTTGGCTTAATAATATAGAGATAAAATTTGCTGAATAAACAAGCTATACATAATATTCAATACCTTTTCCAATTTTTAATTAATTATTTAATTAATCTAATCTAGCATTTATTATCATTTAATAAAAAAACTTTAAATATTCAATCTTTAATTTATTATTTTTTTTATTAAAAATTAATTATTTTAAAAATTAATTTAACCAAATAAAAAATAAAATAATTTAATTTTTAAATAAAAATGTTTTTAAAATATTTTTTAGTAATTATTATAATATTTTCTTTAATCCAATTAAATAATAATATGGTAAAATAAAATATTTTTTTATTTTTTAAATTTTAAATTAAATAGTTTTTTAAAATTAAATTAGGTAGTTGAATTAAACAATTAATTTATTAAAAATACAAAAATAAATTAATTTTTATTTAAATAAAAAATTAATAAAATTATAAGTAAAATTTTTAAAAATTAATTTATCAAAATTAAATATGTATAAAATAATTTTTTAGCTTTACTTTTATTTTGATGAAGAAAAAAATACGACAACAAATCCAACAACAAATACTACTTCAAACGAAGAAAATTCTGCAAAATACTTCTCTTTATTATTAATTCCATCTGATGACAATACAAATATTTCTAAATAAAAAAGAAAAATACGAGAAAGGATTATTTAAATGAAAAGTTTAATTTTTTGGGGGAATTTTTTAAATTTTATTTAAATTATACATATTCATTTATAGAAATAAAAAAGGGAATGAGCCAACAACATTTTTTAATCTTCTTTCTTCTATAAGGATTTCCTTAAATAAGAAAAGAGAGAAAAGTCCTTTAATCTGATTTCAGAGGAAAAAACGTTCTGCTAATACTTTTAAAAAGAATAAAATTTTAATAAAAATAAGGGAGATAAAATTGGTAACAGAATTGAAAGTATGGATTTTTTTCTGAAACAAAACCTTTTACATAAAATGCAAGAGCTTCAAACTTCTAATCAGGGATGTCACGGGTTGAGAAAAATGTCGGGTCGGGTTTCGGGTCGGGTTTCCAAAATTTTTCTCGAATCGGGTTTCGGGTTGAGCAAAAAGTCGGGTCGGGTTTCGGATCGGGTTTTCAAAATTTTCTTCGGATCGGGTTTCGGGTTTCGGGTCGAAAAAAAGTCCGAGTATCTTCCCTTCTCAGCGCCGCAGGCGAAAATTTTGAGAATTCTGGAAGGTCCGAAGCCAGATTTCTTCCTTTTTCAGCGCCGCAGGCGAAAATTTTCAGAATTTTGGAAGATCATTAAGCTAAAAATCTTCCCTTTTTCTCCGACGAGGGCGAAAATTTTGAGAAAACTCGGGTCGGGTTTCGGGTCGGGTTTTGAAAAATAAAAATTCTCGGGTCGGGTTTCGGATCGGGTTTTAGAAAATTTCTCGGATCGGGTTTCGGGTATCGGGTCGAAAAAAAGGCCGGGTTTCGGGTTTCGGGTATCGGGTTTCGGGTAACCCGTGACATCCCTGCTTCTAATAGAGGTAATACCTCTATTAGAAGTTTCGTCCTTCGTCTTTCGCCGATTTACGACTTTTTATGATTTCGTCTTTTGCCTTTCGCCGTTCGCTTTTTCGGGAAAGGCGAAATTATTATAAAACCCCTAATATTCGTCAACTCTTCTTATCTCCATCTTAATCCTACAAATCCCCTAATATCACCGATTTATTGATTATGAATGTTATCTTTAGATTCGGAACATTTGACAAGGCTTTTGTATTATTTGATCAAAGGATCTCGAGACCTATAGCGGAGACTGAAAAATTTCGCCTTTCGTCTTTCGCCGATTTTCGCCTTTTTTGGATTTTCGTCTTTTGCCGTTCGCTTTTTAAAATGACTTTCGCATTTCCGCCTTTCGTTTTTTAAAATCACTTTCGGCACACCTCTGTAGTATACATATAATTGGTAAATTTGTACTTTATCAAGAAATGTCATTAAAACTTTTGCCATATTTCATCAGAAAATTAAACAAATTTTCACCTGTAAATTTAAAGTAAATAAAAGAATAATGTAAACATTATTTTAAAATTATATAGAATTATTAATTTAGTTTGTCTCGAAGTAAAAAGTTAAGGCATTTTCGCTAAGTCGGAGTTAAAATTTAATGGAAAGAAACTTAACATATTATTAATTTTCTTAATAATTTTTTTTATAATTTTATTTAATGAATTCTTAATAATTTTATTTGATAATTTTTTTTAATAATTTTTTTTTATTTTCATTTCTCTTTTAAATGCAGGTGAAAATTCTGAAATAGTCTACCGTTTTCTTTTAAATATTTAAAAATTTTGTCAGAAATTCTCTTTTACAAAAAAGACTTCTAACTAAAAATGTCTTCCGTTTTACTTGATATTTTATTTAAATTTGATTATTTTGTTTGTATATTAATTGGGTTTCCTTTAAATATTCTTCTGATTATTTTAATTATTTTTAAAACGCCAAAAGAAATGAAAATACACAGTCGAATTCTGATACAAAATTGTGTTTTGGATATTTTAATGTTGATTGTTCAAATGTTTCTTCAAGCGGTAAATAAAAAAATAAACCAGAAAATTAATCATAAATTTAAAAAAATCACAATTTGAAGAGAATAAGTACATATAATTTTTAAAAATAAGTATAATAACAAAATAATTTTTAATTGAAAATCAGAATTAAATTTTAAAAAACCATGAGTGAACAAAAATCAGAATTTTAAGAATAATAGTGTAAGGTGATTACCTAGCAGCATTTAAAACGCTTAAGCTGGGATTAAACGAAAATGAGGAAAGAGAAAGCATTAGTTATAGAGCATTTGCATGGTTTAATCGAGGCGCGAGCACTCAAATCAAATCCTGTCCGGGAGCTTAACTTTTGTTAAACTCTTATCATAGTAGAAAATTAGTAATTTAAAATCGCTTTCTAATACCAGGATTAATTTAAATATTAAAAAACATATAATATTTAACTAAACAATTTAAAATAAACACCAGAATTAATATCAATTTTAAAATTATTTATAGTTTTATATAACTGATACAGAAGGGAATACAATTACAATTTTTCCTAATGGGATCTTGCTTTGTTTTATGAAAGAAAATTTTAATCCGTTTATCTCTTATCTTATTTTTTTTGTTTACCAATTTATTTTTTATTTAAATTTGCAAGGATTGTGTGTTCAATTTATCTATAGATATTTAGTTTTAAACAGGTAAATAAATTAAAATAATAATTATTAAATAAATACACGAAAATATTTTTTACATATGCTTTTTTAAATTAAAAATATTATTAGAAATATAAAAATTACTTTTCGTCGTTATTTATTTATGGTGTCCATTGCTTTATTCGTGCAAACATTTTATTCTTTGGATCTAATTTTCTTTGTAATGCCATATTCAAATGGAGGTATTAAATATTTTGATAATTTTAACGAAACATGGCCATTTACTCAATATGAAATGGAAACGGTTATTTTTAAATTAATTTACTTTTTTTAATTTTAAAACAAAAATATGTAGGTGAATATTCTAACACTATTACCTCTAACATTAATTGAAATACTTGCATATTTAATAATATTTGTTTGTGGATTCAAAATGGTTAGATATGTCAATTTAAACACTACTCTTGATGGAAATTTGAAAAGATTGAATAAACTTTTAACTAAAGTTTTGCTTATTTTGGTAAGACTTAAAATATTTCTCATAGTAAATTACCTGTCATCAGTTGTAGAAAATATTTTAATTAAAGATCTCTCTAATATTTAGTATTACTGCCATTCTATATTTCAATACCCTCAAAAAATTATTTTAAGAGAGAGAATGTCCATTCTATTAAAAATATTTTTTAATTAATTTTTAGGCTTTTGTACCATTTGTTAATCAAGCCGAAATTTTATTTTTTATAATTTATACAAAAACAAGCAACAATACAATAAATATTATTCGAATATTATTTCACATTTTATTTCATTTAACACCTTTATTTAACCCAATTATTTGTATTTTAACAAACACTCCATATCGAAATGCTATTTTTAATCGTTCACAAATAAGTCCACAATAAATTTATTAATGCCCAAATCATTCATAATTATTTTTATATTGTTACTAAAATTGTTTTTGCATAAAAAATTATTTTTTTAAAACGTTTACTGTCCAAATCACTCACTGCCCATATTTAGCTGCTTAAATCGTACGCTGCCGAAATTACCAGACATGCTTATTTTACTCTAATTATCTACTAGAGAATGATTTCAGGCTTTAGATAAGTAAAAACACCTCTGGGTGTTGTTTGTTGTTTATTTGCGTAATTATAAAATTAAGATTATAACTAAAGCACGACATATTTTGTGAATTAGTTGACTTTATTTAAGAAAAATATGTATTTATTTTCTTTAATTTATGAATGAAAAATAAAATAATTTCAAAATAATTAAAATTATTTATCTGAGCATGCAGTAGTTGACTGCAATTCCCTCGGTGTATTTGAGCGACTCTGATGTGGAATTGGTGAATGAGAGGAAGGGGCATTTATAAATATCATTTGTTCGGGGTATTCACTAAAAAATATATTTTAATAAAAGATTATAATTATTATTTTTATTACCTTCCCCTTCTCGAACTATACATTGAAGCATTATCAAATGAGAATGAAGTAGAAAGGTAATTTCTGAAGAAAAATTATAAATAATTTTGTTAATCTTAAAATTTAATTTTTTGAATAAAATGGAAAATTATCAGAAATTAAATAAAAATTTTCGATATTTTTATTTAACTTGCCTGTAAGCACTGGGTCTACGTGGTTGTCTTTGTTCACTAAATAAATACATAAATTATCAATTGTTTTTCTTATACCTAAGTAAATGTTCATTAACAACTAAATCTACAGAAGACTCAGAACGATCATGATCTATATCTAAATCATCATCTTTAACAATAACATAATAAGCTGTAAGAACACAGCCACAATTGGCAATTATCTAAATATACATAAATTTAATTAAATAAAATAAATCCAAGTCAGAGTTTCTATCAAAAATATACCCTATACAGAATTAAATTTGTTTGGTTATTAAATTGGGGAGGGGACAGCCTTTGTTATACCTCCAATAACAGGGACTCTCACTTTAAAAAATTTTTTTACAGCCTCAAAGGTGTCTTATAGTGAGTTCAATTGTAGGTAAACATAACTAGAAAAACAAATTTTCCTAAAAACATTCTCAAAACCAAACAGAATTTAAATTGAATATTCTATTTATTAAGGATCAATAATGCTTCTTAATTTCTTTAAAATAATTTTTGGCCAAATTTCTATTCAAAAAACTCACGGTGGCGGCAGAAAATAAAGGTTGTAAATGACCAAATAAAATAGCAAGAAGTGTTACTTTATAAAAATTTAATTAATTAATTAATTTTTAATTTAAAATTACAAAATTTATTTGTCCCAAAATGTGTAACAGTAAGGCTTTAAATTTAAATTAAAAACAAAAATAAAAATAATTTTTGATGAAAACCTTAGCATAGTAACAGCACTTGTAGGTAATTGAACAACGAGGAAAGCTATTGTAACGGCATATATAAGTATTTTTGTCTAAAGATTTTAAAATAAAAAATAGGATTTTAGAAAATAATTTTAAAGAAAGATCCCCTTTCCTCCCCATACAGAAGATCGGTAACCAAGATTAATGGTTGATAAGCGGTTTGGGAGGAAATCAAAATTATTTATTATTCACCTGATCACGTAAGGAACGTCCAAATCGATTACTGGAAAAATTAGAAAAATTATTTTAGTTATAAATTAAATTAATTTACTGTTCATCTGGCTGACAGTCTATAACCCTTTCTCTATTGAAACTGTAAAATATTTTTAAATAATTTTTAGAAATTTTATCAACCCAATATGAATAAGAATGAGAGCAGCTCCAGGTAAAATAAATTGAGCAAAAAGATCAGCTAATGGCAAAAAAATCTTCAAATATAAATATTATTTTTATAAAATATAAACTAAAAACGATTTTCCAAAAATAAAATATTACTTATTTTTTAGTTTATCTTTGATCTTTAAATTATATTTCTGAAAAAATTTTTTTGAATAAAGTGATATTTGTTTTTTTAAATTTTGAGTCAAAATTTAAGTTAAAATATGAATCCTGAATTTTTTTGATTTTGATTGACTCCTAATTATTAAAAGAATTAATTTTTAAATTATATAATTTAAGAGAATGACCTTCCAAAATGCTCGTCCTAATCGTAAAAATGAGACTAATGATCCATCCGTAACTTTAAAAATATATTTACATATAAACTTAAATTGATTAAATACCCATGCATCTACGTGCCCAATATGGTCCAGGCTCAGTATCTAAAAGTATTTTAAATAGTTTTTCGACTAAATTATTTAAAAAAAATATTTTTTAAATTTACCCATGCAAAGAGAGTAAAGTGCAACATCGTGTTCAAAGAAACGTAGTCCTCCTAGAATAACACTCAACAAAATAACAAACAAAATGGCACGAGAAAAACGTTCAACCTTTTTTAAAAATATTAAGTTAAATGAGAAGAATTGTTTTAAATTTTATTATTCAATTTTATTTTTTTGGTTTGAGAAACAATTTTTTGGAATAACATATGCATCGGGATTAATACCTATGACAAGAATAAAATTTTGCTGAATTTTTATTATGGATCTCAAAAATGATTTTTTAAAAATCTCTTTCCTTTCCGTTAATTTTTCAAAGTAACTTCAATTCTATCGAAATTTCCCAACAAATTCCCATTCTCTCAATTTCAATTCAAAATAGAATTGTACACTCAAAAACAATATTTTCTTCCTTTTAGAAAATTAATAAACTAACAGTTCTCAATTTTAAAGTGTTTCGATGATATTGAGTTAAAAATCTAGCTCCCGCAAGGATTACAGAGCAAAGTGTAATTAAAGTATCTGTTGTGTGTGGGATAACCTTTTTTTATTTAAAAATTTATTTTAAATATTTTTAATTATTTTAATTACTTCCATTGTATTTCTAAATAAATGGCACATTGCTATACTTTGATTCATATGTCTAAGACCGTCACCTAGAACGTAATACCAACACTGAAAATTTTATTGAAAAATAAAGAGGTGTCTTCAATGTCTTCAATAATTTAATAAAAATATTTTTCTTTCTCAAAATCCATGAAAATTTCAAAATTAAATTTTATTCCTAAAGGAGTATTTTTAAAAAAAATAATTTTACGCTAAATGGAAGTGGTGCCAAAAGTGACATCCAGGCACAAAAGCATAAAAGTGAAATTAATTGATATAATGGATTTGGCTGAAAATATATTAGAGTCAATAATTTATTTAAATATACACTAACATATCTAGATTCTCCTTCACGTTTTTCACGTTTACTCATTCCGAGCATGCTGAAAATAATTTTTTTAAATATACAAGGTTAACTATGGTGAATAACATTTTAAAACTAATAAGGTACCCTCACTTACAGCTACACCCTAAGGCTAAAAGACTGTAAATTAGATGGGGATATCCATCATTGGGAGATAGCTTGTTACTATACACACTCAACGGCTTTAGGTAGACCCCCACCAAATTTTAAAAAATAAATCATAAATTTAAGTGTAGATATCTGTTATTGGGTTTATCTTATAGTGAGATGCGACCGCATATCTCTCTGGTTTTTTAAGAATTAAATACCCACACAGCACTCAAAGGTGCAATCATTACAAGGACAAGCATTGGATAAACAAATCTAAAAAATTTTAATAAATTTAAAAAATTTTTTTGTTAACCCATAAATAGCTACATGTGTCCATCCATTGTTTAAACGTCCAAACATAAAACCTACATTTGCCTGAAATAATTTAATAAAATTTTTTAGAATTATTTTGATGATTACCGAAACAAGGCACTTTCCTGTAGGAAAATCGTAGAAAAATCCTAAAAAAGGTAATTAAAATTTCTGTGAAAAATAGTTTTTATTTTTTTATTTAGGAGACCCAAAATTATATTATGTAAATATGACAAAGAACCAGGTCATTAGCGGTAACAAAATTTTATATTAATCTACAGAATACTAGAATGAGTTTTAGTAAATCTAAAACCGATTTTAATTAAATAATTATAACAACAGACCAGTCCCACAGCAACATTTTGCAACCTAAAATTAAATTAAAATTATCTCCAAATAATTTAATAAAACTCTTTGTTCTTCTGTTGCACACTGATCTGAAGGGAGTATGGAAATATTGTGAATAGTTAAATCGGCATCTCCGTCTATTTGGACTAATTGCATGGATTTCTTTTAATTTATTTTTGTCAAAGTTTTTAGAATTTTTTAGAAAGACAAGCATTGATTGGTTAAAGCAATGATAAATCTCCGACTTAAACTAAATGATAAAATTATTTTTGGACTAAAAAAACATGAATAAGTTTAAAATAAAATATTATTTCAGTGAGAAATTTAGTTTAAGGCAGAGGTCGTTGGAAATAACAAAAGTGCAGTAAATCGGAATTATAGGAAATCGGAACTTTAAGTAATTGGAATTCTGACTGACTTCTGACTTGAGGTTGAATAATGACTATAATATTAACTAAAATTTTGTTAAGATAAAGGTTAAGTTAAGCATAACTTGTTAAGCTAAACAAGTTATTTTTTAATTATTTAAAAAACTAAATATTTACGAACATTTTCGTATTCTAATAGCTTCTAAAGGAATGCATTTTAGAAGAATTTTTTAGAAATTAAAATATTAGAAGCAACCTGAAATTCATTTCTCAAATAAAACATTTTGTTGAATTGAACATTTAACACTTTTTATTAAAAAATATATTAATATTTTCATTTTCCCTCAAATATTACTAAATAAATAAATTATTTAAAAGTAAATAATTATAATTGATTAAATTTAAAAAATTATTTAAATGTTTGCGTGCAAAAAAAAGTGGAAAAATGAGAGAGAGGTATTTAGTTTATTTATGAAGGGGAAGCCTATTTGTTGAGGGAAAAAATATGGATAAAAAGCTAATGGATCCCAATTAATAAATTGTGACATTTAATCCCAAAAGGATTCGTTTCTAAATTGATTTGGAGGATTTGTTTTTTTAATTTTGTGAAAGCTAAAAATAAGTACATTTTAGTAAAAAGATTTGAATAAAAATATTTAAAGAAAAATTTTTCTTATATTTTTTAGAAAATAAATATTTAGAAAATTATTGGTTACTAAAATATGGAATGTGCCAATTATTGAAAATTTAATATTTAAAATTATTTTGTCTTCTATTTTTTAATGTTGAAATGATTTTTTAAAATAATATAGGTAATAGTACATTTGACTATTATTAAATTTAAAGGGACTGGTAGATTTTGGAATAAAATTTTTTGCTTATTTTATTTACTAAAAAATGATGATTGCCCTAGAGTTATTCTTCAACATTTTCCTGTGCCCAAAGAAAAGGCTTGATATTTCAACTCCCATTAATTAATAAGGAAAACAAGAAATTATCCATAATTATCTATAATAATTCTTATTTATTTTTTTTATTCTCTGACCATTTGAAAGAACACAAACTGTTTCTCATTATTATCTCATAAAATTTTTTGAAGAAAATTATAAGGAAATAAAGTAATCGGAAAATGCAATTTTTCCCTCCATTTTTTTCTCTTTTTTTAAATAAAATCTACATTTTTATTCACTTAAAAGGCTTAAAAAAAGCTGTTAGTTTTGACTGTTTAGTTCTTTAATATTTTTAAATAAAATGCAAAAATGGGGAGTTCATTAGAGTTGGTTGACTGGAAATGTGTTGGTAGAAGAAATGTTAAAAATATATTTATTTATTTTTTGTATGTGAGGGAGGGATTCAAATAAATAAAAAAAACAACCCTTGGGGATAAAACAAAAATAAATAGAAAAAAAAGCAGTAAAATTATTATTTAAATAATCAAGATATTTACTGATTTAAAAATTGTAATGTATTTTTAATAAAAAATTAAGATTTAATATTTAAAGGAAATGGAATAAATTGTGTGTACTTAGTTGGTGCCATTGAAATATTTCTTTTTAATTTGTTCAATACATAATAATTTAGCCTTTAGTTATTTGGATAACTAGAGGACAATTAATTTCAAAAATTTATATAAAAATATCTTCAACTAAAAATTTTTTTACAAAAATTAGAATTAACTTAATAAATTTTGATATTCACGAACAATCAATTTATATGAATTGCTTAAAAAAATTAGTAAATTTTAGAATCAAATTAAGAGATTAATGAGTATTTGCTAAATATTTCGAGTTTATTAAATTTTATGGTAATTTTGAAGTACCTCCTCCCAATCCTCGCTTTTTTCCTTCTCAAGGCATTAAAAATGGTCAGTCTATAAAAAATGTAGAACACATCGGGCTGTAAATCCGACTTGATTCGACCGAGATACAAACAGCTGAAAATTGAAAAACCACTTCAAAATTACCAATTTTATTTGTGCCAATTAATTAAATTAAAAAACTGAAGATTTGTTTATTTAAAAGAAACTAATTGCTGTAAATCAAGGCATTTTAAGCTAAAAAGTAGAAACTTTTGTGGTAGTGAGTACATTTTAATTGTTTAAAAAATCAAAGAAAATTTTTCATTCCTATATTAAGAAAGAAAGTTTAACACAATTTTATTTTTTGTGTTTTCATTATTTATTTTTTGAAAATCAGATGCACTTTTTTCAATTGGATCCTAAAATAAAATAAAATTTTGTTTATTTATAACCTAAACAATCTAATATTTTTGGAAAATGCCAAAATTCATAAAAAGTTCTCTTTGATATCATGTGAATATTTTTAGCGTTAAATATTTAACAGACAAACAAACATTTTGCACAAAACAAACATTTTTTAAGCACAAACAAGGAATGGAACCGCACAAAATACATTTAATTCACAAAATACATATAAAAATTTACCAAAAATTTTTTTAGAAATATTTGCCAACATTTATAATTTTCTCTGAAAATATTTTTTCATCGAACAAAAAATATACCTAAATAGACGATAAAATTAATCTTTAAATAATATTTATTTTAAATAAATATTTTTATTCGTTTTTTTTTTAATTTTTATAAATGCTTTATTTGTTTTTATTAAAATTTTATGTTATTGCCGGTTAATGTTTGGATTTTTTAAAAAATATCTTTAAAAAAATATTTCTCTTAATTTCAATAGAAAAATAAATTTTAAAATTTCGAATCACTAATAAAATTTGGGGGAAGGGGATTTCATATTTGGAGTGATTTTGTCTCCTCTCTTATTCTCTCTTTCTCTTATTCTCTGGCATTTTTCCCTGATTTCTCTTATATTTCTATTTATACTTTTGTTCACCTATAATTTAGGTTTTTAAGAAAAATATTTTAGAATTACTTTTATTTAATTATTTATAATTTAATAATTTATTTAAGGAAGACTCATATACACCTTATATTTAAAATAATTTTAAAATTTTAATTATTTTTTTTCTTTTCTTTTATTACCTTCTTTTGTTACTTTCTTTCCCTTCCTCTCAAAAGCCTTATCGTTGACGTTTTTTATGTTCGCCTATAAAGATTATACATCGGGATCATTTTAGTTATTTCTTGTATAAATTTGGTCGAGATCTTTAAAGAATACAAAATTATACTTTTTTTTTTAATTTTTAATTATTGTCGAGAATAAAATTATTTTTACATTAATTATTTTCTTTTCTCATTTTTTTCCAAATTAAAATTCAAAAATTCGGGTTTTATCAATACCCCCATCCAGACCATCGGATCCTGAAATCCGTAAATTGAAATTTATTAGTTTACAACTCTAATGAGAATATCTGGTACTTTTCCGTTAAACGACCGCAAACTGAGTGCCGGCAAACTTTTATCGGCTATAACTTTCTGCTGCTTGATCCAATATAAATAAATTTTATATCATACGCAAGCCCTTGGTAAGCGTTATCTTTTTTCCAACTTGTTGGACAAGTGTGATCATCCATTAAAAATTAATAACTCGATAAATATGAAAAACATCAAATGACTGGACTTATCGGGTTATAATTTTTTGATAGTGATCAGATTTGAGTTATCCTATTAGAAAAAATATGCAGCTTATCGAGGCTTTTGAATGATATAAAATTCATTTATTGGATCAAGCATCAAAAAGTTATAGCAACTAAAAGTCGGCTGGCACTCAGTTTGCGGTCGTTTAACGGAAAAGTACCGATTATCTTCTGATTATTTATTTTAAATTTTAAATTTTTCAACATTTGCTGATGACGAATTATATGTATGTATATTTTTAATTATATTTTGAAAATAAAAATATTTTTTATTTTACCTTTATCTTTTAAATTTTTATAATTTTTATTGTAATTTTTCTTTAAAAAATCTTATTTAATATTTATACATAGCATCATTTTATCTAACTTTTTATTAATATAGCATCATTTTATTTAACTTTTTAAAGATTGTTATTATTGTATAGATTATACATCAAGACCATTTTTGGCTCATTTTCTCTCTCTTTTCTTTCTCTTTTCACTTTTTAAAAACCATGAGCACAACTACAATTATTTCTTTTTCTATTAAAATTAAAAAACATTTTTCTAAAAACATTTTAAAAAATTCAAACATTATGCCAAACACAAACATAATATTTTAATAAAAGCTAATAACAATATTATTTCGTGGCTCTTTTTATTAAATGAGTTCATACATCAGATCATTTTAGTTCACATTTTTACGTCTATACTTTCCTCTCTCTCTCTCCCTCTCTTTTTTTATTAATGAAGAATCCTGGGCATTGAATAAATTTATTTAATTATTGTCAATGCTTCACATTCCCCTCACATAACCTCTCTCCATTTTATTTAAAATTATTGTTTAAGTAATAGCTGTAATATTTATTTAAAGTTTTTTTAATTACCTAAAAATCCTATTGGAATAACATATTGAATGTCTTTCAAAGCATAATTCTTTCTTTACTTGTATTAAGAAGGCTTTTTTAATAAATATCAAACTAGTTGAAAGATGGATATATTAATATTCCGACGAGGAATCTTTTGCCTACGTTACTACATATGGTGTCGAAGTTTTTTAAAGAGGTTTAAAGAGGTCTTTAATGAGGTCCTAAATATGTGGGTTTCAAAAATATAAACATATAATTCCATAATTAATTTGTTTTTATGTCCCCCTCCCTGGCAATTTTTAATTGTAATCCAGAATTTTGAAATTAAAAAAATACATTTTTTAAACAACTTAACCAAGCACTAATATAATATTTTAACAAAAGCTAAAACAAATATTATTTCATGGTTCATTTTATTTAACGAGTTCACACATCAGATCATTTTAGTTCATTTTTTAACGTCTATGTATACTTTCCTCTCCCTCTCTTTTTTTATTAATGAAGAATCCTGGGCATTGAATAAATTTTTTTAATTATTGTCTATGCTTCATATTTCCCCCCACATAACCCTCTCAATTTTTATTTAAAATTATCTTCTAAGTCATTTTACTAAATAAAACTTTTACAAATAAAACTTGCAACTCAATCTACGGCTCGGTTTACCTTTAGTCCATTAGGACATTCAAGTTGTTCACTTGTTGGATAAACTTGTTATTCTATGTATTCTTATATTATTCTGTTAGTCACAAGGCTAGACCGCACCCAAGGACATAACAGGGATCATTTTGATCATACAAAATCAAGATGCATAAATTCTAAATTCTATTTATGTCTTTTATTCCATCTATTTATTTCAAAAAATTAATTTTAATTTTAAAATATATCTTTATACACAAATTGACATAAACAATTTTTTTAATTTTTATCAATTTATGCTTAAACTACAAACTTCTATGCCAAATATTACGTAAATATTTGCATAAAATGAGCTTCTTTTTGTTAATAAATTTTTTGGTTTATTTCATTTATTGTAAATATTTAAATAAATCGTTCTTTAATTTTGCTTTAATAAAATTATTTCTTAGCTCATAAAATTAAAAACCTTTTTTTAAAAATTTTTTTTTTGGATTTTTGTATGCTTAGCTTTATAATTTAATAAAATAATGAGCTTTTTTGATTTTATAATATTCCATTTTTATTTTAAATTTAAATATAAATATTTATCCATAAAATATTAAAATTTAATTTAATCTTTTAAGATTAAAATTTAATTCCAAATTTTTCCTCTAAATGTCATTATCTTCCTTATCTTCCTTTGTACATTCATATCCACCAAACAATACTTCCCCAAACTTTCACAATAATTCGGAAAATTTAAACACAAATTCCCAATTAATTCAAGAATCTAATCAGGAAGAAAAAATAAAAAAGAATTCGAGTGAAAAAAGGAATCCAAAATCATTTTTTTCCGACTGCGCGGTTTGTGGCCAACAAGCTAGGTGTCACAATTTTGGAGTTAAATGTTGCCATGGTAATTTGATTTGAGATAAAATTAGTTAAATTTTAGGAATTTTGATAGACTTTGAATTACACCTTAAAAATGTATTTTAAAAATTTTTAATTTTATACTCGGGATTTCAAGAAAATGTTCAAATTAACTAAATAAGACTGACTAGACTTTGTGTTTTAACTAGCTAGACGACTTTAAATTATTTAATTAATTTTATAATTTTTTTCAAGCTTGCCGAATGTTTTTCCGTCGATCTGTTTTGAGCCTAAAAGAGTTTAAATGTAAATCTGGAGGAAAATGTCAAACACAAAAAGGTGATTCTATAAAAATAATTAAAAAATTAAAAAAAAATTTTCTATAAAGAATTTTTTATTTTTTTAAAAATATTTAGAAAATAATAAAAATAAATAAAATTATTAGTTTTTTTTTAAATTTTAAAGGAGAAAAGTGTCGTTCTTGTCGCCTTGATACTTGTATTAAAGAAAATTTGGATATTTCTTTAATTCAATTTCCTGCAAGTTTTAATTTTAAAAAAATGAAGGATTGGTTATCTAAGAAAAGAAGGGAATTAATGCCTAATAATTTTGTAAAACCTTTAAATGGACAACAAAATATGAAAAATTTAATGATTATTAGCAATAAAAATGTGAATATTATTGAAAATATTAATAATGTAAATATGCCAAATATACCTCAATTATTGCCAAATATTGAAAAAATTAATGTTGATTTGGAATTGCTGTTATCAACAGAAACTAACGCTTCAAAATTACGTCTTTCCCCAAATAATTTATTATTAGAATATTTATTTACAAAAAATTTGGAAATTTTAATTGAAAGTAGAACGAATGTATTGGATTTTATTGAACTTTTTGGAATGGTAAGGAAAATTAAATTTTTTAATTAAAAAAATATTTTTATATTTTTAAAGGATGGTAGACAGTTGAATATAGACGAAAATTCATTTAAAGAAGGAAGAAATCTCCCAACTATTGGAAATTATCAAAATTTGGATTTTCTGCTGGAAATTGAAATTATGAAAAAATTGCCTATTTTTGATAAAATTCCCTTCGAAGATAAGGTACAGATAAATTTTTACTTGAAATTATTTAAATTTTACTTTAAATTTTGTTCAACCCAATTTATTGTTGTGTCCATCTTATATAGATTTTCTTTGTAAAAAATTTTTAAAAACTCAAAATTTTGCAGATTTGTCTTTTCCGTTCAAATATCCATCGTCTAGTAACACTTTCCAATTGTTTTCAATCTGTACAAATGGGAGAATCATCAGTTACATATCCAAATGGTTCATGTCCTGGCGATTTTTGTAAAAATTTGTTTGAAAGAATATTTAATGAAGGAGATTTGAAGAGGTAAATTCTGTTTAATTTCCAAGGAATTTCCTCAATTAGGTGTTTGGGGCTAAAACCGATTTCCTTATATCGTAACTTAAAGATAGCATACGCCAGGACTACCAGTGGCCACATATTACATATTCAACTTATATTTAATTTTAAAGTCTAATTTCTTTGTAGATATCAAGTTTTGAGAAGACGAGCATTTACTGACATAATAACAGAATTTAAAACATATAATATAACACAATCAGAATATGTTTTACTCAAAGCAATTTTATTTTGTAATTCAATACCAGAAAATGTTACTCAAAATTCCAAAAATTTATTAAAATTGGAAGCAGAACGTTATGGACAAATATTAATGAAATATTTACAAAATTTATTGGGGGAATTTGATGGAGCAATGAGACATGCAAAATGTTTATTATTTATTGGGAAAATATTTGAATATAATTTACAACAAAATATGTTTTATAAAATGGTTGAAGAAAAAATATTTAACAACAATAATGAAGGAGGAAATTATTGTTTAATTATGGAAAGGCCTATATTCGTTGAACAATGCTTATTTAAATTTACAAACTAATTTTCAAATTTGTATTAAAATGCATAATACATAATTTATTATTTATTTATAATTTTATTTTTTGTGCCTTCATATTTATTTTTTCACTGTGCTTCTTTATTTATTTTTATTAAAATAAAAAACAAAGCTTGTAAATTAAATACTTTTATGGATATATTAGTTGTGATAGACAGTTTGGCTGGAAGTAGAAATTATAGTAAAAATCACAAGAATTTAAAAGGATATAAAAATTATCACGAAACCCTAGAATATCTAACTTTATTTAGATGAGGCGACGAGTATAAATAAAGGATAATTAACCGTAAATGTGGTTTGATATGATGTTAAGTTCAAAGTTAGTATAGAAGCAATGTCGGAATATAATCACGAAGGTCATATAAATATTCTCTAAAATAGGACGTGAATAAGATCCTTTTACTTACATACTAGGGTAATTAACAGAGATGTTGATAATGAATTCTAGAGTTGCCTGACGTGACGCGGTATCTACGTTTTTGGCAGCATAAATCCAATTTGTGGCAGATAATACTCCAAAATTTTCGTTTTGCCTCAATAGATCCCTCAATTTTGCTCCCTAGTATATGACTTAATACTCTAATATGATTAATAAGGATTAAATAGCATATAGAAGGATCATGAGGAATGTATCAGTGGATCTGGGAATTTAACGGTGATTTTAAGAGATACCGAGCCTGAATATTGGAGAATTTGAAGGAATATCAGAGTGTCCCTCTTTATCTATCAGCAGATAAATTCTAATGAAAGTCTGAGAAATCTAGAAAAATTCTCAACTTATCCAAATAAGTTTTGTGTAATTTATTTTTCGTTTAATGATTTTTGCTCATCTCAATGTATTAAATAAATTTTAATCTCCAGATTTAAAATTTTATAATATAAACATTAAATTCTCATACATTTATTTTTTTAATTGTTTTAATATCCCCTAAATCATTTTATTTTCTAAATCTCTAAAATATATAAAATTTCCTTAAATCAATAAATGTTTTTATTTAAAATTATAATTTTAATTTTATTAATTCAAAGAAAAATTAGTAAGTTTGAATTTTAAAATACATAATTTTTAAGAAGATTGAATAATGCTTGGGATATTTTTAATTTAATAAAAAACTAATAAAAACCGGTCGAATGCCGAAATTAAATAAATACATTTTGATCTTTTTTAATTTTAAAATGTTGAATTTTTAGTCCAAGTTCTTAGTTTATTGTTAGTTTCTTAGTTTCTTAGGAGGTTTCATAGTTCCAGGATTCAACAACTAAATAAAATAAATATTTCCGAAGTTAACTTTCTCTTGGGTCGATCTCTATAATTTTTGTATAAAAATGAAGCAAGATTTTCATTTTAATGGTTTTCTAAATAATTTATTAAATATTAGCCTGTTGAGATATTTTAACTTTGGATTTATTTTTTAACTAAAAAATTCAAGTAAATCTAATAATACCTAGTCCAGTAAGCATCATAGAACAAATAGATTAAAGAATTTATTAATACACGAAACTAGAGGGACAAAATTAATATTATAAAATAACACCTCAGCACCTCAGTTATAGCCTGGATCATGAACGTAATTATCCAAAAGATTAATAATAAAAAGTTCTTTAAATAGTTAATAAGATCAATTAATTTTTAAGCGCAAAAATTGGACTGTACTGAATTCGATGCCAATTGCCAATGGCTTAATGGCGCTTTTTCGCAATCAAATAATTCTACGATAGCATTAACATGGTATAGAAGTGTAACAACTATAGATCCTAATCAGTTACAAATGATAACAGGGACAAATAGCCCTCCAAGTTTGTAAAAATTAAAATTTAATTTATTTTTAATAAATTTGTTGATTGATAAAAATAAGTCTAATTGAGACATTTAATTGAGAATTTACATAGACAATGATGGATCACATCGAGACAGGATTTTAACGAAATTTTTATTTTTATGAAAGAAAGTTTTGAGTATTTTAGCCCCAAAAAGCTTCCTGTAAAGATTGATAAAACTGTATTTTCATTATTTTATTCATTTAACATTTCTATTGTCTCAGAAATACAATTAAATGTATTATTTACTTTAAATTTATTTAAATCAACTTTCAAAATACTTGCCTTTTATTATTTATTATTTTTATTTTTGAATAAATAAATTTTTAATAAAAAATTAAATTTAGATGGAAGTTATGCAATTGTATCCACAATGAATGTAGACAACCAGAATACGAGTCAAAAAGCATTACTTATTAGCGCTAAAGTAACTTGTCAACTTGGGAATGGAACTATTTCATTCAAGTTTTGTTGAAAAACAAAAATAAAAAAAATATTTTCATTTAAAGTTACTGGACAAGTCCTTTTGTTATTTTAAATTTATGTGCTAAAAAAGAAGAAATAGCATTAAACAGAACAAATGATTGTCAACAAGCTCCATTCTCTCAAGGTCCTGGACCTGCTGTGTTTCAAATTCCGCCTGTCAACAGAACATTTAGAGTATTTAATTAATCTATATGATAATTTAAAGCGATTAAAAAAAATTTTTCAGTTTTTAATTGAAGCAACTAATTTTGTATATGCAAATGGCCAATTAAGCGGAGGATTTGCAATTTTAGACAATCTTTCCTACAGCGGTGATTATTGTACAACTACAACAGCTAGTGCATTAAATACAACAATGCAAATACCAACAAATAACGGAACTAATTGTAAATTTAAAAAATAATAATTATTAAAAAAATACAATTTAAAAACTTTAATTAAAAATACTCTTTTAGCAACAGCAAATACACCGGTGTCAGCAAATAATAATACAAATACTACTTCAAATACAACATCAGTTGGTGGCACAACAATTCAATTAACAACTATTGCGACAAATGGATAATCGAAAATAATTTGATTTTATTATTAAAGTTGTCCATATCTGGTTAAAAAAATTAAATAATTTCAAAAAATTGGGGATTTCTTATTTCCGAAACTCGATTTATTAACTGTTTGTGCATGCAAAAAATGTATAATAATGATTGTGTTTCGGGAATTTTTCTGGTTTCTCCTCCAATTCATAATACTTTTTTCTTAGAATTTAATTTAAAAAAAACAGACATAACAATTATGTAAAATTTTCTTCTGAAACTCAAGTTCCAAATAAATCCATCAATTTATATGTCTGGGATGTTACAGAATTCTTTTTAATTAATCCAGTTTCTGAATTAAAAATTTATCGTGTTTTTATTTAGAACAGTATTGTCATTTTTAGAATTACATATAATTCAGTTTCTGATTTTTAAAACTATAATAGACTCTATATATCTCCGACATAATTAATTAATTTTCCCATTAACATTTCTGATTAAAATATAAATATTTTATTGACACATTTTTAAGAAAAAAAAGAAATTTTTAAACAAAAATTGTTGAAGGTTATTGAGAATTATTGAGAATAACTGTAACTATTTAATTTTATTTGGATTTACATTTAAAAATTTTTAAATGAAAATTTTAAATAAATCTAAACAAAATTGTTTTAAATTACATAATTATTAATGAATAAATTAAATATATTAATAAAATACTTTTTAATGTCTTGGTGCCGTGTGATTTGGGCAGTAAACGTTTTTAAAAAATAATTTCTCATTGAAACATTTGAGTAGCAATAAAAAACATTTATGAGTAGAGCCCGGAATTTAGTATCGGTTGTATCGTAATTCGTCTTTTATAAAATTTTTAAAAAAGTTCAAAAAATGTTTAGAAAGTCGATATGTGGACTAGTAACCTGCTAATTGCATAATTTTTGTTTGAGATCTGATGGGTGTGATCTGATAAGGGGTTGATCTTTCCTGATGGCATCATGTCAATTTATTTTTTGTTTAAAATATTTCAGTTTCTCAAAGTTCCCATGTTTTTTAAATTTATTAAAAAAATTTTAATTTATAAAATTTTTAAAAATTTATAAAAAAAAATTAGAAAATATTTTTAAAAATTGCTTTTTGTAATTATTTTTTATGACAATTTCGAATTCTCTTAAGAAATGACGATAGATTATTTTTGTTGATGATTTATGTTTTAAACAATATTAAAAATATTCTAATTGCCAATAATTCAGGTGTTTGTACTTTATCAAGAAATGTTATTAAAAGTTTTGCTTCATTTCTAAGAAAATTAAACAAATTTTCATCTGTAAATTTAAAGTAAATAAAAGAATAAAGTAAATATTATTTTAAAATTATATAGAATTATTAATTTAGTTTGTCTCGAAGGAAAATGTTAAGGCATTTTCGTTAAGTAAAAGTTAAAATTTAAAGGAAAGGAACTTAACATATTATTAATTTTCTTTGGCAAATAATATATTTGTTTAAAAAATATTTTTATTTGCCTTTTAAATGCAGGTGAAAATTCTGAAATAGACAACCGTTTTCTTTTAAATAAATATTTAAAAATTTTGTCAGAAATTTCTATTTACAAAAAAACTTATAACCAAAAAATGTCTTCCGTTTTACTTGACATTTTATTTAAATTTGATTATTTTGTTTGTATATTAATTGGGTTTCCTTTAAATATTCTTCTGATTATTCTAATTATTTTTAAAACGCCAAAAGAAATGAAAATACACAGTCGAATTCTGATACAGAATTGTGTTTTGGATATTTTATTGTTGACTGTACAATCGCTTCTTCAAGTGGTAATTAAAACGAAAATAAAAAAGTTAAAATAATAGAAAAGTCATCAATTTAAAACAAAAAAGATTTTAAAAAGAATAAGTCAGAGATATATAAACCAAAATAATTTATAATTAAAAATCAGAATTAAATTTGAAATAATAATCAAAAGTGAAAAATAATCAGAATGATAATAAATAAGAATTTGAATTAAAAAATGATAGTAATGTAAGGAGAGCATTTAATACGCTTATGCTGGGAAGAGATACTATTAGTAATTGCCCCTGTAGCTCATTTTTGAATGGTTTAGGATAGGCCAGGCGAGCTGTCCTGTGGCTAAACTTTTGCTAAACTCTTACCATAGTAGAAAATTAGTAATACAAAAATTAATTTAAAATATTAAATTAAAATATAATATTTAAATAAAGAAAGAATCTAAAATAAAAACCAGAATTAATATCAATTTTAAAATTATTTATAGTTTTATATCGTTGATACAGAAGGGAATGCAATTACAATTTTTCCTAATGGAATCTTGCTTTATTTTATGAAAGAAAATTTTAATCCGTTTATCTCTTATCTTATTTTTTTAGTTTGGATATTTATTTTTTATTTAAATTTGCATGGATTGTGTGTTCAATTTATTTGTAGATATTTAGTTTTAAACAGGCAACTAAAAATATTTATTAAATTATTAGGAACTATGCGTTTATATCCCCGCATTCTCCTTTTTCCCAAATTTTATCGGCTATACCTTTTTATGCTTTAATCAAATTGAGAATATTATATCATTCGAAAGCCCTTGATTAGCACCAGTGATGTCAAAGTTCCAGTTTCAGTTCCGAAATTAATCAGTTCTAGTTCCAGTTCCAGGACTAAAACTACGGAACTAACGATTATCAGCAACTAGTTTGGAACTGGAACTACGGAACTAGTAAATGTCTGGAACTAGCTTTGGAACTAGTTCTGGAACTGGAACTAGTTCCAAAAAAATTTGGGAACTTTGACATCACTGATTAGCACTATCTTTTTGCCAACTGATGGATCAAGTTTGATAACACATTAAAATTTTACAACTCGTTAAGTGATCGTTTTTCATACTTATCGGCTTCTAACTTTTCAATGTGTGATCAGACTTTATCAACCCAGTCTGAAAAAAGATTATATAAGATTCTTCGCATTATATGAGATTCAAATTTTGTCAAGAGTAAAAAAGTTATAGCCGATAAAATTTAGAAAAAAAGGGGAAGAAAGTTAAATGCGGGGGTATAAACGCATCGTACCAATTATTATTAGGAATATAAAAATTACTTTTCGTCGTTATTTATTTATGGTGTCCATTGCTTTATTTGTGCAAACATATTATATTTTCGATTTAATTTTCTTTTTAATACCATATTCAAATGGAGGTATTAAATATTTTGTTAATTTTAACGAAAAATGGCCATTTACTCAATATGAAATGGGAACGGTTATTTTTAAATTAATTTACTTTTTTTCAAATTTAAAACAAAAATAGTTGAATATTCTAACACTATTACCTCTAACATTAATTGAAATACTTGCATATTTAATAATATTCATTTGTGGATTCAAAATGGTTAGATATGTCAATTTAAACACTAATCTTGATGGAAATTTAAAAAGATTGAATAAACTTTTAACAAAAGTTTTGATTATTTTGGTAATAATTTAACTGTTGTCTTATTAGTGTAGAAAATATTTTAATTAGAAAACTCTCTAATAGTATTACTGCACGGCTTCGATCTCGAATTTTTAAAAATACCCATTTCTTAGCTAAAAAATCCGCACTTTATATCAAAAATCCGCAAAATCCTTCTTTGCGTCGCAGGTGATCATCAAAAATTTAAATTGAATTATAATCATTTTATGAGTTATATTTTTTAACTCCGACCACCAACTTTAAGTTGGTGAAAATATTTTTTTAAATACCTTACCCACATTTCTCGTTGATTTTTGAGATTTTTGATCTCGATAAAAAAGTTTTTTAAAAGAAGCCTTGTATTAGTGCCATTCTATATTTCGATACTCTCAAAAATTATTTTAAGAGAGATTATGTTCTTTCTTAGAGTTTTAGTACTTTTGGTAAGGCTTAAAATATTTCTCATAGTAAATTACCTGTCATCAGTTGTAGAAAATATTTTAATTAAAGATCTCTCTAATATTTAGTATTACTGCCATTCTTTATTTCAATACCTCTAAAAATAATTTTAAGAGAGAGAATGTCCATTCTATTGGAAATATTTTTACTTTTAATTTTTAGGCTTTAGTACCATTCGTTAATCAAGCTGGAATTTTATTTTTTATAATTTATACAAAAACATACAACAATACAATAAATATTATTAGAATATTATTTTTCATTTTATTTCATTTAACACCTTTATTTAACCCAACTATTTGTATTTTAACAAACACTCCATATCGAAATGCTATTTTTAATCGTGCACAAGTAAATCCACAATAAATAAATCCACAATTCATAATTATTTTTCTATTGTTACTAAAATTGTTTTTGCGTGTAAAATTATTTTTTTGAAACGTTTACTGTTCAAATCACTCACTGCCCATATTTGGCCGCCTAAATCGCACGCTGCCGAAATTACCAGACATGCTTATTTTACACTAATTATCTATACTAATAATAAAATATATGCAAAATATAATAATGATTGGACTGGGTTTTAGATTGAATTTTTCTGGTTTCTCTTTAATTCATAATACTAGTTCTATAGAATTTAATTTAAAAAAACTTTAAAAATAACAATTATGTAACACAAATTTTCTTCTGAAACTCAAATTCTAAATAGGTAAATCCATCAATTTATATGTTTGGGATGTTACAGAATTCTTTTTAATTAATCTAGTTTCTGAATTAAAATTATATCTTGCTTCTATTTAGAACAGTTTGTCATTTTTTAGCAGTACATATACATAATTCAGTTTCTGATTTTTAAAACTATAATATAGCTACTATATATCTCCGACATAATTACCTAATTAATTTTCCCATCATTTCATTAACATTTCTGATCAAAATGTAAATATTTTATTAACGAATTTAAAGAAAAATTTTAAACAAAAAACGTTGAAGGTTATTGAGAATTGGTGTTTATTAAACTTAATTCATTTTGTTGAGGCGATTTTGAATAATCAACATTTCTTTCCGATTCCCATCGAGGACTTGCATATGCCAATATATACCTTTTTGTGGATAATTAATTATTTTACTTTTTACAAATTTATAATTCAGTCGGGGAGCTATGTAAATCAGAGTTGTTTCAAAATTTCGATTTTCGATTTCAATTTTCGAAGATTTTATTGTTTTGAAAAATCTCTGATGTAAATACATACATTTAATACCAAGCAAACCTTTATTAAAATTACAATTTTCACTGAATGGAGGAAGCTGCCTGAGTGATATCCCCTATGTTAGATAAATATCTCCTAGTTTTAGTAGATCTAATTAACCGAAAACAGTTGTATGAATAAAGGCTTTAACAATGTTGGAAAGAAAAATAAATTTTAAAATTACTCGTCCAAAATCCAAACAAAAATTTATAAAAATTTTTTAAAAATATATTCCAACCTCTCATCCCTTTTAATTTTGCAAATATAATTTCGGAAAAAATGACTTTTAGAAATATAATCACTTAATCCAACAATTATTTCGAATGTTGTATTAAAAGTATTTTCTGCTGATTTCTTTAAGTTTTATTTAAATAAATAAATATTTATTTACTTTTAAATACCTGTATTGAATTAGCTATTTTTTGTATATTGCATTTACTTAAAGAATTATTTTCTCGAAAAGCCTTATCATAAGCCTCATTCATATTTTCTTCTAATTGAGCATTACAGCACATAAAATCTTTTCAATTCAGAAATTTTTTTTTTTTTTTTTTTCTTTATCGAACACAAATAAATAAGTGTGAAACAATAAAATAAAAACTCCTGGATCCACAGGGATCACTTATGGAGAGGTAACGTACAAAAAAAATCAAATACAATATGACGGATTTTTAAATAAATGATAAGTTAGAAAAAAAAATTTAAATAAATAATGGACTCCACAGAAAAAAAAATAAATTAAATGTATGAAATTAAAATGTTATAAAAAAAATATATGTAGGTATATTTAGGTATATAAAAAATATTTGTATTGAAAATAGGTAATTTTATTTAAATGTTAAGTAAATTTGTTTTGATAAGAAAGTGAACATTTGGCTTAGGATTTTATGTTAGTACACTCCATTAATTCATAATCATAAATTATAATCTTCTGTAGTTAATATTTTGTCTAAAAATTTTTTAAATTGCGGTATAGTATTGATTTTTTCAATTTCTTTTTTTGGAAGTTTATTCCATCTATCTATGACTCTATGTGAAAAGAAATGATTATTTTTGGCTTGCTTTTTAAATAGCTGATATTTATGTAAGCGCGGATTAATTCTATTAGGTTTTGAAAATATTTTTTCTGGATTTATTTTATAGAAACCCATGATTATTTTGTAGGTTGTCATAAGATCAGTTTTTATACGACGGAGATTAGAGGGAAGAAGTTTGCATCTTTTTAGTCTTTCGTTATATTCTATTTTCTGGTATTTGTATTTATATCTTAAAATTCTCCTTGTAAAGCTTTTTTGTGGTCTTTCTAATTGTTTATTAAGATATTCTAATTTGGGGCTAAAATTTTCGGTGGAAAAAAAAAAAAGCATTATTTTAAATACATCTCCTAATTTTATATTTTTTTGTTATTTTTGAAAGGAAATTAACCGAAATAATCTAAGGGAATCTGTAAACTAAAAAAAGTCATACTTAAATTAACATTAAGTTTAAAAATAGTATATAAATTTATTTTTTCATTTATTTAGAAAAATATAAAACAGATTTTAAAAAGCCTAATACGTCTCTGAATTACTAAAAAAATTATTTTATGTTGTTTGCAGTGTCAACATTTTTTGGGAACTGTTGGTATCATTTATTATAATACCTTAAAATATTTCTGGCAAAAAAACTTATAAACAATCCCCCCCCTCCTCATTTTAATTTAAGTTAAAATAATATAAAATAATTAGTATCCAAAAAACTTACTATCGTTTCCATAATAACATTCAGGCAAAGGCAAATTAGTTTTTATTTCCTTTGGTTGTTCTGATGTTGGATTTATTGGATAAGTTGGCTTTTTTGCCTGCGGAGGTCTTGAAAGCCTTTTTTCTGTAGGCGCTGATAGAACCCTTTCATCTTGATTTTTGTAATTAATTAAAGCTTCTTTTGAATTAAATAATTGAAATCCTCTAATATTAGTTTGAATTTTCTCATTTAATTCTTTACTTGATAAATTATTTTTTTCTTTATTTTCCTTCAATTTTTATTTAAAATTTAATTTATTAACTTTTTTATTAAAATATTTACCCCTAAATTTATTCTCTGTCTACAACAACAATTATCATTGTTTTTAGAATATTTACATTCACAAACTAATAAAAGAAATTATTTTTAAAAATAATTTATTTATTTAAACTTTTATTTTTAACTATCAATTTACATCCAAATAAAAAATTATTTTTGTTATTTCCTTCCCTCAAAGGCTGTAAAAATATTTGTTTAAGTTGTAATTCTTTCCCGAATAATTTTACTTTTTTTGTTGGCAAATTATTTGGAGTATAACTAAATTTATTATTACTTTCATTTTGTAAAAAAGAGGAAATTATTTTCTAAAAAAATAATTATTTAATTAATTTAATTAATTAATTAACTTTATTTTCTGCCAAATTTTGTTGAAAATAAAATTTAAAAAATAATAAGATAATTATTTTTAATTTTTTAAAAATTAAATTTTGCTTATTCATTTTTTGGAAATTAATTTTTAAATTTTATTTATTTTGTGGGCAATCTAAAAGCAGTTCTTTACTCAAATCTTTATTTCTATTTGAGATAAATTAAGTAGGCATAATTACTATTTTTTATTTTTTTAAAACTCGTTATTCTTAAACAGTTTTCCTACTTTTAGTTTTAAATCCAGTAGAACATCTTTTTGGTTTTAATTTGAAAATAGATTGGAAAAAACTGGTTTTGGAATTGAAACAAAAAATTTATTTATTTTTGTATACAAAAACATTAGAAAATAAAGATCCGAGAGGTACATTTGTACATTTAAAAACGTATTTTGTATTAGTGACTGTTTTCAACATAAACTTTTATTCTTGAAATACTTTTAGAAATAATTTTTTAAAACATTCGATTCGTATATGAATAATTTAATTATTTAATTCTCTATTTTGTTATAAATTTAGAATACAATAATAAATTTAAGAAATTTTAAAAAATAATAGATAAGTAATCATTTAATAATAAAAAGTTTACTATAACAATACGCAATAACTGTTATTTGCTTTTTAAATTTAAAAAGTAATTAAAAAGAAGACTTTTTTTGTTTAATTTAAAAAAGATTTTTAATAAGAAAGTTCATATAAATATAAATATTTATAAAAAATGAGTAAAACAAAATGTTATTTCCTGGCTTAAGTCGGAAATTCTTCCTACAAAACTTGGAATTCATTACGTATTTACTCAAAATAAAAATTTTGTGATTTTTGTAATATTGATTTATATAAGAATTTATGTGTATAAAATTATGAAATTTAATGAAAAAACGAAAATATAGACTAAAAATAAGCAAAAATATGTTCTGTAAACAACCTAAAAATTAAAATCTAAAAATTTGTCTGGCTAAAAATTTCTTTTAATAATTTAAAATGTTTCAAATAAGTTTTAATAATCTTAAAGAAAATTTAAGTGATAACAATCTACTAAGTTTAAAAAACATTACAGTAGCATACCGACGCAAATGGAGATATTTTAGGTATAAAATGTCATCTTTATTAACGATAAATATTTAAAGGATATTTGTGACGACAAGGAAATATTTATATTTTTCGACAAAAAATAAAGAAATTTTAAGGCTTCTTTTTCCATTGCCTTTTTAAAGAATGAAAATACTCGAAAAGAAATGATTATTATTTTTAATATATTTCTCATTAATTTACAAAACTAAAAAATAATGAAGCTTTTTTCCTTCTTTTTGATTTTTTTATTGTTGAGTAAAGTATTGTCGATTGAACAATTGAAGATAGATAATGCTTATGGAATTCGAAAAATTGGAACTATGACAATGGATGTAAGTATATTTATGGAATTATTTGATATATTTACATTGAATATATTTTAAAAGTAATACATACATACCCAAAATCCTAATCCAAACGAAATTTGTAAATTCGGCGTGGGATTGAAATAAATTAATTGTTAACGACTCTGAATCCTTATTAGACTTATTTTACATAAACCATCTCAATTAGGGTAGGACAAGTCGAGATCGATATCGGTCATTCTCCGATATCGATATTGGTTTCATCCGATATCGATCTCGAACCCGATACGAGAATATCGTCCCAAATATCTACCGATATTAATATCGAATTTTCCTAATATATCGATATCGTCATACTCTAATCTCAATCCTGAAATTTCAATTTCACTGGGCTTTACAATAAAATTGTATTGAATATCTAGTATTACATTAATTCGATATTAATAATATAAGTCTCTTAAAATATTTGACCTATCTTTTTTATCAATTAGGATTAAATTATTATTTAAATTTATACACTAAACAATAATATTTAAAGGATATGCCAATAAAGATGGATCAGATTGATTGGACTACAAGGAAAAGGTCAATGAATATGCGTAGTGGAATAAAAGAAAGAGTTTACAAATAATTAAAAATAAAGAGAAATAAATTAATTATTTTGAAAAAAAAGTATTTAAATGTATGCATACATTAATTAATTAAATAATTAATAATTTAAATTTGTAATAATTCAATATTTAATTAAAAATTATTTTAATCATAGCCTGATTATAAATTAATTGGCAGTTATTAAATGGCTGATGAGATATTTAAAAATGAGCAAAAATTGTTAAATTTTTAAATTAAACTTCAGAGACAAGACTGTTTGTTGTGTGTGTACTTCCTCTGAAATTTTGTTATTAATTTATTTATTTTTTTGAAAAAAATATTGAAAAGATGAAGAGACTTATTAAGAATATTCTTTTCCAAAAATAGAATTTAGTTAAACTCTAATTTTTTCTTTAAATACATTTTTTAAAAAATTTCTTTAAAATTAAGACTGGAATTCTCTTTTAATTTTTTAAATTTCCAATAATTTTTTCCCTTTTTATTCCCCAATTATTCACCTAATAGTCAAGTCTTGTGTTGAATAATTTCCACATTTTGCAATTGATATATCTGAACAACTTCTAGAACCTCCTCCCCCTCCATAATTTATAGCCCCAGAAACAGCAAATAATGCAGCATTATTATAACTTTTAAAGTAAAAGAAAATAATTTAATTTTTAATAATTTATTCTCTTTTTACTTAATTGAATGGTCAATATGTCCAATTGGTGGAGTTATTGGAGGTATATTTGTAGGTAAAGGTGAGTGTTGAGGTGCTGAAGGTTCTTTAACACTAAATGTTGTTTTAGCTGGTGAAGCATAATAAGAAGGTAATTTATTTTTTTGTTGTTGATTATTTCTTTCTGATTTACTAAAAAAATTATTTAATTCTTAAATTGATAAATTATGGATTTAAAAATTCAAGATCGAAACCCTGGATAAAACGACGAGTAAAACCCCTTCCCATTCACTTTACATAATATAAATATAACAGTATGAAAATTTGAAAATTAATAAATTTTGAGTAATTTATAAGAAAGATTTTTAATTTTTAAATAAAATTATAAGTCAATGTCTACCGCATAAGAATAACATTTTTAAATATATAGCTCTTCAAAATTAAAATTTTAAAATTTCTACCAACTTTTTTCTGTAATGAATTGCCGGTTTTAATCGAAGAATTAAATTAGTAATTGATCTATTTAAAGAACTATTTGGAGTAAATAAAAGAATTATTAATGTTGAAACAAAAAATATCCGAATAGCAATAAATATTCCAAGTAAAATGTTTGGTATAAAACTGTTTAATAGTAGAGGGTCACAAGTATTCTTTAAATTAAAATTTTAATAGATATATTATAAATTAGTAATTTTATTTATTAGTACAAAATAGGGTAGCACATCCTCCTCCAAAACCACGACGAGTTTTTTGGCAAAACCCCGCCCGAATCCAGAAGGCTCAAACCGAAGGACCAAGGTACTACCCTACTTCAAAGTTATATTGTCATATAAGCTATCAAAAAATTTATTTATGGTTTCATAAATATTAAGTATATCGGTCTCGGATATCCGAACCGATCACAACCAACACTTTTAGATAATCTAAACTATTTTCGAGCCCTAGTCCTTTTACATTCCAAATATTTGTAATCACCAAACTAAATATTCTTTAAAGATATAAAATCTTACCTTTGGATTCGAATGTCGCTTGAAAGTGTCATAAAGATTTTGATCAAAAATACAATTAAATCGACTTTCTATTTGTGCTAATCCTCCTAATATTTTTTGGATTTAATTGAAAATTTTAAAAAATAAATACCTGGATTATAAGGAATTGCATGATCTAAAAGAGCAATTGTTGCGTTAGGTAATCGAGTAGAGAATGGAGAAATTAAAATTGTGAAAACACCCAATTCTATTAAACAATAGAGAAATCCAAAAATTGAAAATATCTTAAAAAGATAAATAAAAATTGGTTTAAAAATATTTGAAAATTTTTATAGATTTAATAATTATATCAAAAATGATTACCCATATCTGTTTTAATAAAATGTTAAACACTTTAATAATTTTGATTACTACATATTTAATTTTGATTTTCAATTTTAGCTAAGCAAGAATACTAGCAATTATTGCCAAAAAACGTTTGCTCCATGCGTTCTCGCCTATAAATTAACCCCCCCCCCACTCCTCCTCGCCACATACAAATCCTATCTAGCTAAATATTACTTTCCTTTTATCAATTATAAGCAAATTTTGGAGAGGATTTAAACAAAAAATTAAAAAAACATAAAATTTTTATTTAAATTTATTACCCAAAAAAGTGCTCTAATAATTCCCTTTGATTGTTGAACACTAAAAAAGAAAAAAGCGGAAACTCCAAAAAATATTAAAGAAGAAATATCAACAAAAAAGAATGTCCATATTAAAGATTTATACTGAAAAATAAATAAATAATTAAGTCCAAAATTTAATTGTTTAAACCTTTCTCTGTTCGCCCAAAATTTCCATTTCATTTGGCCTCAATTCGTAAATTCCAAGAGTTGGGTTAAAATTAATTTTGCTTATACTCACTGTTTTATCTTAAAAAATTTTTAATTTGTAAATAGTTTTTATGTTTTTTAATGGAGGAAATGGAAGAAATTTTGAAAATTGTTTAAAAATTGAAACTCGTATTTCTGAACAGATTGTTTCAATATACATAGAGGGAATTCCGATTTCCGAATTCCGACTTTTGAGCCAGTTCCGATTTACGGCTCTTCCGATTTCCGACACCGTTGACTATTCCGACCCATCTACATGTTTACACATATTTAAGAATAATTTTAGATTTAATTTAAGCATTAATTCTATATTTTTATTTTAAATAAAATTATTTTGTTGGGAGAAAAAAATATTTTTCAAGAGGTAAATTTAAATATAATTTTTTAACTAACCTAAATAATCAACAAGTTCATCATATACAAATTTGTCTCTCAAAGCATATTTAAATATACAAATAGAAGAAAAAATAACAGCTAAAGTTAAAATTCCCAAAATAAAAATACAAACACAATCACGATTATTATTTGAATTATTTTCCTTTTAAAAATTATTATTTTTTGGTAATTATTTTTTAATTACTAAATACCTTCTTTTGTGGATTTATAGAAGGAATTGTAGTACTCTGACATTCATATGCACTAAGCATTTTTGGTGGTTTATTTAAATTAGTAAATGTTGTTGGATTTTAATTAAGATTATTCTCATAATTAAATTGTTAAAATAGGTATTGTTATTTTTATTTGAATATAAATTATATCTAAAAGTTAATGAACCGTATATTTTTTAGTTAAATGATTTGTGTTATACAGGAAATTTATTAATTATACAAGAAATTTATTTGCTTAGAGTTAGAATAAAATGAAAACAATTTTTGTGAATACATATTTTGTTAAAAACCGTTAATAGTATGTATGTACTATATTTTCTTAATATAATTTTTCTCATAAAATTGGCAAATGATGCGTCGAAAAGTCTTTACTAAATTTAGATGATTTTATGAGAGATAATAATAAATAAAAATTTAAAAAACATTTTTAAATTATAATTTTTTTTAATCTGATCCATAATTCTAAAGATTTACAAAGCCTGGAGCAGAAAAAAAATGTATCAGGGTAAATTCTGACTTAAAAAATCTTTAAATTTAGAGCTGTTTTTATTTATTGTCTGACAGATAAAAGTTCGTTGGAAACTTGAACTATTGGAAACTATAACTTTGCAATTTTTCCCCTAATGTTTTTGAATTGCTGAATTTAAATATAAATATTTAAGATCAATTAAGAAATGTATAAAATTCCTTTTAATAACAATATAAAAAATATAAATTTAATTTTAAATATATTTATGTATTTTTTATAGAAAAAAGTCCAAAAGTGTGTTAACGGGTAATTTGAAAAGAAAAATAATTATTAGGGCAATATATCTTTTTTAAACGAAGAAATTTTTGTTAAAAAAATAAAAATAAGAATGCTCAAATGGTTTGCTAAAAAAGCAGTTTTGCGCATTAGAGACGCCATTACTTTCAAGGCCGTTTTTATGTTTTGTCCTTCTACGGAGTTTTTAGAGTTTAAATGGAAGAAATGATTTTTTAGTAAAAATATATTTATATAGTTAAATCAATATTTTTAATGAATTTTTAAAATATTTATTTAAATTTATAATTAAAAATTAATAAGTTGACTTAGACAACTTATTAATTTTTCGGAGAAAGACTAAGTTAACGGATTCGATGATTTGTTGTGATGTTATTTAGGATTTTGGATTTTATTTTTTCTAGTAGATTATTGGGTAGGATATTAGGTTGGATTATCAGGTGAGAAAAGAATTATTAGGAGGAGAGTAGTAGGTGTTTACTATATACCAAATTTTATCGACGAAAGAATATTTGATCAAAAAATTAAATTTTACAGTCCTTCACCAATCAACTGACCAAATGCTTTGATTTGACCAATTTTTTGATCCCTAACACAATTAGGTATACCTCAATTTATTACCCCATCATTCGGGATGGGTAAAATAAAAAAGATTCGACTATTATTTAAGTATGAGTTATAGAAATAATTTTAAAATTATATATTCATATAGATTCCCTTTAAACTATTTAATTATCAACAGAAATTAAATCTCAACAAAGATTCTGGATAAAAAAATTTTTTGAAGTTCATTTAATAGATTTGAATATAATTTATGCATTTTTTTCTTATTTCCTTAGATTAAAAATTTGAAAATTAGAAGCGAGGCGGAAATAAATATATTTATTTGCTAGTGGACATTATACTTTATATCCAATAAAAACCAGTCGTTGCTGTGAAATTTGTGTTTAAAATTACAAAGATGGCGAAAGAAATGAGAAGGGAATGTGAGTGACCAAAACATTATTTGGGGAATTATTTCATCTTCTAATAAAGCATAAAATGTAATAAACATAAAAATTGGAATATAAGTTTAGAAAAAGGAAAATAATAATTAAAAAAATTAATGGGGAATTTGAAAAATAATAATGATTAATGTTATTTTAGTTTATTTTTTATAACGAGAGAGAGAGAATGAGGGCATTATGATTTTAAATTTAATGGAGATCAACTATTTTTAGTAACATTTATTAAAGTGTCAACTAAAAATTTCTGAAAATGATACAATTCAATAAAGAATATTTAAATTTTTTAAGTTTAAGCTGGCAGCTGTAATTAATAAATTTAGGGAATAAAAATTGTGTTGATTTTTCGTATATTTCAGAATAAAAAATATTTTTTAATTAAACTTTCTAAATATTTTTCTTTCGTCTATTCGAAACAAATTAAAAAGTACAACATATACAAATTCAAACAAAAATATAAATTAGTTAAAATTTCAAAGATGGAAATCTGTAAGTAAAAATCCGAAAATGAGAGCGGAATTCATTAAAGAAAGAAGAAAAGAGAAAAGGAATTTAATTTGAGGGAGAAATTTAAAGAAAAAACGGGAATATATAAATGATTTTTGATCGGATTTATAGATTTATGTAGCAAAATATTAATGTAAAAAAGATAAAAGGAAGAAATAAAATTACTCAAAAAATAATTTTTAGAAAATAATTAAACAAAAATTATGAAAATATTATTGAAAAAATATATTTTAAATAGGGTTGGTGGCGGACGGTTAACCGAGCCGGTAAAGTCAACCGGTGTTTTTGGCGAAAAAATGTTTTTGGCAAAAACCGGGGTCGAAAACCGGCGATAACCGAAAACCAAGGGTACCGGTTAATAACCGGTCGCCAACAACCCTAATTTTAAATTTGAAAAATTCACAAAAACTCTTGTTTAAAGCTAAATTTATAACGTGCTATGTATACTTGAATATGTATGTATACTTGAATAAAATTTAATTTTTAAAAATTTTAGAAAATTTTTTCATTAAAAAATTCCATTTTATGTAGTATGTGGAAGAAAAATAAAAAGTAATAAACAAAAGTACAAATAAAAATAATTCCGAACGCGCGAAAACAATAATTATGTATATTTTTAAAGGTTGGATATAAAGCAATTCTCCACACTTTTTTCTTTCAATTTTGTTTATGCCAAAATTATAAAATGAGGGAAATAATGGAGAGAGACAATACTTTATTGAAGAGAAAATAATAATAATATTTTTGTATTGGACCTGGCACAGACTGACCGAAAGAGGGGGTTTGAATGCCTAAAGCTTTGTAAAAAGAATTGAAAAATAAAGGTAAGAGGAGAGGGGATTGTTGGAAAGGAGAAGGGGGGATTGACCTTGGCTATATACTTTTAATGTAGGTAGGTACTTATATAAATAAAAGTAAGTGAAGTATAAAAATTTATTGGGAATATTTTTAGTTGTGGTGATTAAAGGTATATTCTATACTAATAATTTATAGAAAAAATACATAATTATAAAAAAATAATAATGTGTTCGAGAATGAAAAGTTAAAAAAATAATAAATATATAAAAAACTTTTTTAATTTACGTAGTTTTTTACTTTATTATTTGATGAAACGTGTACATAATCCCAAGAAAATAAGAAATAAATTGAAAATAAAATAAATTTCAAAATTTTGATTTTATAAGTGATATTTTTTGATTAAGATTCCATGATCAAATTATGATCGAGAGAGACTGTGTGTAGTGTAATAAAGTTGAATCTCGTTAAAGTTTACACTCATAAAAATCACGAAACCTTACTCTAAACTGAGCTGTATAATTAAATAGTATACCTAACGAGTTTGACTATATTAGAACTTAAAAATTTTATAAAACTTATTTAAAGGTCTATACAAATATTTTTTTGTCTAATTATTTTTTACATTTTATTTTCATCTTTTGTTAAAAAATTTAGAAAGTGTTTACAAAATCATATCAAAATTATTCTTTTGTATTTACATTAAAAAAATGAATCAAAGTTAATTAATATTCGTAAAGAAAAAGTTTTTCTAAAAATATTTTCCAAAAAAATAGTAAATAAATATTAAACATCTGCCTATTTCTTAATAAATTTTAATAAAGATTCTTTGTAAATAAATGTTTTTGGATTGAGAAGTTGCCAAAAATCAGAAAAAATATTTTTAATAAATATTTGTCTCATTTCTTATTTTTTGTTATTTTTATTTGCCAAAAAATTTTATTTAATTTTTTTCCAAATATTTATTAAGAAATATTATTTTGTAAGAAATTTTCCACTAAAAATAAAATTATTTTCTAAAAATTAAAAAATCGCTTCAAATATAAGCCCACTACATTACGATAGGCTGAAACAATTTTAATTGCAAATAATAATAATTTTAAGAAAAATTTTTTTAAATTCTAATTAAATTTAAAGTTAAATTAAAAAATGTCATCTAAACCACCTCCATTATTTCCAACAGTTTGTGGATGTAATTAAATATATTTATTTATTTAAATAGTATTATTTTTAAAAAAAAGATTGTCGCAATCTTGGTCTCAATTATAATGGTCATACTTCTTTAAACTGCCCAGTTAGATGTTCTTTGCCTCCCTGCCCTATTTGTGGAATTTCTGGGACATTTAATCACACAGCTTCGTAAGTTTTTTTAAATTAATTAAATTTTGTTTTAAATTAATTAATTAATTTAGTCATTGTCCTAGCAAGCAAGTCGTTAAATTACCTTTCATAAAATCTTATGCAGATATGATACCAGATGTTGATCCTTTTGATTTTTCTCAACCAGGTAATAAACATTGAAAATTACTAAAATTAACTTAGTTGTATTACTAAAAATAACTATATAAATATAGTATTTTTAATTAAATTTATCAAAAAATTAAAATCCGAAACAATAAATTTTACTTCAAACAATTACATAGAGACCTTCCAACTAAATTAGAATCTTTTTAAGAATTTTTTTTAATTTTTTAAAAATTATTTTTTAGATAATAAATCCAACAAAAATAATCACAACAAATAAATGAAGTATTTGATATAATATATTTTAATAAATAATTCTTAATAATTTTATTTTTATATTATCTACCCAATAAGATTAAAACATTTTATAAAAAATTTTTATATCATAGAAAAAAATTTCTAAAATAAGAATAATTCTAATGATAAGACAAAAAAATGTTTTAATCTAGAAATTAGATTACTAAATAGTTATTAATAATTATTATTTAAAATTTATACATTACTCATGCATAGTTTAATAAAGTTCGACATTATCACTTAATCAAAAATGGTATGTTGCCACCGATTATACCCCCTCCTCCCTCCTCTCACTCCACAAAATGTTTTTTTATTTTAATTATATTTTTGTTGAATTGGTCGTCCCCCTCTTCCAGAAACAATTAAATTGTTAATAACAATGAATATAGCAAATAAATGGCAAATATTCACAACAATCATTGTGCATCTATACAAATTAAATTTAAAACAACGACGAATGTTTTCATCTCTGTTGTGCTTTTAAAAAATAATTTTTAACAAAAAATATTTTTTATTAAATTACCTTTGGATTAAAAGGTAATAAAGGCCAAAAGAAACGTAATTTTGTAAATTTAACAATTCCCCATCCAAGGGTAATTAGTTTAATCCTTTAAATTAAAAATTAAATTTTTTAAATTTAAAAACAAAAACCAAGAAGCTATATACATTGGGTCAGCAATCGAAAGACGCGGCTCGGCCGTAAACAAAAAATAAAGAAATGCTGGTAATGGCACCTCAAAGAAAAAAAAAAGAATTGTTTTTATTTTTAAAAGCAAAGTTAAATTATTAAATAAAGGAAATTATTATGGAAATTATTCGCCCCGAAATTTTAAATAAAAAATTATTTTAATAAGGAAATTTATTAGATTTTTTTATTATTTTGGAAATATAGGGATTTAGTAATAAACCCTGCAAAAAATCGCGTTAGAGGTAAGTGCAGAACTTTTCTAATATGACTGTGAAAAGTTTCTCTAGACTAGAATCCTAAAAATCTTTAAAATGTAGCGTAAAATGGATTACGAAATAGAGAATCTCGAAAATCCTGTCTAAGATCCGTTTCTGGATATTTTAATATTTTTACTGTTATTTTGCCCTTTTATTTGAAAAAAAATTTAAAAATAATTTACTTCTTCAAATACAAGAACCATAGATTTAGCCAATCTTGCAAAATATAAATCTTCTTCTTCATTTTTTAGAGTTAAACAAACATCAACAATTTCAAAAATATAAACAAGTACAGAAACCCCAGTAAAGAAAAAATAACCATAGGCACATAAACGTGCTCTTTCTGATTGAAAATTGTGGAGAAATTCAGCTAATCTACTACATAATAAAAAATCTGCCATTAAATCTAATGTAGCTGCAAATAAAGTAATTGCTGCTATAACTCGCATTGGTGGTGCCCATTCCAAATGATTTCTATATTTAATTAATATTTAAAATTTTATGTTGAAAAACCTATTTAATTTATCGGTAGATAATATGTATTCAATTAAATTTTAGCTTAGAAAATAATTTTCATATTTACACATATCCTATAGAATAATCTCTCTAACAAATAAGGCTGCAATTTTCTGAAACTTTCTTTGGGGGAAAAATAAAACAATTACAGTTAGAAAGGGCCACAATATTCTAATAATAAGTGGAAAATTAACAGTTTCTTTAATTTGCTACTACATATGACAGTTCATTGGCTTATTTAATTAATGAGAAGACAATTTGTTATATTTTTAAAGACTTCAACACAAGTCCGTCTAAGTATTTCCTAATTTATGTCAGTAAGAATACAATTTATCTATATCTCCTTAAACTTAAATATTAATAAAATACTTACATTGGCTTAGAACGGTCCCAAACATAACGTCGTCCATACATTCTCTACTATATAGGTAAATATATTTTTAGATTTTTTTTGTTTTTTAGGTTTGACAAACAAATGGATGGATATAAATAATAAAAACAAATGTTTCCCTTCCTTCATAAAGAAATCCTACTTTTTTTAGATCATCGACTAAAATATATTTTTAGAAAAAAATAAAAGAAATGATTTCTAAGAGTAAAAAAGTTCAAGGAAAAATTCTCTGATAAGATTAAATATTAAATAAAATCTTTGTTATGTGAAAGCTTAAATGAAAGAATAATTTGAAAGATAAACTAATAAAATGGACATTAAAGAATTTAATTGTCGAATTCAAAGAGATTTCTGTGAATTTTAATTCATATACCGTATTTTCTCGATTAATTCCCCTCCCTCGAATAATTCCCCCTCTCGATTAATTCCCTACTCTAGAGTTGGGTTGAAACAATAATTCCCCACCACCAAATAACCTACAGCACGTTCAAATGCCAAAACTCACTCGAATAATTACCCTCCCTCGATTAATTCCCCATGCCAAGGAAGGGTTGAAAAAACTAGGACACGGATACTGATATTGGATCCGTATCCGGATATTTACAACAGATACAGACGGATATCTGCAGGCATTTTGAGCTTATCCGTATCCTTTACCTGACCTGATTAAAATTGTTGTTTTTCTTAGAAAATCTAATTTTAAAATTTATAAAGAAATTTATTCGTTTAAGGATATATTTTATATACATTGTATATACATAATATTCAAATTAATGTCAAATAAAAGTATCAATCATAAAAGTAAGCTATTTGCTGGATACAAAATTCAATTTAAAAGTATAAAATCAAAATAAAATTTCTCTAATTTTTATTGAGAAATTAGTATATAATTTTTCAGTATTATTTAGCTGAATTTTAAAGTTTTCTAGATTGTCGAAGAGTAGTTTGATTGGAAAAAAATAATATTTCCTTCTCCTATTATTTTTACAAAATTTCCTTCTTAAACTAATTGTGTAGAACATTAATTATTCTCTAATAAATATATTTCAATAAGCAGTCAACATGATTTGACGTGCATGTCTTGCAGATGGTTGATGTGGAATAAATTTAGGTGCCCAATAAAGACGTTGATACCTTCTATCTTCTGCAATGCTGTAATTATCACGTTCAGGCTCGTAAAGAAAAGGTTGCGATAATTCTAAACCGCGGGCACGTCCATTCCAATAAATTGCAAAATTTTCAATACGTGAAAGATCTGCAGATGTTGGATATTGATGGCGATATGTCTACATATTAATTATTTAAATTTAAATTAAAAAGCAATTTTTGAAAAAATTTTTATTCTTAGAAAATATTAAACTATTTTATAAAATAGTTTATGTGATAAAATAAATATAGGAATTAATTGAAAAAATTTCTAATAAAAATTTTCTTTGTGATGTGATCCTTAACGAAAATCTATTGGCCCCACAATAAGTTTAAGGAAGAAATCTTAAAAGAATAAAAAAAGGAAGAAAAGAACTTCTTTTAAGCCTAAATATGTATATCGATAAATCAAAATGTAAGTCAATCCGAGGAATTCTTAAACTGAATCCTTGGGACTTGGTAAAATCAGTCCCATAAAAAATTATCGTTTTAAATGGTTGCTTATTCTATGTATGATTTCTAAATTTCATAAAAAATTAAAATTATCTTACAGGGGGCAAAGGTGGAAGAGCAGCCACAGTAGGTGCTTTATTAATCTTTACATGTGGTGTGTGATTCACCTTTTCAAGTTGACTTTTCCATTCTCCACGTTTTGGTTTATAAGAGGAAAAGGGACGTAAATCTGGATCAACTTTACGATCACTGAAATTCAATATTTTTAATTTTTTTTCTATCTTATTTTACTTATATTCCATAGCATTAGTTGGAGCAAATGCTGAATAACTCTTTGATTTACGTAAGTTGCCAATTTCTGGATGATACCTGAAAATAATTACTAAAAATTTTAAAAAGAAAATAATTTAGAAATTGTTTAATGTAATAGTTTGCTTCGGGGAAAATCCGGTCATCACTCGTTTTTGATAAAATATTAAAATGTCGGTTTTATTATAGGGGAATCTTAACGAAATCGTTGTCCTTTCAATTTTTTAAATTTTAAATTTTCAAGTCGTTTTTAAATCTATTTTTAAAAATTTTACTTACATTTCATAAAATCTACAAGCATTTGCATGTCTACCATTCTTTTTAACTTCCTCAAAACTAAAATAGGCAGGTAATTTAACAAGAATTTTTTTATGAATTTTTAAACCTTTTAAGAACTATATCAGTAAATGTATATCCAGCAGAATCACCTCCATTACGCCAATTTGATTCTAATACTTTTTGTTTTATCTAAAATTTTAAAAATTAGTAAGTTTATTTTGAAGACAAAAAGTTTCAAATCTTTTTTATAATAGAGGTGGTACCCCTGATATAAGATATTGCCATGTCCTTTAAATTATTAAAAATAGTCAAATTTAATTTCACAAATGATAAATTTAATTATTATTCTTATCATGAGATTTTTAGATAAATTGTTTGCTTGTAAGTATAATTTATTATTAGGTAGAGCAACAGGTAAACGACCCCGCAGTAATCAAATTAAATACTAAGCTCACATTTCAAGTAATCTAACAATCGGGTCACCGGTTTTAAATCCTAATAAAACTCTAAATCCCAAACTTTTGTCGTGACTGTATCACTTTCATTACATAGTTTATGTCTTGATATTTCTAGATTATTTCTGATAACTCGTAATAAAAGTTAGATAAAATTATTGTGATCATATCTATTATCTTTTAAATTTTTTGCTAATATTACATAAATAATTAAATTTTTATTTAATTTTTATTTAAATTATAAAAACCTCTTTGTTAATATTATCCATTTCTTCAAATTAAAATCCTTAAAAAATATAAAAAAAATATAAAATTAGTTAAAGAAGTATTTTAAAACTTTTTTGAATGCTTTGTCGTTTTTATAAAAAAAAAGTTTAACGTTCAGAAAATAAAAAAGAAGTGACAGACGAACAGAAAGCAACTGACAAATATTTTTATTTATTTTTTAAAAAGTGTTCGCATTTTTAAAGGGAAAGAAAAAAAGTTTTAAAAGCGTTCTTCTTCATAAATAATTGAAAGAATGAGAGGGAAAATAAGTGTTCCTTCTTTTAAAAAATTTTAAAAGAAATTAATATCCGAAGAAAAAAAAAGATTAAAGAGTAATTTTTAATTGTTTTAAATTAAAGAATTTTGATATCATGAGTTTTTTAAAATGTATAATTGATTTTTATTAGATGTCAAAAAAATTTAAAAAATAAATAAGAAATGAAAGTATTTGTAGGTTGATACTACTTAAAACTGGGCAAGATGAAAAACATTTAAATATCTAACAAAGGAGAGTGCCTGAGGTGTCCGTGGGACTTCGGGATGAAATTTGGTAGACAAATATTTAAATTAAAAAGATTTTTTTTTAATTTTATTTTGATACCCCAAAATATATTTATTTTAAATATGCCCTAATTCAGTCATTGCGCAGATATTACCAGCTTTTCGTTCTCTATTGATTTATATATTCATCAATGTACATTCAACATCACATTATTTAAAATCCTTCCAAACGAGAATTTGCTGTAAACACCTCCATTTAAAATTTTTATAAAAATTTTATTTTTAATTTTGATGGAATATTTACAAAAATATACAAAAAATAAATTTTTTAATCAAAAAATTCCTCAAATCTTTAATAAATTATTTATTCTTTTAATTTTAAATTCAATTATTTTTACATTTGTTTATGCACAGTTTAATCCTTGTAATGGTAAAAATAAAATTAGAAATATTTTTAGATTTATTTTGGATTAAATAAAGATTAATTCTACTTAGAAATAAAAATTGGGAATTTAATTATAAATTTAATTACATTAATATCCTTAAAGTACGACCTAGCAGGCTAAATAAAACTCTCACTCATCTACTCACTTTCTTCTTTAATCCAATGCTTGAAGGTGTACTGTGTTAACACCTTCAAGCATTATATCATGCAATCTCTATATAAAATTATTCTAGCACAAAAAGTAATTGAGACCGACCTTTGATGAATTTTTATTAAATATTCAATTAAAATTAAATTAAATAGATTTACAAATTTTTTGTTTAAAATTAATTAATAGGAAAAGCATTACTCAACGAATCTTGCGATAAAGATGCCGATTGTGAATTGAAAGGCTCAATATGTTTACGGCAGACTTGTCAATGTCATCCTTTCTATCAAATGGTAAAATCTGAAAAGGGGGGAAGTACTTCAGCCAGATGTAGTCGATGTCTGTTTTTTTAAATATTTTTAAATTATTTTAATTATTTGAGTGCCTGCAAAAGTTGGGCAAGAATGCCAGAGTAAATGTAGAGAACCCCTTTTTTGTAGAGGAGGTCGTTGTCAATGCGTTCAACGAGGATCAACATCAATTGTAAATGGAGAATGTGTATCTGGTGAAATTTCTAAGGAAAATATTTTTTTAATATTATTTTTCATTAAAGTCTCTCGTGTTGGTGATCGATGTTCTCGGCATTATGATTGTACCTCACCTTTTTCTGCTTGTGTATTTTATTATAATTGCAATTATTTAAATAAAAATAAATCTCTAAGGTTAATCACCAATGTGTTTGTATTTCGGGTACAATTCAGCAAGGCAGCAAATGTGTGGCTACTTCTAATTGTCCACTTGGTAAAACTTCTTATTTCATAACCGAGAATTTTTTAATTTAAATTAAAAGGTGGGGCACCTGCTGGAATATGCACTCGTAAAGCACAACCTAGCCAAATACTCAACTTTGTTGAGGAGGCCGATACTTGTTCCCAAGGCTTTTATTGTGTTACAACTGTTTGTTTGTTAAATTTTAATTAAAAATATATAAATATTAAAAACAGCCAGAATCACCCGTAGGTCATTGCTGTCCAGCAGTATGCCCTCTAGGTTCATCAGTAGATAGTTCATTTAGTTGCATATCCGGTGGAAGTTTTGGTATTCCCGAAGTTTCTACAACCCAAACAACACCTTCATTTTCAGCATTTTTTGGTTAATAAATAATTTTTAATATTGTAAATGAAAAATTAAGGTAATAAAAATAATTAGCAAATTAGTCTAATTTTGCATTCAATGAAGCAAAATGTAATAATAACTGAAAAATTCCCCCAAAAAGTTGAAAATTGGAATATTAGATTTTTCCGGTTTGGATTTTTAAAGTCATTCCGGACGTATGTTGTCGGTTTTTTTAGATTAATCCGGCCCCAAAAATTCTGAGGTCGAAATTAAGACCCAGAGTCCCAAAAATCCGGCCGGATCCAGTTCAGCCAGGATTCAGCATATAGTCTTCAGCATATATAAAATTATTTCTTTAAAATTGCAAAGATTATAAAATATTAGATACAAAATAAATGGAATTTCAATTTAAAAATAATTTTTTTAATTAATATTAATTTTAATTTATCAGGCCGTGATCCTCCCACCAATCCACCTTCATTGGCCAACCTAACTCGTATATTTTCACATTTACTTCCCCGTCCGGCATGTCCATCGGAAACTCATTTTTGTCATTTTCTTGCTGGTGACACATTTTCACAAGTATTTTTAAAAAGAAAATTTTTAAATAAAAAATATTTGAGGCAATTTGTTGTAAAAGACCTTGTAATTCAATGGCTCCAGAATCTTTATATTTAAATGGGGAATGTGTTACTCGTGGACAATTGGGATCTGAATGTCGGGTTGGTTTTTAAACTATCTTTTATTTGTTTGGTATAATAATGTTAAATTGTTAGTTTCACGAACAGTGTGGAGCAGCAGAAGGAATGACTTGTGTTAAAGGTTTACTCTTTTAATCAAAAAATTTATTTAAAAATTAAAAAAAGGTTGATAATATTTTTAAATTAATTTATAGGTCAATGTCAGTGTATTGATGGATTTTCCCCATTGTCTGATGTAATTACTCATCCTACTAAAAATCCGAGTCAACAATGTCGTCGAGACTGTGATAAAGTAAACAAATATATATTTTTATTAACGAATCAAAGTGTGAAGCTAGAAAAACTTAGTTATAGTAGATCAACCAAAGAATAATAATTTATGCTAATATTTTATTATAAATTTACCTCAATGGGATAAATTTTCTCAAAAGTCTGCAAAAAAGCCTAAGAATATTATACTACAATAAAAATTTAAATTTTAGAGTAGCAGTATAAGCCGGGATACAAATTGTTTGAGTAAATCACAACTTGGCGGACCTTGTTTTGTCCAAGAACAATGCCCAGACCAAGCTGGATGCTACAGAGGCCGTTGTCTTTGCCGGTGTGGTTATAAAATGGCAAATAGTAAATGTATTCCATTACCTCCTCCATCAACTCAAAGACCTCAAACTGTGCCAAGTTGGCAAAAAATTTTGTTAAATTTTTTAGTTTTCGAATTTCAGTTGTTCCAAACAATCCAGATCTTCTTGGCATTTTCAGCAATTTTTTTACTGGAGGTGTTCAGGGTTAAAGATACAACAACACATATAATTAATTTTATAATTATGCATTTTCAATACGTGATTTACAATAATTTTTTTTATTTTTTTAAATATTATTCATTAAAAATGTATTTAAAAATTGTTGGCCGGTACATAAATTAATTATTAATCACAAATTTAATTAAAAATTTAATACTAAATCAAAATAAAAATCATTTAAAAGAGGGGATCCTTGCACAAATAACCGTAAATGTTCTAATAGAACAACACTGTTTTTTTGAAGATGGCACACTCTCTAATAAAAACAAACCCTACGTAAGGATCGAAAAATACAAGCAAATGTGGTTCAATTAGTGCATTATTTTCATCGTATTATTTGCCGGAACTTCCAACTGCGACAAAACAGGCCATCTCAAAAATTATACAGACGTTTCGTCGACGAATTTTGGTTGCCTTGTCTTAACTCCAAAATCTTCGTCCTAAATATCCACTTTTAGAGATTTAATCTGCCCTTTATTAATTTTATTTCTGCTATTTACGTATGACAATTTTGTATTAGATTTCGCTTAATTGACTGAATATTAACTTAATTTGAATAATTTTTGGACGAGTCATTTTTTAATTTCTTTTTTTTTAATATTTTTCCCTTACACATTTTAGAATTGTAATAACTATAATATTTGTTCTGCATGGCCAGAAATAATTTGCAATCAATACCTGGCTCACAAATGCAATTTAATCCTGGTTTTTCAGTAGATTATTCGCAGGCATTGAACAATTTGGTAAAATCTTCTTTGGTTTGTTATGTTAATAATATAGTAATTGCTTTTTTAATTAAGTTGGCAGGAAAACAATCAACAGTTTCTACTCAGCCGACTCAATTTCCTATTCTTCCTCACAAAGAATGGATTTGTGCTAAGGTTTGACAAATCTTTTTTTGTAATTATCTTTGTTTAATAGTGTGCTTGTATCAATGCTAAAGGAATTTATGCTTGCAAAAAATGTGGTCAGTTGATCGGCTCTAAGGCACAATTTTCAAAAGAATATGCGACCAATGACCGACCTCCAGTTGAAGGTACTTTTGAAGATTTGGTTATAGTGTCGTTTCCGGTCCCATTTTTCCTCCCCAAGTTTTTTACTATAATTTGTGCAAAATGGGAAGACTTTTTCTTCCTTACATCACTATTGCCTTACTATAATGTATTTTGCCCACAAACAATCCAAAAATGATTATTTTATTTAGTTCTTTAGAAAGGAAGCCAATTTTTATGTAGGGAAGGGAAAGTCTTTCAATTCTGTACAAATTATAAGAAAAACTTGAGGGAAAAAAGGAGGACCGGAAACGACACTATTACCTAAGATTTATATGTAGGATTACTTTTCAGTTCTCGGTGCTAGTTCATCGTCATTGCCTCTTGAGCCCGTAGTTCGTACTCCTTTTGGTCTTTTACAAACATTTGGTATTTTAAAGTTTTGTTTTTTATTTAACGATAATTATAGCTTCTCCTGATCCAAAAAATTTTATTTATGATGCAACCAAGGGCTATTTTCATGATTCAACAACCGGTTTTTTCTATGACAGAAATTCTGATTATTATTACAATCCAAAATCGAACAAGGTTTAATATTTGCATTAGAGATCGGCACGGGAGGGATCCCAGGCGGGATTTTATGGGATCCTTTCCCGTAATCCCGGGTTTTTAGCGACGAACGGGATTACCGGAACTCCGGGATTGACGTATTAATCCCGCGGGATCCCTCCCGTTTGATATTTTGAAACTCAATCCCGTTACCGGATCCCGGAAATGCGATTTTGCCGATCTCTAATTTGCATTTCATTTTTTATTTTCAGTGGATGTTTTGGTGTAGCAAATATAGTACATACATTGATTGTTCTGGTGGTGATCTTGAACTCAAAAGAAGTCTTCAAGAAGAGGAGTTTGACATTCAACAAAAGCGTTCCGAAAAAACAGAAGATACAATTTCTAATGCTCCTTCTGGAAGTTTGGCTGTTCAACGCCGTAGCGAAAACATTGCGGATGATTGGATTGATCTCATTAAACGTGTCGGCGCAGGTGATTTATCAAATTCGGGGAAGGCGGCGCCTACAAACACAACAACTTCAAATATGTCGCGGGCAGAAAAATCAAGAGATGAATTTATTGCTGACAAGGAAGAGGTTTGTAAGAATTTTATATTAAAAATTTTATGCTAATATAAGTAAGTTTATACCTTTTTAATTGCTCTTTTCTTCATTTTATATGCTCTTTTTATTTTTGTAATTAAAAAGGAAATTTGTATGGACGTTATTGATAAAAGTAAGGATTGAATCTTTTATTTTACATTTTAGAAAGAACTAAAGAAATTAATTACTTCAAATGCGAAATCAAATCTTACTGATTGTATTCTGCAAAATGAAAAGCTTTTGATCGATTTGCACAAACTTTTGGTGCAGGAACGGGATCCGTCAGCAGTTAAAAAAATACAGGCCCAGATTTATGCTTTTAATTCAACTACGCGTTCTCTTCAAACTCTTCTTTCAATGCTTGCAAGCGATGATACTTTTGCTAGTTCTCAATCAAAGAGTCAAAAACCAGATTCTTCAACTTTAATAACTCCACAATTCAAGCGACATATTACAAAGGTTTTTAAACAATTTTTCTCAAAGTGGGTTGGGATTTTCAAGGTTTTTTCAAAAAATTATCTGCATTATTAAACTACTTGTCTATGCTTCGCCTAATGATTTGGGAATTAATTTGTGTTTCCCTATCAGGATATTAAAAATTTTTTTATAGATGTACTTTTAATTTAGTAAAATCTGAAATTTTTAATAGTCAATTCAAAATGAAGACAACGGCAGTTCTCATCGCAACGTTGAGGATGATTCTTTTTACAGTTTAAATTCTGCCAGAAAATCTAGCCAAGATGAGAAGGAACAGAGGAAGAATGCGAGGCGATCTGATAAATCAAATAATTCATTGCGGGATGCGATTTTGGAAGGGAAGCGGACTGCTTTTGATGAACATATTGAACAAGTGGAAAGATTGCGAAATATGCTAGGCAGTGCAAAAAGCGGAGCTAACAATAAGAAAAATTGGTTTGTTTTTACAAAATTTCATTATTTTAAAAATAAACTTTTTGAATTTTAGGATAGAATCACTACCAAATATTTCATTCCCTAGAGAAGCATCTCGCAAAGGAACCAGTTTCGAGGATCAAATTCGTACAATTGTTGATCAAAATGTAGAGAAGCAGTGGATACTTAATTCTAGCAATGATGATGCTATTACGATAAAATCCAGTCGTCGAAGCCCAAGTCCTCGAAAAAGTAGTTCTCGTAGAACCCGCAGCAGAAGTCGTCACAGGACCCACAAGAGCCGAAGTCGAAGCAGAGATCGTCGTCAAAGGAGTCGAAGTCGGCAGCGTACATCTAATCGAAAATCCGAGCGTAGCCGATCACGTTCGCGTCATCGCGGCACCTTCTCTGATGGGCGTTCTCGACGTAATGGCAATGATGATGATGATTTGGAAATAATTAGTTACAAACGGAAGGATAGTGTATCTGCACGCTCTCCTCAACCTCCTCCAGTTATGCCAATGACAATTACGCCACCACCTCCTGGACTTTCAAGCAAGACTCCAGGTTCTCTTAAAGAGCTTTTTGATCGCGCACATTCTATGTTAGCACAAGGATTTGTTGGAGCAAATTTACTCCAAAAATCAGTTGATCAAGGTGGGTGCTTTTTGTATGAAAATTTTAGAGTGGGTTGAATTAATTTACTTATTTTCTAAATATTTTATAAACTATCGCTTATTCTTCCTTTTTATCACTTAAGAACATTAGGAAATATTTTATAATCATATGTGCTTACTTTTGATTAAACATGCTTTTTCAGGAAATTTCTCTAGCATGCAGAATATTCCTTCTGGTTTAAGTAAACAGCAAGAAGGTAGTTCGTTCCCCAGCGCTTTTTCAATGTCTGCACCTTTGAGACCGCAAGGCAAGCTTAATTTTTGGACAATAAAGTTATCTTTTTTAGTCAATCCTATTGCACCGCAGACTGGCTTTGGACTTATGACCGGTATCTCGCCGAATTTGGGGCCAAAAAATATAGTAATTTCTTTGAATATTAGTTCTTTACCATAAGTACGGAAATGTTGATTTTTTTCAGTATACTCCAAATTCCAACCAGTGGAGGATGCCTTATCAGGCCAGTAATCCAGTTGTTCCAAATTTGCCCTTACCTATTATTTGTGATTACTGCGGTCGTGATGGACATTCACGAGAAGTATGCCCTTCTTTACCATCAAAACCAATTCTTACTCAAGATCAAAGGGTCATTCGAAATGTAATTTTTACATTAGAATAATTATTATTCAATTCATATAGGAACTCGAAAGCACCAACACAACTGCCAGATTTACGGAAAAAGATGCTGCTTTAGGTCTTTGTCTCAATTGCGGTCGATTTGGCCACAGTCAAGTAGGATGTCTTCTTCCACGTATTACTGATCATGAATTACAGGTATGTTTTCCTCCTTTCCTTTTTAATTTTTCAATATTACTTTTTAGAAAAGAATCCGTAAGGCAGAAGATAAACAACGACTTCAAGAACTCGATAAATTGAAACTGAAAAGAAAAGCTGAAAAGTACACTGTTCGGCGCAACGATCCATTCATTCAGAGATTACGTGTTGTCGCTCCACATGGGAAGATTACCAAGGTTTTCGTTTTTTACTTATTAAAATTTAACGCCGATATTAAGGAACATACTCGATTGATTTGTCAACGTTGTAGTGGTTTAGGTCATATTTGGAGTGAATGTGCTCGTCCTGAAGCTCCCCGCTCTACACTCAAATTGATTACTGAGAAAATGGAAGAATTTATTCAAGTATTTTTTGTGCATCTTAACGATGATAATTTGGTAATTTTTACATTAAATCTTCCTTATTTGTTTAAATATTTATTAAAATTTTTATACTTTAGATTGATTTCTCTGAAAAATTTGAAAAGTTTATCATTATGGATGGGATTGAAAATAATGGAACAGTTGATCCAGTTGGACTTCAGGTTTGATCTTTTCCTGATACCCAGGTCAATGCAACAAAATTCTAGTTACAAACTCGCTGTAATCGTGGAGTTGTTACAAAGGGAGATTTGCGAGATTTGTGTAAAAATTGTGCTTCTCTTGGGCATGTTCCTGCTGATTGCGGTCAGAGATCTATTTGCTCTAGACAACATTACGAGAAAATGCTTAAGCTTGTCGATGCATATCGTGCGTTGGTTAAAGAAGGAAATGGGAATTTCTTTCTTCCTCGTGTATGTTATTTGTAAAATTTTTATAATCTTCATCTCTATTTTAATATTATAGATAAATCAATCTCAAAATCAACAACAACCTCAATCTTCGAATATCAGTCACTCTTATTCTACTGTGATTAGACATGTTGGAACAAAAGAACCGGAGATCGTTTTGGTTGATTCAGATGATGAAGGATCGAATGTCAAGCGTAAAAGTAATCGAAAAAAGTAAATAGTACTCATGCATCTCAATTTGATATTCAAATATGTATTTGTTTTGATGTTAATTTTTGTTCGGGGATGGACAAAATTCAAAAAATAATTGGCGAACATGAAACGTTTTTACCCAAAAAGGTAAAGCTTTTTCAAAAAGCTTTCTAATTTGCAAACTGTTGCTTATTTATGCTCAATTCTTTGGTCATAAAAACAAATTGAAAATATGATTTTGCCCATCCCTAATATTTATCTTTTAGTTTTCTTAACAAATTGATTAAATTGGTTGGGTTTTTATTACTATAATAAATTACAATTTTTTAACTTTATTTTTAATTTTCTTGGAAATTATTTGATTTAAAAATCCTAGTTTTTATACATATGCCTGCCCAAATAAATTTTGAATGTCCTGATTTGCTACAATCCGAAATTTTAGAATCCTTACAAAACCACATTGATGTAAGTTTTGTCAGACAGTACGTCGAATTTCTATTCAAAAAAGGTTTATTTTTAAATGATTCTGATTTTATCTTATAACTATTTTAGATGGATTTGGCCTTAAAGAATTACAGAGATCAATTTTGGAACATGATGGAAATGAAACAGTGGTTCAAACGATTCTTCCCTTTTATGTTGGTGTTCTGACAAAAGTTATTCATGTATAATATATTAAACTAAATTTCAAGAGTTTTCGTTACTTTTTAGAGCTCGTCTGAACCTTCTGATTGTGGGCTCCTGAAACGTTCGGAAGTTTTACAAATTTTCCATCAGTTTATACTTCCATTGGTTGATTCACACACTCAGACAGTTGATCAATCCAGTTTTACTCTCAAAATTCTTTTCTACGAGCTTCTTTTGGAAATGTACAAAAAACAAATTTCAGAAAATCATTGGCCTTTCAAATTAGGTTTGTCTAGTTTTTGAATATAACTTTGATATTTTATTAAGATATTTCAAATATGATTGTTTACCCTTTGGCAAATGAATCAACTCCAATTTCTCTTCGCAAAATAATTGAGCAGTCAGCTATTCTTCGAATAAATTTAAGTGAGAAAGCGTTGGAATATGGCAATAATGAGTTGATTAGCAAATTGGCACATGTTCTTTTAGCTGCTGACTTTCATCTGGTTTACATGAGTTGTACTCGCATTCTTTCATGGTTCACTTTAATACATATTGCTAATTTTTAACCTCAACTTTCATATAATTCTGGGACTAAAATTTATATAAAATCGATATTATTCATTGTTGGGGTTTTCGCTTAAGCAGCTCACTAGTGTTTTGCCAGAACCGCAAATCTGGCCGCAACTAAAATTTTGACAAGATCCGGATCTAATTTTTTGCTTCCGAAATCGGAACTTACAACCAGAACCAAAAAATCCCGGAACTTCCGCCTGTCGGAAGCGAAACTTCTGGCGCAACACTACAGCTCACCCATCTATTGCTCTATCAAATTTCTTTAATTTAACTGTATTTACAAGTTTTTTAATTTTTAGCAAAAATTCTGTCAATATATTATTGTCATTAGGACATGGCATTCCAATCATACAGAAAGCAAAGAAATTAAAGAGGATTGAACATTCCTTTGCACAACTTGTAGCGGATTTAATGTATTTATTTTGTATATTTTTGTTTTTAATTTAAAATTAAATTTAGATTTAAATCAACAAATTTCGATGAAAATATTTCTGAGGGTTTCAAAGACAGCTTTACACATACATTTATTTTGTCAAAACTTGCTGAACGTTTTTTGACTGCAAAGAACGAAGGATCTCATTATAATAAAGATAAGTAAGTCTCTTAATGTAATTTCTGTCAATTTTTGAGCACATCTTTTAAAGGTTTAACAAAGTGTTGGATTTGCTGGCAATTGTTTCTGATTATGATTTAAATTTTGTTGGGCCTTTACTTAACGAATATAAACTTTTCAAAACTAACGAGGTATTTTTAAAGAAATAAATATTCATCAAAACAATATTTTTCTGTTTTTTATGTATTTTCAAGTTTCCTCCAACAACTTTTAAGTTCCCCAAAATGGCGTTACTCTTTAAATAAAGATGCAATTTTATCTTTTGTTCATTCTTTGCTTGATGTTGGTGATATTGAAAGTACAATCACATTATTTAAACAATATATTCTTCCGTGTCTTTTGGTATATTTTATATTTCTTTTAAAAATACAATAATAAAATAGGAAAGTTCTCCTGCAATTTCACTCCTCAAAATGCTCGAACAACAAAGCAATGGGCGCTTTTTGCAAAGAAATTCTCAATTAATGGAACGAATATGTAGCTTATTAAGTTCAGCATTGTTGTTGAATCAAAAGGAAGAAATATGTAAAGGTTTTTTTTAAATATCGAGAAATTTGCCCTAAAAGTTTTTCCCCTCCTTCCATTTAAAAGCATTTTAAACATCAAGTACATATAGACATCAGAGTTCTAGCCAACATCAAAATGAGATTCTCGATTTCGGGAATTCACGATCCAAAAACGTGGAGAAATTTTCTATTTTCGGGAGTCGGGTCGGCTAGACCCCTGACAGACATACAAAGTAGACATATTTAAAATGAATATAAAAATTAAATGTAAAAATAAGTAAAAATGTGGACAACTATTATTAAAAGACATTAAATGCTAACTTTATTTACTGAAAAATTATGGGGAAGGTTGCCGATTTTATTTTTTTCTGTAGACAAGAATTTTTAAATTTAATCAATATTTTTCATTTTTTATAGGCCCAGAAAGATGGGAATTGTTGGATTCTGCTTTACAAATTCTTAGTATTCTCGGTGATAAACACAGTTTTGGTAACTAGAATATTTAAATATTTTGTTTTTATTTATTTTTAGATAATCAAAAACTTTTCAATCGACTTTTTGAAATTTCCATTGGTTTTAGTAATGAATTTCTTCGGTTACCAGCTTTTGTTTTGTTGACACGTTTGTTTAAAAAAGAATTGATTGGCAGGTTGTCAGAAGTGTGGAGTGCAAATACTGAAGATGAACAAATCAAGTAAGAAAATTTTAAAAAAGACGGAAAAATTTATTTTAACAGGCAAAGCATACTTTTGTTTGCTTTAAAACAACTCGTTGATTTAAATGCTAACGTTGATGAAAAATTGAAATCAGATTCTAGAGAAATATTGATAAAAGGCGTTGTTGCACTTATTGACTATATCGAACCAGAAGAGGAGGAATCATTGAATGTAATTAAAATGTCTGTTCAACTCTGTGAAGCTCTTTATACAGATTTCGGCAAAAGTATCTTTGAAATTGTCGAATAAAATCAAAATATGTAAATTAAATTTTATTTAGCTGAAATTAACAGAAAATTGATTATGTTTATAAAACAATTGGAATCGATGGAAAGAAGAAAATATGAGAGGAATGCATATGAGAAAAATAATCACAAAAGTGTAAGATTTTCTTTGCTAATCTCAATTTGAAATAAAGAAATTTAATTTCCAACGATTTTCCAGATTAACGAATTGATTGATGATTTGAAAAATGGCTGTAATATTGACAACGATGAGTGTGGAACAAAAGATTGTTATTAGAAGGTGGCAATAAATTGTGAAAATTGTCAGTTTTATTTTTATTTTAATAAATTTTATATATAAAAACATATTGGTGTATTTTAGTTGTTAAAAAAATCTGCTTTCGGCGCAGATCCTTTTAACCAACATTTTTTAGGCTTCTTTAAATTAGCCCCAATTGTTAAAAGGCTCGACTAAATTTTTTTAATTTTTTACTATTAGGGTCTCATCTTAAAACACCACAATTATTAAAAATTACTTTTACATAAAATTTTTATCATTTACTCCCGAAATATATAGTTTTTTACTGTAAATACTTTAAAAATTTAAAATAATTATAAAAAATAAGTACAATCAGACCTCACCATGAGATAAATCCAATACTAGATAATATCTCAATTTACGATACATTTGAAATTTAAGGATACTATTGAAATTTAAGGTGCATCTTAATTCTCATAATTAAGAATAACTCATTATAAAATAAAATTTTTCAGCCCCATGGTTTTATGTAAAATTGAGGTCTGACTATCTACTTGGATAGTTAACAATTAATGTTTAAATTATAACAGGATTTAACTCATAAAATAATTTTTTAATTTCCTTTCACTAATTTTTTTCAATTTCTTTCAATTTAATTTCAAAATCTTTATCATCTTCTCCAATCATTTTAATAAACTCTTCTTCTGGCATCTCAATTTTATGTGTTAATTTACATAATTTAATATCTTCCAAATAATCAATTTCAATATTTATTAATCTTCTGTATTTTTGTTTTTTCGTTTCCATAAATTTATTTAGCATATTCTTTTCAATATAGAATTTATTTGACTTGTATTTAAGAAAATGATTTTCGATTAATACTTTTTTTCTTCTATTAAAATTATCTTCAATTATTTTTAATTCTACTCCTTTCAAAATCAATGGGTTTTCTTTCAAATAAACATCAAACATTTTGACTGAAAATAATTATTATAGTTGGACTTCACCAGTCAAATACATATGTATTAATCAGAGTCAACTTTCGATATGGCTCCGTGAGCTAGTTCCGGAGCTGGCCAGTAGAGCCGGACCCATCAATTCATACGATAGGGAAAGGAAAAGGAGGAGGCTCGAACCTTTACTCATTAAATGAGTAAATAATTGTTTTGCATTTGCAAAATAAATTACGCAAAACGCAACATATGGGTGGTGATATAAACTGTGATGTGAATTATCCCGGCAGTGCTTCGATTGTATACCAGAGTTGTGTCGTAATCGAAATTTTTTTCGTAATCGTAATTCGTAACTCAAAAAACGCCGTAATTCGTAATTGCGACGCAACCGTGTTGCCTTTTATGTAAAATTTTAAAACCTGAAGTTTCCTTTTGGTTTCTGCTTTTTATTTTATTAAAATTTGTTTTAATAATTTTGAATTTTATGCCATTTACGTTGTATTCAGTTCTCTTGTTCTTTTGTTTAAATTCAAATATTAATTAGAGTCAACTCTCGATATAATGAACTCAAAGGGAGTAATGAAAAAGTTCGTTATATCAAGAGAAAATTATATCGAGTTACTTAAATTTAAACATCTTATATGAGGTGTTCTAAATAGCTTATGAAGACCCCAACAAAATTAAAAAACTACTCTAAGACCTCTTAAAAAATTTTTCCTTTAACTTTTTCGTCATGCGACCTCAACTTTGTTACCCGATCCAATATGAATAGATTTGATATCCTCCGAAATCCCTCGATAAGCGGTATCTTTTTTCCAACTTGTTGGATCAGGTCTGATCCCTCGTTTAAAAGTTAAAACCCGATAAATGAGAAAACGCCAAATAACTGCAATTATCGGGTTATAATTTTTTGATAACTTATAAGACTTGCTATACCTATTAAAAAATAATATTGCTTATCGAGGGCTTTTGAATGATATATAATTCATGTGTATTTGATCAAGAATCTGAAAGTTATAGCCGATCAAATTTGGATAGCACTCATTTTGCGGTTGTATAACGGAAAAGTACCAAATTATCTTATTTAATAGCAGAAAAAGTAAAAGAAAAAATTATTCACAACTTCTACAGCGTAGTATGTACTTACATTGATCATTCTCTGAAAATTTTTGAATTAAATAATTTTTAATAATGAAAACTTACGCGGATCTGTTTTTCTTTAAAATCAGATTCTTTAGATAATTCTGTAATATCCTCATCAGTATATGGTAGACCAGACCCCAATTTTTCTAATTTTATTTCCTAAAATTTTCTTTTAATTTTAAAATAATTATTTAATAAAAACAAACATATTTTCTCTGTTCTTTTAGCTTTTCTCCTTTAATTTTCAAATTTTATTTAAAATAGACTTGTTTTATTACTTATTACTATAATTTTTATTTTAGACCCTAAATTGCTTGTAAAAGCCAGCAAAAACTGTTAAAACTTTTTTATTTAAGATTGATTCAAGATCAAAATATTTAAAAATAAATGGATGCGTGTTTTCCACTCCAGATTTAACTAAAGCTCTGATCTTAAATTTTTAAAAATCCCCACAAAATGAGGAATAATCGCACATTTTGGATTTTTGAAAATACATATCTAGATTTAATTAATTACCTTCAATTTTAATTATTTCCTTTAAATTATCAATTCGTTTTTTAATTTTTATTTTCTCATCTTCATTATCCAATATTTTAATATATTTTCCCAATAATTCAATTTTATATGAAATTAAATTAATTAATTCCCAATAATTATTCTGTAATTCTTCTTTGTAATATTTTATTTTTTCTTTTACTGATTTTGTTTTTAATTTATAATTTTTCATATAGTAATTCTCTAAAATAGAGACTTGACTTCCATATGTTGGTACCTTTCTTTTAATCGTCTTAATTTATAATTTTTAAGTTTATTTAGATTTTTTTAAATTAGTAGTTAAATCTTTCTTAAAACATCAACTAAAAGTTTTTATTCTAATTAAATGGCCTCTCCATTTGAATGACATATTTTGGGTTATCGAAGATAGAATGACGGTCATCCTATTAGAACGACTACTCTAGCCTCAATTACTAATTAAAATTTTTTTCCTATGGATATATGATTTCTACAATATTTTTATCAAAAACAGCTAACATAAATACTATTTTATATAGGATTTAAAATACTATTTTAACACCTGTTTTGGTAAACAATTAATTAATTCATCGACAATGTTATTTTTAATAATTTCTATTTCTGGTGAATATCTAGCCAACTTTCTAGTTATTAAATAATAATTTACATCCTTTTTTGTATTTAAATATTTTACAATTAAATTTTTAAAAGAAAAACGTTCTTCGGGATTTGTATTTTTTAAATAATTGTATTTTCTTGTTTTTAACCATTCGGAATTAATTTCTAATTTGAATGTTTCCCCATTTGCCAACTTGTTAGAATTTTCAAAATAAATTATAAACAAAAGAAAAAATATATAAATAATATTCATCTTTATTTAACTAAATTAATAATTTTTATTTAAAAATTATTATTTAAAAATTGCCCGACAGTTATTATTTTCGAAATATTTGTCTTCGTTTAGGATTGGGCATCGAATGAATTAAAAATGTCATACTTACATATGCACTTTATTAAAAACAAGTGCGCTGCCCTTTTATATTTTTTGGCATTATCTTTTGAATCTGTACTATACTACATATGTATTTTGTACTATATTGTGTTTCGTATTATATTGTATTTTTTAATTAATGAAAATATTAATTAAAAATTGCCCGACAGAGAGAAATATTATTTTGTTATTTTCAGAATTATTACCATTTTTTTAAATTGCTTGTCAAAAAAATTAAGAATGTTATGATCGCATATATCGGACCTTATAACTTATGAAGGGATGGTCACTTTTTTTGCTCTTGGTACCATTGGATAGGGCATTAAATAGGCTACAATATACCAAAGAATCAAAATTCCTGTCCGACTGGTAAAAAAGTTATGATCGATAAAGTGCCGAAAAATCAGATTTTTTTGAAAAAGTTAGTTTTTAGATCATAACTTTTTTCCCAATCAATCGAAAATTTTGATTTTTTGATGACCCTTTCAGCCTTTTGGTTTGCGTAGGAACGATGACGACAAACCCCTTGATGGAATACTTAAGAGTTATTAAATTCTTCAATTTTAATTTAATTTTAAAATAATATAAAGAACAGTCAGAAAGTTTTGTGGTATTTTAAAAGGAATAATTTAGCAAATATTTACAACAAATTAAAATTCAAAAATTCAATAAATTTTCTGCTTTCCCCTTCAGATTAATATATTTAACATTTTCATCATCAATTAAATATATAAATCCATCTCCTATAATACATTTACCAATAAATTCGCCTGTATTACCATTGGAATTAGTGATTGTACCATTTCCAAAATCAATTTCACTCCATTTATTTTTATTTTTAATAAAATCCTTTAAAAATTAATTAGGTATTTAATTAAAATTATAAACTACCAAATAGTCATTACAACTTATTTTAATTGAAGCATCGGGCTTTTTATCAAGTAAATCATTTGCCTTTTTTTTAATAAATTAATTTAAAGAAATATTTTATTATTTAAAATTAAAATTTAAAAAAACAAAACGAAGAACCACAATAATTAATTAAAATTAATTTTTATTTTTGATTAAAAATACCTTTGCAATTTCCTTCTCCAAAGAACTAATTTTACAATCTTTTTGAGCATTTTCATTTTTTAATTGTTTAATATCTTGTTTTAGAATTTTAATTTTATTTTTTTGTTCTGTCACTTTTTCCCCCATTTCAATTTTCTAAAATTATTGTATTAATATTTCTTTAATTAAAACCAAAAAATAATTTAAAATTTCACAAACTTCAGAGATGTATTCGTTTTATTTCGCTTAGCGAAAAATAAAGAATACATTTAATTGTCACAAATGTTATAACAAATAAAAAAAACGTAGGAAAAAAATTTACTAGAAAATCCATTTTGCTTTATCTACATTCACGAAAAATGGTTTTACTTCCATGACTCTTAATAAAAACTAAATAAATTATTTACCTTTTTAGTAATTTCTTTTTCCAATGAATTAATTTTTTCGTCTTTTTGCTTTAAACTTTGTTTAATTTCTTCAATTTCCTTTTTATTATCCAAATCTATTTTTTGATTTTTCTAAAATTGAAATTTAAAAAAGCTCTTATCCAAGAAATGAAAAAAGAAAAGTCTTGACACTTAAATCATTTTCAGCGAAAATAATAATAATTTATTATTTTCTATTTAATGTATGCCTCTACCGATTAGAATCAAAACTTTGAATTTTTATTAAAAACATAATTAATCATTTACCATTTTAATTTCTAATTCCAAAGAATTAATTTTCTCATCATTTTCAGCTTTTAATTTATTATTTTCTTCAACAAGTTTTTGAAAATTTTGATTTAAATTTTTAATTTCATTTTCTTGTTCCTTTTGAAGCTTCAAATTATTATTTTCCAAAGTTAAATCATTAATTTTCAATTTCAACTTAAATATAAATTTATTTTTATATTGAGCACAAATGGATTAGCCGACTTTTGCGGATACGCACTTGCAGACCGAAATTTACACGCCCGACATTGGCAGACCCGGAACGAAATAAAAAATTTTTGAATGTAACCCCTATATACCATTGGGAAAAAAGGAAATTGATCTATATAGTCTTAATTTTTCTTTATCTCTTCAGATATCTCAATCTTTAATACCCCCCCCCCCTAATTTATTCTCAAAATCAATCAAACTTAATCACTCGAATTCATCTTTAATTACTCAATACGGGTTTCCACTTTTTAGTTGAGTGCGACCATGTGAAGGTTCATTTTTTTCGAAAATCAGATCCGGCCCATATCCAATTTAAAATTTGCCGAATCGGATCTTAATCTAAAGCCAGTTTTTTATATTAACCTTTTAAAAAATTCATCACGAGTCCTTAAATGTCGGTCCGCAAGTGCGAATCCAAAAATGACGGACCGCAAGTGTTTGCCTAGGCTTGGTAATACTTTGGCTGACTCACCCGTTTTCATTTCAATTTTTTTCAGAATCATCAAATCTAACTGATATTGTTAATATTTTAACCCGAAGAGCTCTTTCGAATGATGTATAATAAATTATATATTAAGAAAATGAGCTTAAAATAGTCAGTAAAACAGAAAGAGGCATCAGACTAAGTATTACCCCAGGCTTTAGTAATTAAAAAAAGTAATTTTAACCTCCAATTCCTTCAAACGATGTTTTAAACCTTTAATTACACTTTTAGACGAATAACAAGAATCACAAGTATCAGACAAACCACCAACACTAGATTCTTCGAAATTACTAGATTTTTCTGTATAATTTTCTTCCTCTAATTCTTTAACAAATGTTTTATCCATAATTTTATTTTTAATACAGGGTGCGGCATAAGTAACCGGACACTTGTTTTCTCTCATAACTTTATTAAAACACAATCAAATAAAATCGAAATACAATCAAATGATAGAGAATTAAATAGGGAACAATAATAATCAAGAAGATTCGAGATACCCACCCTTGGCTTTGATCCAGAGGCGAAGGCGTGAAGAAAAATTTTCGCTAATAGCACGCACCTCTTTAAGTGTAATAAAGTCCCACACTCGGGTGAGAGAGTGGCGCAGAGACTCCAAACTTTTGTTAGGCATAGCACAGACCCTGGACTCCAAAATTGACCAAACAGAATAATCCATGGGTTTAGATCCGGGAAGTAGGGCGGCCATTACTGAGCGCTAATGAACCCAGGAAAATTGGCCTTGCACCAGTCTTGAACTTCTTTCGCCTTGTGTGCCGGAGCAGAGTCCTGTTGGAAAATTCAGACTCTGCGACAGAAATGGCTCTTGAACCGAGGCTTCAGAACACGCTGAAAAATTTCTCGCAAGTAATAGTCTTTGTTGACTTTTACCCCAGGATCCACGAAAATAAGGGGTTTTTTGCCTGACGCGCTAATACCGGCCCAAACCATGACAGATTGGGGATGTTGGGAATGAGTCACTTATTCCGGTTTCACGAGCCAATTTTCTTACGGAGGGTCGATATTTGAGATACACCCTAATTTTGATCATTTTGGTAGGCTTGGAAGTGCTGACGGAACGAGGTCTTTCACTTTTTTGTAAGTTCTTAGTTGTGCCATGATTACTAAATTAATTTCAAAAAAATTTTCTCCCAAAAAATTTTCACCGGAATTTTTTGATTGTGTATGTACAGTGCACTTTGGGACTTTCAAAAGAGATGAAATTTTGCGTACTGAAATTTTTTGCGAAAAAATTGAAATTATAGAATCACGTTGACTAGCCATTATAGAGAATTGAATGAGCTAAAAAATAAGCATAAAATCGATTAAAAACATTTACACCAAAAAAAAGTTATAAGGAATTTAAAAGTGTCCGGTTACTTATGCCGCACCCTGTATTATCAGAATTTTTTGTTGAAATTTGTTTTGTTTTTTTAGTACTCATTTTTTAAAAATAATTTTCTGTAAATTTATTTTAAGTTGTTTTGGGTAATTTTATAAATTTTTCTCTAGAAATAAAAAAAATTTTAATTAGTTTTTTCGATTCTAGGCTGTAAAAATTCGGAGAATAATAAATAGGGGAATAAATAAACAAGACCATATAAAAAATACATTTGAAATATATCTGAAACGTTTGCACCAGGAATCGTAACGAACCGATTCCCAAAATCGGAAACCCCAAGGTTTGTAATAAAGAAATTCTGAAAAACGATTTTGTGAGCAAAGAAATAAGAAATTAAAATAATATGAAGAATTTAGAAAATAAATAGAAAACAAAAAATAATATATTTTTATATTTAAGTATTTTTTGCCCAAAAGACTGTTTAGTGGTAATTAAGTATGATGAGAAAAAAGTGAGGCGAAAAAGTTTGCCTAAAAGTTAATAAAAATTTAAAGTTTATATTTTATTTTAAAACATTCTTAATTAAATTGATATTTGTTTGAACATACTAAACACTAACTAGGGGAAAAGCTGAGATTAACATTTTTTCATTATAATTAAAAATCCCCATTTAATTTTTAAAAGAGTAATTTAAAAGAAATTAAATTTTAGGTAATCCAACAGCCTTTAGTGAAGTTTATATTTAACCTTTCAGAACATTTTCTAATTAGGTATATTAATTTAAAATATTCCCTCAACAAATTAATCTTTTTTTGCCTCCTTTTCTCAATATTTACGTAGATATTCACGACAAATCATTTTCGGAAAAAATTTCTTCAGATACATATGTATGTATGAATATAATAATTTTAATTTTCTTTTAAATTTTTAAAACTCTCCAAAACTCTCAGTTTCCAAAAATTTATTTTTATCCTCCAATTGTTTAACTTTCATTCTTAATACACTATTTTTGGTTTTTTCTATCTTTAATTGTTTTTGGATATCCTAAATGTTACAAATTTTTAAGGCCGTAGGCAGAAAAATTCACTTTTTTGCCCAATGTCTTCCCCTATTTCATTTTCGATCCAACATGTTGATTTAAAAGTACATACTTTCAAAAAAGTACCTATCGTAACCCTGTTTTTAAAGAAACAAAAAAAATAACGTTAAGTTTGCTTAAGAAAAAATAATTTTAATCGACTCTACAAAGCTAAATTTGCATTTTGTGGCTAATTTAAAAATTTGTTGATCATCACATTCATTAAAATACAAAAATTTATAAGATTGTAAACTTTTTATTCTAAAAATTAGGAAATATTTTACAAAATTAATAGTAAAATATTTAATTTATCATACTTAAAAGAAGGATTATTATCGAAAAAATGTTTAGTTAAAATACCAAAAGTTTAATTAATAATTACAAAGTGTAAGAATTTACAAAATATAAGATTTGCAGAAATAGAAAAAAAGATATACATAAACTCCCAAAATTAGTTAGGATTAGAGCCCTGCCTAAAAGGAGTCGAAATAACGAGTTTTACTTTTTCAATAACCGAATATACAATATTTATCTACATACTTATAATTAATTTCATTTAGGTCCAATCATACTCGAAACTTTATTTTGTTTAAATAAACTGAAAAATTTTGCAAGCAACTTTTTTGTGTCATTCCGAACAGTTTTGTTTAATGTTAAATAAATAACTGGAGGGAAACCTACAAAGTTTAAGAAATTAAAAAAATTTTTCTAATAATAAAATTTATTTAAATATTTACATACCATGAATATGCAGCCTTAAAATATTAAATGAAAATTATATAAACAAATTTATATTTATTTTACCAAGAAAAATGTGAAACAATCACTGACAGAATTCCGTTATCAGGATGATTTATATTGTAAGTATAGACAATACCTGTCGATGTATTGAACATTGAAATAATAAATACTTGAATAAAAACCTTAAAATGATTAAGTAAAAATTGCTTTTACCTTAAAGCTGATTTATGCTTCGCAATTTTAATAATTCTTTGAATTTTTGAGTGTTTTGACAATTAATTTCACAAAATTAGTGGGTACACAATTTTTAATAACGATTTTTTAATTTGGTTGCTTGGTAGTTTATAGGGTGTGAGGCCCCCAATGGGAGGAGGGGGGGGCAAGGGAAAAATTTTTGTGGAGGAAAGTTTAAGGAGTCAAACAAAACCAAAATTTCGATTTCTAACACTTCAGGCGAAAATTTTGAGAATTTTGGAGGTCAAGAAGCCTGAGCCTGGTTAACAAAATGTCAAATAAAGTACGATTTTTTCACCCTATAGGAATAGCTAAAAGTTTTAATATTTTAATGTAATTTATAATTTAAACCATTTTCTCTTCTTTAGAAATGCTGTTAATTAATTCACGGGCTTTTAAGAAAACGCAAAGTGAAAAAACAAAATAAATTATTGGGCAACCAAAAGCCAATATTGTGTTGTGTGTAGAGGTTTCTATTAAATCTTCTTTAAACTATAAATAAATTAAAGTTAAATGAATAAATTAAAAATTAACTAATTCCATTCTAAAATCTTTATATCCAATTAAAGGATCAAATAAATATTCAAAAGTCAGTCCATTAAAAATAAAAGGATGTCTAAATAAAAGCCAATAAAGTCCATATAAATTACAAAAAATAATCCAAATATAAACACGATTGTTATGAAAAAATATTTTTGAAATTTTCGGAAATGCTATTTCGAGACAACGATTTATTCCAAGAATCTGAAAAAAAATTTTCTATTTATGTGAAATGTGAAACCAAATCAGCAGAACATTCAGCAGCCCAGAAAACTAAAAAATATATTAATAAATATTTATATAATTTATCTTAAAAAATATTCTGCTATGAGATTATTCCATGGCTTGTCTAAATCATTAGAGAATTTAGCCTTCATAAACATGATTAGTCCTGCCTTCATAAACTTGATTCGAATTTTCGTGCATCAGATCGGCAGCATGTGTGGGCGCAAAAGACAATTGAAAAAAATTTTGCAATTAAAACTGATGTATCACTAAATATCACCAAATGTCAGCGAGCGACTAAAGGTTACAAAAATTTGGAGCTAGAGTTTCTTCTTCAAAAAAAAACGCAAGGCTAACATTTAACGCGCGCCGCCTCTGGCCGGCAGGTAGGCTATGTGTCCAATTATATTTCTCCGAGTTTCTAAATTAACTGACGTCCTGAAATAAACTTACATGAACAAAAACACCCAGCAACATATGTCGATATTGGGGAAGTACAGTAAACAACACCGCTTAAGCTAAAAATTCCGGTTGCAAATGTTGGCAACCAAAGTATGCCAATATCCAAAATTGACAGATAAATTAAAAGTTTATAACAAGGATTTTTGTTTCTATTTTTCCAGAAAGAGTAAAGACAAGGAAAATATATAGGCTTAAATTTTAAATTTAGAAAAGTTTCTTAAATTCCGTACATAATATATAAATCCAAGTAAAATACAAATAATTGCAGCTATTGGATATCTTCTTTTTTCAATTGGAATATCATCAACATTAATTCCCGTACAATTATAAATTATGTCAAATTCTTTCCGATTCCACAAAATATATTCCATTATATATTAATAATACTAAAAATTTTTTATTAAGTTGAACCTCACTAAAAGATAAACCCTTATGGGTGCAAAATTGTATCTTAGTACATATATATCTTAAATTGTGTGTATCCCATAAATAGACAGCCTCCCCATTCAGTGGGCAGGTTAAAAAAGTATTTTAAATTTTATTAGTATATTTAGTAATGTATGTAACCTGTAATGAGGTTCAATTTTGATCAAGTTTTCATAGAGGAAATATACTTATATTCTAATAAAGATATCTGTTTCGACTTCAATTTTTTAATATGTAATTATAAGGAAAAAATATATAATTCATTATAATTATAATTTAAAAATTTTGTTTAAACTTTTTCTTTAATTTCTGTTTACAATTTAAATATTTAAACATTTTTTCCTTTTATTTAATTGGCAGGTGTACAATTTTAACATAATCGTAAACAATTATTTTATCAGAAATTTTTGTCGGCTGAATATATAATTATTTTATACTTTAACGAATTTTCTTAAGTACGCAAATGCAAATTATTTTCAGAATTATAATGACCACTTTTTTGTTTGTTTCAATTGTAATATGAATGGTAGAGCGAATGAAAGAAAAATTTAAAATTTTTATACAGGATGACCATGGCACACATTCAATTACATGATAACTTTTTCTGTCATTAACATTTATAAATTGCTTTATAACGCAGCCTTAGTGAGGTAAGCACGACTGTTGGCTTTAAAAACTGCAGACCGCGATCAGTAAACACACTCAAGAACGTGGACACGGTCAAATGTCGAGTTAAATTTTTAATCAAGGCTTATTAATACACTGCGTTTCAAAAAGATGGCACACCATGTTTTTTAGCCATAACTCAACGGAAAAGTGTCTATTTCGTTTGAAATTTTTTTGTAATTAGGTTTGATCAATATAATGCTATTAAAAAGACCCGAGCGAAAAAACCATTTTTTAAAAATTTTTTATAAAATAATTTTCAATTTTTCACTGTTTCAAAAAGATGGCACATCTTAAATTTTCGACATTAGGAGTGGTCTGAAAAATCTACAAAAATTCCTATAAACATATTTATTGATGTCGATAGAAAATACAAAAGAAAGGAAGTTCTAATATATCTCCTTCATTGAGATCTGGAAACACAAAAATCAACGGAAAACAGGGTGTAAACGTCTTTAAAAAATATTTTCGAACCCTTAAAGACTAAATTAAATTTTTATTTTATACTTTTCTGAAAGCCCTTTAAATTTGCTATAAGAAACCCCTATTGTCAATTAAGCAAAAAATTTTATATGTGAGTTATTGAGTGTTAAATTCAATGAACATGAAAATAATTAAATCTACCCCATGAAATGCCCTTTCTTAGCACATTAGAAATTTAATGAAGTACAACTTAATGGAAAAAATTTTCTGTAAAATGGAAATTGCTTATATTATAGCAAATTTAAAGGGCTTTCAGAAAAGTATAAAATAAAATTTTAATTTAGTCTTTAAGGGTTCGAAAATATTTTTTAAAGACGTTTACACCCTGTTTTCCGTTGATTTTTGTGTTTCCAGATCTCAATGAAGGAGATATATTAGAACTTCCTTTCTTTTGTATTTTCTATCGACATCAATAAATATGTTTATAGGAATTTTTGTAGATTTTTCAGACCACTCCTAATGTCGAAAATTTAAGATGTGCCATCTTTTTGAAACAGTGAAAAATTGAAAATTATTTTATAAAAAATTTTTAAAAAATGGTTTTTTCGCTCGGGTCTTTTTAATAGCATTATATTGATCAAACCTAATTACAAAAAAAATTTTAAACGAAATGGACACTTTTCCGTTGAGTTATGGCTAAAAAACATGGTGTGCCATCTTTTTGAAACGCAGTGTATTATAGAAAATATGAATTGAATCGTACAAAATACATAATAATTGCCAAACTGTTAATTGAAAGGCGTAACTAATTATGTAAATAAGAGATGAAATGATTCTATTTTAGATATACCCTATTTTAAAATTTAAAAGAAGTTAAGAAATTATTTATCAAAATTTTAATCAGTATTTGAGCGACGAGTTGAAGATGGCTCCAGTACTCTTTTAAATACTTGGCTCCGGCTCTCCGGCACCTGACATTTCGAAATATTGGCTCCAGTCTTCCAGAGTTAAGCAATTCAAGCCATATGCAGCACTTTTCACAACCTTCTGTGAAAGAGGAATTATGTACTAGGAATTATTTGAATTAAAAGATTAGTGCTTACCATGTAAGCCTAGAAAGATAAAGTATAAAAGGCTGAAGTTTTTAAGTAAACTTTTTTTGTATCTAAGTAAACAATGATCAATCTTCTACCCGCTGAAACAACCCTCGACATTTTCAAATGCCTCAACTTCAACCAATTGAACAACATTCAACAGTCAAATCGTCATTTTTGTGAATTGATCATCAATTACAACAAAGTATTGGCTGTGAAAGTGTTCTGTTCTGTTGAATTGGTTGTTTGGAAAAATTGTAGGGGTTTCAAAATTAATTTGTTATTAGTAAAAGTTTTTATTTTACAGATGTCTGTAAAGAGTTGGAATATAATCCTAATGAATTGGACTTTAATTTAGGCGAGGAAGACGAATTGAAGGTTTCCTTAGTTACGAATTCTTTATAAAACGAATTTTCAGTGGAAAACAGCAATTCAGGAACGGATTCATAATTACCATTATTACAAGAAATACTCTTCTCGTATATACTTTGATGTAGCAATTGGTGATTATAAAATGAATGAAATTGCAAATTTGTTTCTTGTATCAAAAGAAACAGGTGAAGACACTTATCTCATACCACTTAAATTTTCCCATTTAATAATTTTTAGATGGAAAATCTCCCAAAATTCTTCGTTTGCAATTAAAACAATATCCAGACACAATTGAGGAAATGATTGTTTTTCGTTACTGGCTTAAGAAGCTCTCTCATTGTTTCATCGAAAACTTCAAAATTGAGCAAGGCTACATCAACCCGGAAATTATCGAATTATTTTTTGGTGATTCTCCGTTGAAATTCCACACAACCAATTTGTATCTTTACGATGAAGGAACCTACTCTTTCCCTAAAGGATATCAATTTTTGTATCATCACTGAACTATTTGTAAGTTCACTATAAACCCTCGGTTCTAAGCCTTGGTCAAATTAGATTTTAAATATGAATTTATTCAAAGGGTTAAAATATTATAAGTTGAAGAGTTAAAAAGTAAAGTTCAATATAAGACGAAAAAGGTGAAAAGGAGGCGGATATATATAGTGGAAATTTAGGCAAACAAATATTGTTATTGAGATGGGCAGGTCGAGAAATGAGTAAATAAATATTAATACAAAATGTGATTATTAAGAGATAAAGATTGGGAAAGTCGGGAATCTCTTTAATTGAGATGCAGGTCAATTCTTATCATTATTTATATTTTTGAGAAAAGCTATTTTTTAATTTGTTTATTTGTTTATGCGACTGCAGCATTCCTTCCCCCTTAATTAAGATGACGTCCACGTCATGCTTATTAAATTAAACGGAGGAGATTATATTTTATTTATTTTAGAAGCCATTTTAAGGTTCTACTATAGCTTTTTTAAATCGAGGGATTTTTTTAAGCTCTCCTCTTGTATTTTTTTTTTAAATTTCATTTAATTTTATATTTCTCCAATTTTGGGATTGCATTTTTTTTTTTGACATACTTTTCTCCGACAAGAGTTTTAAAGGGGTATAGAAAAATTTTAAATTAGATTACAGACTGAAATGTTTTAGAAAACTAAAGGTGAAATTATTTAAGGGTTATTATTTTTTTAAGGAAATTGAGGTAGGGAAAATTTTTTTTTTTTTGATGTCCATTTTTAAATTATAGATGAGCAATATTTCTTATCTTCTTTTTACCCTCTGGCATTTGTCCATTTACTTTCCGATTCCATTCCTTGTTTGCTTTTGTGCGTCCTGTCTGTTGTTTTGACGTTGGTAGGCTTATCTTTTGGTGATGGATGTAGTCTTTCTCCGATGGTCCTGCTGTCTTTGTTGATTCTCCCATTTTAAAATTAGGGGGTCTTATCACAAGTTTGTCCTCAACCCACTTTTTTCTTACTTTTTTATTTGTGGGACTGTTTTTCTGATAAGTATGTTTTGAGCTTGGGTTTGTTAAGTTTGTGTCTATTCTCAAGTCACAATTTTCTAGTGAATTATTATTTTTATTTATTTCGTGATTGTTTTTAAATTCAATATTCTCCATTAATTTTATTTTCGCCTTTTCAATATTATGATAATTTCTTATTAATGTTTTCGCGATTAATTTACCCGTTTGTAAATCTAGGAATAACGGAAGGCTTTTTAGGGTTTCTCTTCCGATAATTACATCATATTTTCCTGTTTTACTTATTTCATTTTTTAATATTACAATCTGCGTTAAAATTTCACAACCTGCTATTTGAAAAATTATTTCTCCTTGTCCAAGCGTGGGTACTATTTTATTTCCTATACCAACTATGGCACTTAAGTCAGCGGGGAATATCTCGTTTATTTCTACTTTTTCTGCGGTTTCTTTACCAGTTAGTGATACATGTGCTCCCGTGTCCAATAGGCAGAATATTTCCTTTCCATTTATTTTAGTTTTTATTCTAAACCATTCATCGCATATATTATCATATCCGGCTGCGATTTCTGCAACATTAATTTCTTTCTCTAGTTCTGGTTTATTTTGCAAATTTCTAAGAATTCTAATTAAACAGAATCTAGGATTTAGAAAAGGTTTAACGTATTTCAGCGCTGTTACCTTTAATATAAACATCAGTAAGCATAGTATAGTACTAGCAAATAAAAAGGCGAGAAATATCCAAATTTGATTTAATATAAGCAAACTCGAGAAATTTTCGGTAAATGTGCTCTCTTTAGTCAATTCTGTCATTTTCCAATTGTCGCTAATTGTTTTCTCTTTAAAGGTAAAAAAGGGTGAGTATGCGGGACAATTCATTTCAATTTGTGGTCCAGAGCTAGCCAAAGTGGGACTTATAATAGCAATAAGTGCAAAAATTGTTAGCAAATAAGGGCTAGATATTCTTAATGGACTTGCAACTCGGCTTTCGCTGAATCTCACTCTTCTAGTGGGCGAGCGGCTATAATTATTTGGTGAACTTTCTCTAGAATTTTCGCGATTTCTATCATTATATCTGCTGTTATCTCTATTACATTCATTTCTATAATTATTTCTGTTTTCCCAATAATCATTTTGATAATTTCTTCGCTCATAATTATTATATTGGCGAGCTTTATAATTTTTTCTTGCTCTGTTTCGGCAATCCGCTATTACATGTCCAGGTTTATGGCAGTAATAACATAAGCGTCTTGTTTCTCTAGACCGATTAATTACTAGGGCTTCTACTTTTTCTGCCAAATCAACATATTGGTTATTTTGATATTTTTGGCGCTTTTCGTTTAATAATAATTCAAAATGTTCGGCAACTTCAAATGCCTTAGAATAGTCTTCAGGTCTAGACGCTTTTACTTCGAATTGTAGATCTGGCAAAAGCCGATCTAAAAATTCATCTAGCAATCGCTGCTGTATCGTATTTTCTTCATATCCAATCATTACAGCACGTACTGCGTCATTTAAACGCTGTGCGAATTCAAAAACTCTTTCTCCAGGTGCTTGTTTTATTATAGATAGGGCTTGCCTAGCTACCGTACGAGAATGACCATTTACAAATTTTTCTTGCAAGAAATCTATTGCTTCTTGCAGAGTAGCTGGTTGCGGGACTTTAGCGTCAAGTTCAGCACGAGCGCGACCTCCCAGGCATACTTTGAGACGACTTAGCTTTTGTGCTTCGTTAAGTGGCGTAATTATTAAGTTTAGTGCATCCATAAATCGCTGGAAAAATTTTGAGAATGAACTAGTCGGGTTACCATCATAGACTCCGACTGGGGTCATTAGACCGTTTAAGAATGGGTCTCCGATCATAATCTCAACATTTTCTCCAGTAATGGGTTTCTCAGCAGCTTCCAACGCTTTTTCAGGAGGTTTAGTCTTGCGATTTAGGTCAAACGATTCATTACTTCCGTGACCGTTCCATGAAAATCCGGATCCTCGCGATTCATTTTCTAAAACCTCTACTTTTGCTTCAAGACTTTCAATTTTATCAATTAATTTACGCGCATTTTTAGTAATAATTTCTGCTATTTTCTGCTCACTTTTAGATAAATTATTCTCAACGTTTTCCATCCCTTCCTCTAGGATGTTTAGGCGTTGGATTTGTGAAATTTGTTCTTTTTCTATTTCCATATTTTTAGAGCGTAAAAAGACTAATTCATCTTTTAATTCTCTATCATCCATTTTATTTTCAATTTCCTTCATTTTTGTTTTGTTTAAATCATTATCAACTCCTAAATTAGATATTTCTTCTTTTACAATTTGTTTCAAATTTTTAAATTGATTTTCTAATTTTTCAAATTTTCCATCTATTAAAGCATTTATTTTATCAATTTCAGATGAGGACGAATTTGATGGCAAATTTTGTCCTTCAGAAATTTTCGACTCGATTTTACGGAAGTTTTTGCATACAGCCTCTTCAAAGCTGCGTAATCGAAATAATAAATTATTCCAATGACGACCTTCTTCAGGCGTAAAAAATTTATTCGCAAAATCTGATCCTGTTGTCTGTGTCTGATTTTTATCCATTTCCAAGATTCTCCAGAAAATGTTTTCAGGGGCAGGAAATCCTTTATAGAGCTTTTCCGAGAGCGGAAAATCCAGTTCTTCTCTTTCTTTTTTATTTTAAACTGAGGATTGCACCCAGCAATTTCCTCTACTTTAACCGTTGCACCAAGCAGGAGGATAGAGCACACAGCAGTCTACCTCGTTTTTTAATTAATTAATTACGTGGGGTATTTTCTTCCCACAATTTCTTTCACAACTCTCTAAAACTAGCTCTTTTCAGGATCAAAATATCCTTCAAACAAATTCTTTTTCTCTCAAGGCTTTTTCACCCGGATTAAGTGGCACCAAATGAACTATTTGTAAGTTCACTATAAACCCTCGGTTCTAAGCCTTGGTCAAATTAGATTTTAAATATGAATTTATTCAAAGGGTTAAAATATTATAAGTTGAAGAGTTAAAAAGTAAAGTTCAATATAAGACGAAAAAGGTGAAAAGGAGGCGGATATATATAGTGGAAATTTAGGCAAACAAATATTGTTATTGAGATGGGCAGGTCGAGAAATGAGTAAATAAATATTAATACAAAATGTGATTATTAAGAGATAAAGATTGGGAAAGTCGGGAATCTCTTTAATTGAGATGCAGGTCAATTCTTATCATTATTTATATTTTTGAGAAAAGCTATTTTTTAATTTGTTTATTTGTTTATGCGACTGCAGCAATCACGTGGTTATTCATGGAGATAAAGGCTTTTACTATGAAAATTCTGGATGGAAATTGCGTGGAGAAATTATTAAAGACGAGGAATGTTATTTTCTGAGAGCGGAGGAGGAAGTGGAAGACTTTTGTAAGGTTGCTGAATATGAATTCTTCGGTGTTGATAATCCACAAGAACATGTTTTGCTGTATTTGTGCTTCCATGTTGGTTCCAAGCGACCGTATTATTCGGAAGTTAGAAGAATTGATATAGTATAGATAATTTTGTTTGTGTGTGATAATTTGTATATATTGTATTGTAAAATGTAGGAAATTATGTATGTAATGTATGTTTTGTTATTTCTATATATGGTTTGTACTAAATAATTTATTTGATAAAATCATAGATATGTAGATATTTAATTTTATTGTAGCATACACACTTGAAAAAATTTTCAAGCGTAAAATTAAAAAATATGGGTGCGTTTATAATTATGGGACAGAGTGTATCTACAATAATTAATTTCTTGAGAAGCATAAACCAAAAAAAGATATAGAACACAAGATCTTTATTCAAAAAATTAGGAAGTAATTCACAAACTGAATAATATATTACATTGTATTTATCATTTTAAAGGGGTTATACAGCCGAAATAACGGAAATATTTTTATTTTTTTTTCAATAACAGAATATTAAGTATATCCAAGCACACTTGAAACTTTATTTTGATTTGCTTTAAATAAACTGAAGAATTTTCCAAATAAAATTTTTGTGTCAGTCCGGACAGTTTTGTTTAATGTTAAATAAATAACTGGGGGGAAACCTACAAAATTCATAAAATATACAGGGTGCGCCATAAGTAACCGGACACTTGTTTTCTCTCATAACTTTATTAAAACACAATCAAATAAAATCGAAATACAATCAGATGATAGAGAATTAAATAAGGAACAATAATAATCAAGAAAATTCGAGATGCCCACCCTTGGCTTTGATACAGAGGCGAAGGCGCGAAGAAAAATTTTCGCAAATAGCACGCACCTCCTTGAGTGTAATTAAGTCCCACCCTCGGGTGAGAGAGTGACGCAGAAACTCCAAACTTTTATGAGGCATAGCACAGGCCCTGGACTCCAAAATAGACCAAAAAGAATTATCCATCGGGTTTAGATTCGGGGAGTAGGACGGCCATTACTGAACGCTAATGAACCCAGGAAAATTGGCCTTGCACCAGTCCTGAACTTCTTTCGCCTTGTGTGCCGGAGCAGAGTCCTGTTGGAAAATCCAGACTCTGCGACCGAAATGGCTCTTGAACCGAGGCTTCAGAACACGCTAAAAAAATTCTCGCAAGTAATAGTCTTTGTTGACTTTTACACCAAAATCCACGAAAATAAGGGGTTTTTTGCCTGACGCACAAATACCGGCCCAAACCTTGACAGATTGGGGATGTTTGGAATGTGTGATAAGCTTATCGGAAAGAGGAGATTCTGTAGTCCTAATTCTATCATTTTGATGGTTGTGAACGGATTTTATTGTAAAAATTTTTTTGTCTGTTAAAATAATGTCCGGACATGCGTACCACTGTAGGAGCAGTTTGTATCTTGCAAGTCTAACTTTTTTGGTTTTTTTTTGTTAGCAGTTGTGCTTTTAGGATTTTGTAGGGTATTAACCCTAGTTTATTTTTAGCTATTCGTCTGACGGTCCTCTCACATATTCCGGTGTCACGAGCCACTTTTCTTACGGAGGGTCGATAATTGAGGTGCACCCAGTTTTTGATCATTTTAATATTCTTGGAAGTGTTTACGGAACGAGGTCTTTTACTTTTTTGTAAGTTCTTAGTTGTGCCATGATTATCAAATTAATTTAAAAAAATTTTTCTCCCAAAAAATTTTCACCAGAATTTTTTGATTGTGTATTGTACAGTGTTATATGGGGCATTCAAAAGAGATGAAATTTTGCGGACTGAATTTTTTTGTAAAAAAAGTGAGATTATAGAATCACGTTGACTAGCCATAATAGAGAATTGAATGAGCTAAAAAATAAGCCTAAAATCAATTAAAAATATTGACAACAAAAAAAGTTATAAGGAATTTAAAAGTGTCCGGTTACTTATGGCGCACCCTGTAATTTTAAATATACAAAAATATAAATTTATTTTTTATTTACCGTGAATTTGAATCCTTAAAATAAAATAATTTAATCGAAAAAATAGTTAATTATACCAAGCAAAATGTGCAACCATCAACGGAAAGATTCCGTGATCAGGATGATTCATATTGTAAGCATAGGCAAATGCTGCTGATGTATTGAACATTGAAATAATAAATACTTGAATAAAAACCTTAAAAATATTTTAATTTAAAAATTTAATTTAATTTTCAATATTAACAATTTTTGTTTGATTATCTAAATGTCTTGACTTTTAATTTAAAAAATTCATGGGGAATATGCATTAATTTATTTATACGAACAAACGTGCAGTATAAATTTTTAAAATGATTTTAATTTATAAGATACCATTTTCTCTTCCTTCGAAACATTATCAATTAATTCACGGGCTTTGAAGAAAACGCAAAGTGAAAAAATTGAATAAATTATTGGTGAACCAATAGCCAAAATTGTGTTGTGTATAGTAAATTCTCTTAAATCTTCTTTAAACTAATAAATAAATGAATAAATTAAATAATTAACTAATTCCATTTTAAAGTTTAATATGCATTAAGTAATTAACCCCAGCCTCGACCCCCGACCTCAGCAAACGCCAATCCTCGACAATCACGATCTTGAAGGGGCAGTGCTGGACGCAATTGCAGATTGACTAGTTTTTTACTTGAGGACTGCGGGTTGGGGCTGCGGAAAATCTTTTTCACCTACATACGTCCAGACTGATCGGGGTGTTCCTTACTTTAAATTATAAATGAATAAATTAAAAATTAACTAATTCCATTCTAAAATCTTTATATCCAATTAAAGGATCAAATAAATATTCAAAAGTCAATCCATTAAAAATATAAGGATGTATAAACAAAAGCCAATAAAGCCCATATAAATTACAAAAAATAATCCAAATATAAACACGATTGTTATGAAAAAGTATGTTGGAAATATTTGGAAATGCCATTTCGAGACAACGATTAATTCCCAAAATCTAAAGAATAAATATTTAATACAAATATTTTTATTTATGTGAAACCGTATCTGCACAACATTCAGCAGCCCATAAAACTAAAAATTTAAATTTTATAAATGTTCCCCGAAATAATTTAGTGGTTAACTTTCAGAACTACAAGGAATAGGTTCCGGACACGCAGAGAAAATTTAGATCTGACACTAAAAATGATTAGTCCTTAACTTCTTGACCTTCAAAAAATCAAAAGATTTGCTCTGTGTCGCTATCAAGTGTTTTCAATCGCGTTAAAATCGGTCTATATCTGCTCTAAAAGCACCAATCCGGATATCTGTGTTCAAAAAAGGTGTATCAGGAAATTTTTGGATTCGGCTCCGGATCTTCGAGATTTTCAGTTTGTCCTGCAGATGACAGTACTAAAATTACGCGAAAATCTTGGCAAAATATATATTCAAAATTTTCGTAAATCCAAATGAACTCAATTGACATGATAAGATAAACTTACATAAACAAGCACACCCAACAACATATGTGGATATTGGGGAAGTACAGTAAACAACACCGTTTAAACTGAAAATTCCAGCAGAGAAAGTTGGCAACCAAAGTATGCCAATGTCCAAAATTGAAAGATAAATTAAAAGTTTATAACAAGGATTTTTGTTTCTATTTTTCCAAAAAGAGTAAAGACAAGGAAAATATATAGGCTTAAATTTTAAATTTAGAAAAAACATTTTTTTTAAATTCCGTACATAATATATAAATCCAAGTAAAATACAAATAATTGCAGCTATTGGATATCTTCTTTTTTCAATTGGAATATCATCAACATTAATTCCCGTACAATTATAAATTATGTCGAATTCTTTACGATTCCACAAAATATATTCCATATTATATTAATATCGTTAGGGCAGAACACTCAAAATTGGAACTATCTACCAAATATACAACAAAATTCTACCAAATATACAACAACATTTAAATGCTAAATAATGTGAGAATCCACAAAATAAGTACCAATTATTTTATTGGCATAGTAATAATGTTAAAAACTTTCTCCACCTTTTTCTTTTTTCATTTAGGTGTCAGATGTTAACAAAAAAAAACAATAAGTCTGTCAGAAAGAATATTTCTAATTATTTTTAATAGTACAATAAGTCAAGGATGTGGTTATTATTATTAGAGATGTTTTTTCAACCCCAAGGGTTTAATTAGAATTGAGGTAGTTGTAATAATCAAAAATTTATTATTTATTAAATCTTATTATTTCCTGTTTAATTAATACTTTAGGGAAAATAAAAATAAAAAAAACTAAAATAAATTAGTAGTTACACGTATTCTAATATTTTTAGAAAAAAAATTTTTGTTTGTGTAAATTTAAAAAAATATTAAGGAAATAATTATTAGTAATTATTATTTGAACAAGGGTAATCTTAACAAAGTCTTAATCTTATCCTGTACTTTTGAATCATAAAAAATAAGTCATTCAAAAATGCTAATAATGATAATCTTTTCTTCAAATAATATCCATTAACCCTGTTAAATCTATTAATTTTTAATTTAAAAAATTAAAAAAAACAAAAAAAAATTTTATTTTTAACACTATTTTACAATAATAACTTTCAAAAGAAAATTTCTTTAGAGATCAAATTTTAAAACAAAAATATTTTGTAAATTTTATATTCACTCGATTTTAATTGGATTTTCTTAAATAAATTTTTAACAAAAAATTGTTTCATGAATTGCATGATTATGATCAAATCTGGTAAATAAAGAGCCAGTGTCTTTAAGTAAAATAGCACGAAAAGGACACAAACAATTAAAAGTATAGCGACAACTTAAAAATAAAAATAATTATTAAAATTAGAGAGAAAATTTGTAATTTATTTAAACATAATTTTAAAATATTTTCTTTTACAAAAATATTTATTGGGTAAAGGGACAAAACTTTGTCTCCAAAAATCAGCCAAGACTAGAGAAAATATCGGGATTTTTCCTAAGCCCATTAAATGCTTTATTTAACGATTTAGTCGGACCGAATTTCGTTTTTTGTCTGGACCTTTTATTAGCCTGACACAATATATACTAAATGGGAAATAAAGCAATTATTTTTTAAAATTTAAGATGACAATTGGAACTGTGTCAAGGCAAAACTTCGACAAAACAAAACTTAGCCACAGTCGAGTTGTAATAGTGTAATGAGACTAGGAAGGAAGGAGGAAGGATTTTGAGGGATTAAAGGGAATATCAAAGGATTTGGAAGGAGTAAAAGAGAAATATGTAGGTTATTTGGAGGATATCGAAGGGTTTGTGAATATCGTAGAACCTTAAATAATCCTGTCAAAACCACAGACTCCCTTGGAAATTAATTTTATTAAAAATGCCTCTCCAAAAAATAATTTCATAAAATTTCCTTACCAAAAACTAATTTTTCCACTTTTCTCATCCCAAACTTTAAGAAAATTTTGTTTAATAATAAAATTCAAATCTTTTTCATTTTTAATATTTTTAACAAAATTCCATTTATTTCCTTCTTTATCAATATAAAATTGGCCTTCTTTTTGCTTAAAATAATTTTCTTCTTCTTCTTGTTCAATTCTTAACCATTTATTTTTATTTATTTTTGTTTCAATGCAATGAGGAAATAAATAATTAATTAATTCATTTTGACGAGATTTTCCTTTTTTGTTAATTAAAGAAGTTGACAATAACTGCTAAAAATTTAATTTAAAAATTATTTATTGTTAGATTAGGGTTGTCGGTAATTGAATTCAAAACCTACTATTTTCTAATTAAAAAAATTAATTCCTCACATTTTCCGAATTTCCACCCTCTCCAACAACATCAATAGAATTATCTTGATTTTCTTCTAATAAATCATCAATTGGGTGATTATGTTCACAACGAGTAAATAAACTTCCATCAGATTTTACAAGTTTTCCACGAACTCTACAAGAAAGTTTTTTTGATTGAATACATCTAAATAGGTTAAAAGGTAAATGAAAATAAGACTGGTCCTAGAAAAATGAACAAGAAGTGATATTCCCATATTTGAGGTATGTAATCAAGAGTGCTTAGTACGAATATGAGCTTAGAATTTATCTCGAAATCAGAGAGATTCAAACTACAATAAAATCAGAATTATTTCGACCCAATTTTTGCGGGGAACTGGAAATGCGGGAAATAAAACTGCGGGGGCAGGTGGGAAACGGAGGCTCTGAGGTGAAACCTCCTTCCATTATTCATTCCTAATTTCATTACCTTATGGCATCATTTATTTATTGCAACGTTGAGTGAGACAAGTGACATAAGGAAATAAGTGAAATTAGGAAGAAAGGTCTGAATATTGTGTACCTCTAAAACATAAAAAAAGGGAGGGAGGGATATCTAAAATCACCAAACGATGTTATAAATAGGGTGATTATTTACATATGGCAAATCCCAAAAGTATCGAAAAGTTCACCTGTCCTTTCTTAAATGTACCAAAAATTTTCCTTTTTACCAATAAATTAAAAAAAATAAAATTTTACCTAAAACTAATATTTTCTGAACTTTTACCATCCATAACCATTCCATATTTTCTTTTAATTAAAGGCTTGTATATATCTGATTTAAAACCAACAAATTGAAGAAAATGCCATTCACGATTATTTCGATCAATCAATGTTTTGATTGAAGATTTCTTCGGATTTGGAAGAGCTTCTGAAATTTAAAAATAAATTAGTTTTGGGTAGATTTAATTGTTAAAAAAGAAGGATGGGCCGGGTTGAGAGAGGTTGAGAGAAAAATCGGGTCCAGGTTCGGGTCGAAAAAGACCAGGCTTCGGGTACCCATCCCATCCCTGGTATGGAGATATCGGGAATGACAAAAAAAACTTCAGACGTATTCACGTTGGTTTCAAACAAAAAAACACTTTTCTTCAATAGGATAACTATCCACAATGATGTCGCTGGTCGACCCGAAACCCACAACTCGGACTTTTTCGACCCGAAACCCGATAGACGAAAATTTTAAAACCAGACTTTTTTCTTACCCCTTGACACTGCAGGGATGTGCCGAAGCAGATTTTAAAAAGCGAAAGACGAAACTTCTAACCCCTGTTATCCAAGACCCAGTAGCCTTAGGTCGTAAACTTAGTTGAGTAGCTATTCGTACACTAAAATATTCCGTTAAGTCTGGCTCCCAAAAATATATTAGTATTCAAATTTATTAAAGAAACTTGCCTTTTCCCTTTTCATTTTGAAGATTATACCCTTGATTAATAACTGGACTAATTGCTTTTAATCCCCAAGCCTTATTTAGATAATCATTATAATTGCAAAAAGAATAATTGTTTTTATTGTTATAATTAATTAAAGTTGTTTTTGAATAATTTTTATAATTTGACATATTCTAAATTAAATAATGGAGTTAAAAATTAAATTAAAAACGTGGAAATACTTAAAAATTAAATTTAAACATTCCATCTTTTTAAAACAATGGACATGAAAAGGTATGGTAAAGGCCGTTTCAGTTCCAATCTCTTTTGTGGGACTAAATGAATGACCGTAATTTTTTCTGTTTTTGTCTGCAGGAAATGTTTACAACTTGCCTTAAACATTGTTAAAAAGTATGGGGAATTTACAACCATAATTTACAATAATTTATAAAATTAAGTAAATATTCATATATATTTATTAAATAATTTATAATTTAATTTCTTCATCATTTTCTTTTCTGTTTTCCTCTTCTGTTGTTTCAATTTCCCTAACAGCACTTAAATCAAAATTTCTACTATTTTGCCCTAAATTAATTGTCATTTGCACAAGAAATCTTCGTCTATTTTGTAATAACATTGCTAATTGGTTAATTCCTGTAAAAAACTTTTTATTTTTTATTATTCAAAAAATAACAAGTCTTATTTAAGAAAAAGGATTTTATTGTAAGGGAATATTAGAGATCGGAAATGTTCAGGGTTTGATTAAATGACGTGGGCCGGATCATGGGCCTGTAGTCCAGGAAAAACCCAGGCCCAGGAGAACCTCAGGAAGGTCAAAAAATGCCTGGGCCTGGACTCTGGGTACAGGAAAAACCCAGGCCTTGGTCCACCAGACTCAGGCCGATCTCTAGGGCATATTAAGGCATTAATGTAGAATGATTTGGAATTCGATGGGATCGATGGGGTGAGATATGTGGGATGGGATATGTCTTCCCGCTCTTATTCATAAACCGACCCATTATATCCAGAAAGCGACGTATTAACGTGATTTTAAGATTAGTTACATAAATACTTCTTTGATTTACCTAATTACCTATTTTACTTCTATAAAAAAATTTTTGTGTCGAGGTTAAATCATTAGTGAAAACAAACTTTATTTATTTATTTTATTATTTTCCAAATTTTCTAATATTTTTACCTTTATTTTCAAAATTTCCAGTTAAATTACTCCTTAAACTATTAGAAACAATAGCAATTGAATATTTCTCTAAAAATCTTTCAATCCCTTCCTGCCTCAAAATTTCCTCAGATTTTGGCTTTGAATTTTTACAAAACCCAAAACGTAAACGAATAAATACTCGACATATTGCTTTTCTAATTCTTTTATCATTTGAAACATAAATTGGTAAACGAAGGGCGCAACCACAAATTGTTAACTTTTAAATTTTTGAATTTTGTTTAAATAATTTAAAAAATATAGGGTATTATTTACTTAATTTCGATAGGAAGGATTAATTAAAATATTAATTTTCCATTATCTTTTTATACATACCAAAGCAGCAATATCAGTTATCATCAAATAAATATGAAAATTATTTTGACGTAATAATTTCAAATCAAAATATTCCCAAATATTTAATGCTGTACTTAGTGAATTTGAAATTAAATAACAGCCAACAACCTAATAAATTATTAGAAAATTAAATTGATTTTGAGACTTTTCTTGATTTTTGAATTTTGTTTAAATTTTGATTTATTTATTACTACCGATTAAATATTTACCAATCAGTCCTAAAATTTTATTTTTAAGACTTTTCCTACAATTTAAAATTCCCTTTATTTTTAATTTAAAAAATATACTAACCATTACAAGAGTTCTTGTTGCAATTCTAACACCAATTTTTCCATTATCAACAGGTAATGGAGAATTTTTGTTCGTTTCATTATTACTATTTTCTGATGGTAAACGTTCTTCTAACTTTTTATTTTGTTTATTTCTCAAATCCAAAATAAGAGGGGCATAAGCACTTTAATTATATGTTTAAAATTAAAATAAATTTATTAAATTTCTTTAAGACTTCCATTATTCCCCATTGCTTTTAAAAATTAAATTTCAAGTCTATTAATTTATTCCAACCCAATATTTCCTCAAAATTACCATTTAAATAAAGTAATTCTTTGTTTAGTAGGTGAACATCCAATAAATTTATTTTGATTAAGTGAAGGTGATTGACTGTTTCCATTAATAATTCTTTTATTATTATTAAAAGAGGGTATTAAATTTTGTTGATTGTCATTTAGACTGTTAATTGAAGTAGAATAATCTGTTAAAAATTTAAAAATTATTTTTTTTTCAAGACTTTTTTCAAAACAAAAAAGCTCATATGTATAAGGCTTGAAAGCTCATATAAAAATATTAATATCTTTATCGGTCACGTATGAGCAGTTTTTTAAAATTTCCGGTTATTTTTTAGTAAAAATTAAAAAAACTATATTTTTCATTCCCCCTACCCATTGTCTTCTTTCTTCGACGGCGTCTCAATACTTGAACAATACATAAATTACAATAAGCAAGTACAATAAATGGTAAAATTACAGAAAGAATATTTCTTGTCCAAAATCGCAAAGATTGGTATTTAATTACTTTATTATTATTAAAATTCAAAACCAAAATAGAACTAAAAATAAACAATTTTTTGTTTTTTTTAAATTTCTGAGAAGTTCGAACGCAGGGAAACGGAAAAATTGATAAACAGGGGAATACATAATGCTGTGATAATATAGGTAATTACTAACCTAACTAGTAAATCTCTCATTAACAAATCAATTAGAAAATACATTGAGTATGTCAGGATTTTTTAATTTTCTCCGGTGTGGGCGGGAAATTTATTCGGGTACTTGTCGAGGTATGTTTTAGTTTTAAAATCAAAAAATTTTATCTTTTTTTAAAATTTCTTAGATTAACAAATCTCTCTCTCATTAACATATCAATTAGTAAAAAATTTTTTATTTAAAATACCTTTATTCAAAAAATTACCAACCTTTCTATAAAATTTGAACAATTAGGTAATTTAAAAATATTAATTTCAAAATATAAAGTAGCTTTTAATAAAAAAGCAAACAGAAGAATTGTAAAAATAACAAAAGGTTTTCTTTTAACAAGAAAAACAAGTAAACATTTCTAAAAAACCGATTTTCTTTAAAAAAATATTTATTTAAAATACCTGTGCATTGAATGGACTATTAGCCAAATAACGCTCAATGCTTGCTATTACAAGAAGAAAATTGCAAACAGTTAGGGCAAAATGCTTAAATTAATTTTGTTTAAAAAAGTTTTTTTTTATTAATTTTTATAAGTAACGTTAAATTAGAGTTTAAATTCGCCTTAAAAACTCTCATTTTTAGTCAAACTATAAACGTAATTATTTTTTATCTTAATAGCTACAATCCAAAATAGATGTGGATAATGAATATTCTAATAATTACTAATTTATATCTACAGTATGGTTGGCGGATAGTTGGAAATCTTCGGATATACGGATCCGGATCCAATATCCGAACCGAAAATCTAGGATATCCGGCCTTTTTCGGATCCGGACCCGCCATCCTTAATGTAGTGGACGACTCCACTCTCTCACGACTTTCTCAAAAATTTCATCCCAAAAGGTGTTATTATAGGGAGATTTGACTGTGTATAGTTTTTGTTAGTATAAATTTTAATCCTATTTTATCATGAACATTCATGTTCCATTACAATATTTAACACTTAATTCATTTAATTTTCTTTTAAATTTACCTCAAAACAAAAAAGTATTTTAATACTTTTTGTCCAAAAATTAATAAATATTCTAAAATTTAAAAGAAAAGCTAAAAAGTGAACGGGAGAGATGAGCAAATAAATTAAAGAAACAACAATATCGAAGAAAGAAAGCAATACTGGATTTACATAATTTTGTCGTCTAAGTTTTCTTGAAGTAGCAAAAACATAAAAAAGTAGAAGGTTTTGGATAATAGAAATCTTTAAATTAAAAAAAATATTTTTTTGCGATTTTTAAATTTTAAAACTGTTTAATTTTTTAAAATTTCACGCATTTTTTGCTTGATAAAAAATTGAACCACTATAATCGAATCTTGATAGACTGACACCCCAATAACACATTTTTTTCATTAATTCAGCCCCAGAGAGATCTGTTTTAGCAATATATCGACCATTAAGGTATCGACTCAATTCGGTTATCAAGATTCAACTATGTGCAGTTATCCTTTCTTTCGAGAGCTGTCAGGATAAATCCTATTATTTTTTGGAAGGATCCAGTTGCTTACTTTGATAATAGATACCAAATTATTTTTGACTTTTTTATTTATTAATTTAATTAAAATTTGATATACATATATATGTAAATATGATTATTTTTTACTAACTTTTCTCTATTTATTAATTTAATAATTAATTTAACTAAAATTGAAATACAATAGATATGAGTGAGCCAAACATTCCAACAATTAGAAATCTTAAATTATAATTAAACATTCTTTCAAAGTTTTGTTGTTGTTGACATTTTAAATTAATTGTTTGGTTTAATCTAAATAAATGCATTTAACATTTATTTTTTTTAATCTAAAATAAAAAAAATATTTTTTTTATTTTATATTTCAACAGCAATTTTTAACTTTTATTAAATGGAAAACTAATTTGTCTTAAAAATTTAAAAATTTTATATTGAGAATTAACAAGAAAGACTTTTATTAAATCTTGAAGTAAAAAGTCTTTAGAAAATTCGATTTTATTCCTACTCCTGCATGCTCTATTTTTCTCTACTCATACCTTGAGATTGGTACGAGAAGGACTTTGGGTAAATACAAGCTCCCAATCATTAACTATATTTTTCCCCTTTAAAATTTATTTTAAAATATAAGTTGAAATGCTGTCTGGTCTAAAAATTGTTAAAAAATTTGCTGAAAATATAAATAAATTTTTAAAGCAAAAAGGAAGGAAATTTTCTAATATTTTATTAATTAATAATTTATTTTTTAGCCAAATTTTTATTTTTTTTTCCGTGTCTGATATAAAATGAAAGGAAATATTTTTAATTCATACACGCTATTTGGTTGTTGTTTTTTGAGTTTTTGATGACGAAATAAATGAAAAAATTTTGAAAATAATTTAAAAGTAATTTATACTATGTATGTATATAAAATAAAATTAAATGATTTTATTTTTCGAAATAAAGGTTACATGGGGGGGGGGGGGGGGGGGAGATTTAATAGTTCTTTTCTATCCGACGTCAGTTTCATTCGTGAGACTATTTGTACTTGATATTTCATAAAGTTTAATAAGAATAATAACCTCTTAATTGAGCTTTATAAAAGATTAAAGAATTTACCTATTTATTTATTCAATAATTTTTGTGACCTTATTTAAGGATTTATAGACAAAATAAAAAAAGGTTGAAAAATTTTATGAATAAATACATTAATTATGTATTTATTTTATTTATTCTTTAAAATGCTATGTACATCCAGACAAGTAGAAAAAATAGAATCATGCGAAAATATAGATAAAGAGGAATTTTAAAAATAAATTTGAAATGTTAAAGTCTAAATTATAATTAAAAAATAATTTTAAAGGTTATTTTATTTATTTTTAAAAATTAATTTTTTAATAAAATTTATTTGAATCAATTTGAAGGACAATTCGAAGAATAATTCATAGAAAATAAGGTTTTTAGAGATTTATAAAATTAAAATTAGAATATTAAATAATGAAATATTAAAATTGAAATTGATATAGAAAATAATTATTTAAATATCTTTTCAATTAAATATTTTTATAATTCATAATAATAATTAGGGTCCGAATTTTGGAGAATAAAAAGCCCAGTAATGAAAACCAGGAACAAAAAATATTTATTAAAATAGCAGAGGAAGTTAAGGAAAAAATATATGGAAAAAATATAGAAAATGATTTAAAAACCCGGGTCCTATGAACAATAGACAAAAATTAAAATTTAAAGGATCTAATACCTACCTACTTATTTCCTTATTTATTCAGTTAAAAATATTTAAATAAAAATCCAGCTTCCTCTTCCTTTTTATTTTATTTCCTCAAAAATGGATTTAAAATAAATTCTAGTTAAAATTTTACCTTTTAATTATTTTTTTATTTTCGCATTTCAAATGTTTACAAAAGTAACACGAGAAGATAAAATGAAAGTAAAACAATCTTTGAGTTTTTTATATACCTTTTTGGGTAAAAAATATTTTTAATTAAATTTTTAAAAGTATTTTTACTTTAATTGTGAGAGAAAATTAATTAAAAAATAATTATTTAAATGTTTTTTCAATTAAATATTTTTAATATGTACTTTTCTGTTATCTCCTAATTAGGGTTGCCGGTTCCTGGAAAATCTTCGAATATCCGGAACCGAACCAAAAAAATCCTCGGTTATTCGGTTCGGTCCAGAACCGACGACCCTACTCCCAATCCATTTTATATAAATTTTGAATGAAAATAATAAATTTAATATATTAAATACAAAAATACTAATAAAAACATCAAAAAGCATGTAAATAAGTAAAAACAACAAAAATAATTAATTTTTGTTTTAACTAAAAAAATTTTTTTGGATAATACAAGAATTTTATTATTGTTAAGAAGGATATATTAAAAAATTTAATTTAAACAAAAACAAAAGGAAAAAAGTAATAAATTTATTTTTATACATATATGGTATAAAATTAGTTTTTTTAATATTAAAAAATTTTTGTTATTATTTTTGTTTAATTAAAAATTTTGTCAAAAATTATTTAAAATATGTTTTCATTTACTGTAAACACATAAAAAATATTTTAAGACTACCTAAATAAAAATAGGTTCAACTAAGTAATATAACGTGGCTATTATTGAGACCAAGAAAATTCGGGTAAGACTTTTAATGATGCCAACGAAGACTTATGAGTTCAAAATAATTTTCACAAAACTATGTATGAACTTTTACGAGCATTAGAAAATTCTAATGAAATTTTTGATAATTAATTAAGCTCAAAGAAAGCCCGCAAATTATCTATAATGTAATCTAATATTAACAAAAATCCAATCAAAATACCCAAAATACTGTTTTCTAGCCTTAAATTCTTTCAATTTCTATCTACAAAAAAAACAAAAATTTATTTATGAAAATTCCAAATAATTAAGAAAATAACAAAACGAGAGAGATCGCTCTTCTAAATTAAACTCCAAAACCGCTAAAAAGATCCTGTTGTTTAGCCAATTCCACCAACATAGGATCATCGAAGAATTTATTGACAGAAACATCTTCAGACAATCCTTTTCTTCGTCTTGTTTTAATCATAAATTCGCGTGCCAAATGAGGTGCCGGTTGAAGTTCCAATGGACGGATAATAATACTTTTATCAAGTGGATCGCCTGGCACAATCTTTAAAAATTTTAATTATTAAAAGCGTAATTGATTAAATAATGGAAATTATTAAATTATTCAAAAAAGGTTGATCTTTACTAATGTTTCCAATTTCGAACTGGAAAAAATCTAAGACTACCAGCCTTTTTTAACCGAAAAATTTGTTAAAACTAAAAAAGAATCGTTTGTTTGGAGGAACCAAATAAATTTAAAAAGTGAATGACTTAAAATTAAA